TGAAATCATTAACTAAGGGACTCCCAAATTTCTTGTGCAGAACTTGAGAAAATAATACTAGCTGAAAGTTTTGAGGAAACAAAATTAAAAAAACCACAAGATGACAATATTATTGTTTCGAATCAAAGAGGAAAGGATTATATTATTTGTCTTGGCGAGTCTTGGTATTAAACCGTCAGTAAAGATAATTTTAATTTTCACATATAAAGTAATAATCATTGCTCGAGTCCAACAACCATATTTATCTCATGTAAGTGGCTATGATACTAGAATTAAACCTAGACTGTATGAATGCTACAAAAATAAGGGATCAAAGGATCATCTATATTAAATTTAGTTGAGGCTGAAATCATTGAACTAATAGAGTGAAGACTCCATTAAAAAAGTAATCAAACTATTGAACAAAAGTATGAAAGCTGATATTTGAAATGTAAAGTAATATTGATGCAATATAATGATTACTTCGTTGGTGTACTTTGACCTCACATTCTCACTGTGAGGGTCAAAATGTAATCTAGAAGGACACCACGGTTCCTTCAATGATCGAGTATCACCACAGATTTTCTAGAATCCATGAGACAATGGCAAGTATGATATAGAGAGATAAGAAGGTACATCAAGAGGATTTCCTGTGACCCTCCTCTAATATAAAATGCTTCTTGTCCGCAGGATCAAAGGGTTGATAAGCTTGAAACATAGTTGTAAATGACTCGAAGAGAGGAGACTGGGAATGATGACACTTGTTTCGTTTACCTCTAATGTTCCCACTATCCTCAGCACCGGAGGGTTGACAGGGTTGAAATCGAGCCAGGGATGGGTCAAGAAGCTGACGCGGTAGAAGTTTTGATACCATATTACGGGAATGAGAAAAAGTAAATATCGCGAATCATTCTCTATCTGATTTCCGTCCCTTTTAACGTATGGTCCCCGCACGTGTTTATTCTCACGTGTAGGATCCCTAATAAAGTACGATGATTCGGGCTTATTAGTCTCTTCTCCCCTGCTCTCTTTTCACTTGTATTATTCTACATGGAGGAGACGGTCCACTAGACTATGAACGGCCCTTGCGTCTGATAACTACCAACAAGTACGAGGGGAATGAACAAATACGGCAGTGGTTCTTCTCTCTCACGCGCTCTGAGGTGAAGTGGGCATCGGAAACATGCAGGCGGCCGGTCCGCATTTAGAGAACATAGTCTACCCGGCTTTACATAGATGTGATGAGCAAATCTGTTAATGTGGACAGATACCTTTCGTCAGCCGTCACCTGAGAGGTACTCTGCTTGTCAACATCCGGATCCCGCCTGCCCACCAACGTGCGACCCATCTCTCCTCCAATCGCACCAGAGGAGAGGTCATTCACTCACAACTGCCCCCCAGCTGCGCTAGGACACGTCATCTCATCGTGGATGTATGGCTGCCAGGGGAGATGAGCCTCCTTCCCGACCTTCACTTCATACTTCGGATTCCGAGATCGCCCCTGGGGTTGGACTAAGACGACATACGTGCACGACGACCCCACCCCCACATGTATGTGCTATCTCCTCTCTCTCTCTCTCTCTCCCCTCCCCCCACCACCCCTGGTCCGCGCTCGTCTGGATTCGACTGATGTGACATGACGACGTCAAGTGTCTAACAGGTATGATGATCAAATGATAATGATGACGGTGATGATGGTAGGAAGCCTGCCGTAGGTACGGAGGAAGATGAAAACCTGACGGCCGCCGTTAATAATCGGTCACCTCGAGTGACAGGAAGGCATCTCCTTCCGGCACCCGCGGTCCCCCTCTGGCAGAGCAAGAGGTTAGGGAAGAAAGGTCAGACCGCTTCAGCCGCCCTAAGACGCCCCAGCCTCCTGAGATGAGTTCAAAATCGATGGAGCCGGGGTTGCCCACGCTGTCGCCTCTCTCGCGGCTAGACGACTTCATCCACGGATGCTCTTGCTCTTGCTCTTCGACTGCGAGGACCGGCGCTGTCGAAGAGTGGGATCACCGGTAGGCACCTCAGGGCTCCCCGCGGCGAGCAAAGAAAGACGGAGAGAGAGAGGGCCAAACTGACGCATCCAGATACAACGGTCTGGGGCACATCCGGAGAAGTCGTTTCTCGACTGCTATCTGATCCCCATCTTCCCGTCGATCGTCGAGTTCCCCACGCCGGGGATGATTGTTGCTTGTGCTTCTCGCCCTCGGCTGGTTCAGCTCGACCCATTTTGTTAGCTGTGTTCTCCTAATACGAGAGACCGAGAGAACAGATGGCATCAGATCTACCAGGAGAAGGCATTCTGTCCCATTAAACAAGCGATAAAATACGCGGCTCAGGTTGTCTGGCTCTGTGCGCGAGACTCGTCGGGGAACCTACTGTCTTGTTCCCTCTGACCTTTCTTTCTATCTTGAGCTCTCATTAGTTCCTCCAGCGCATCTATCCCAGACACTCGGGATAAGGCAGAGAAGGTGAAATATGAGTCCACTCTCGGAACCTTTTCATAATCACCCCAAGGTGGGGTGTCTCCTACGTAAAATGGCTAATCGACAGAGTAACCTGCTCGAAGCTTGATGTGAGGATCGCCGTGTCTAGAGCGACCTATTCTCTGCCGGAGGGTTGCCGAGGGGCACGATAGCGCCGCGGTGCAGAGAGTAACACCGTTCCCTCACCAGCATCTGCAGAGACGACAGAGGACGCCCGACCCCAGGAAGGAACGTGTGGACTTGGTTTTTGCGCCGAATATGGGAAATGAACGCAACTGGGGATCAAGATGGGAAAGGAACAAGTAGAAGAGCACCGTGTGGGAGGTAAGTGCAAGGAGAAGGACTGAGGATGAGTTGGTCACATCGAAGGCAAGGGAGGGCAACAAGACGACCTCGCAGTAGCGAAGAGCTCCAACCTCCGTTCTCATGCATGGGAAAGCAAGCGGGCAGTGAATGGCCCGAAGTTTATCGATCCTTTAGACTAGGGATGGCGAGGAAAAATTGATTAATTTGCTCTCATCTGAAGCAGTGCAGGCGCAGAAACACGAGAAATGCCAATCTAGCTGGTAACACCCTGTCACCCAACCTGGTCGATAATTTATTGCCTCCGAAGCGTCTTGGTGACATCGATCCGTGACGGGTCACATAACCGACCATGCAGTGAGATCCTCGTCAGATGGGTGCATCAATCATTCAAGACACAGACAAGGAGTGGCCGCTGCCATCGGTTGATCACATTACTCTGCATCGTAGTAGGCCCGGTTAATCTCGTATAGAAACTTATCCGACCACAATTGTGCGCCATAAACGTCTGCAACGACAGAGTCCCGAGCCATTTGCTCTACGGATGTACGCGGCTGCTCACACGTCTAGTGAGCTGCTTCTTTTTCTATCAGGTGTGGATGATGGCGAAAATCGCGGGATGTTACAACATGGGATTGAGTTAAACTCCGCGGACCTCCGCGGGGGCTCGCGGAGCACGGGATGCCTCCTGGCTAGTGATCGTCGTCGTCTCCGGCCCCCCGCACTAGAAAAGTACTTTCTGTATCCTCCGCGCCCCCATGCACCTTGTCATTTTCTTCTTCCTTCAAATGGGGGACAGAGAAAAAGATGGAGACCGATTCGGCCACGTGTCGGCAGTCTACCCGACAAATTTCAGGATCTCCTAGCCTCCAACGCTCACTACACGCTTGCCCCCTTAATTTCTGGCTTTCATCTTGCCCGTTCCCCATTACCACCGAATATCCCCGTTTCTCACTACACGCTTGGCCTGAGAAAGGCAGGCAGTAGGCGGGTAGCTGTGGGCCTGGGATCAACGTTGACTCGTCCCCAGCCGAGGCCTTGTGATGGCGAGGGTGGCTGTCTCCAGCTTCCGTCCACTTGCGCAGGCGCCTGCGCCGGATTAATCGAGGGCGGGAAAATCAAGGGGCAGTAATTGGTTCCTGCTGGACTGCCGATAACGCTAAGAATTGACGATTCCATCGAGTCCCAACCGGAGACACGCCAAAAAAGGTTGGTTGGTTCTACCGTTTAATTCAAAAGACTGCTTACCAGCCCGCACAAGGGAAATACACGCAAACCAACCCCGCCGCACGTGCGCGACACCCGAACGAAGATAACTTGCCGCCTCGAGAAAAAGCCGATGAAGGCAGCGGGGGAGAAGAGCCGCAGAGATCTGACCTTCCACCGCCACCCTCACGTGGGCTAGAACCAACGGAGTTAGTAAAAAAAAAAAAGCCCGGTCAGCCCCACGCCAACGCTTCCCCCCGGCCCGGCCCTGCTCAGCCCAGCCCACCGTCTCCAAAACCAACCGGCGGCCGATAACATTGCCGTTACAGAGGTCATCCGTCGCTCGCGGGCTCTGAACTCCGGTAGATCCCACTCTGCCCCTTCTTCTCCCTTTCTTTTCCCTCGGGATGTAAGTACTAAGTCATCCTCCTTGCTGTATACCACTGGACTGATGGCGAAATGCACGTGTCCACGATCAAACAGGACAGTAAATATCAGTGTAATGGTAATATCGTCCACATCAGCCCTATGCTCCACATACTCTCTCTCCCTCTCTCTCTCTCTCTCTCTCTCTCTCTCTCTCTCTCTCTCTCTCTCTCTCTCTCTCTCTCTCCCCACCCTCCTCCTCCCCCTCGCGGCACACCTTTGGTCTGCCTGGTTGCAACAGTTCCCCTTCGCTCCCTCCAGCCATTCCCTTGCCACTCTCTGCCCGTTTCTAGCCTCCTTTCCTTCCCGACTTCCCTACTTGGACACCCCAGGTACGACATCAAAGAGACTCGTCATCTGCAGGCTGGCCGACAAAAATCAGAAACCGAGACTACCCTGCGCTAAACCGCAAGACATCGTCGCTACCGGAGACAGCCTGTTCCCATTCCCCATCTCCCATAATCCCCCCCCCCCCTTGTGCCCCCGTCTTGATCTCCCCCTGATTGCTTCCCTCCTACGTTCTAGACCCCTGCAGATCGTGTTAGTTTAATTCTCACACCTCTTCCTGAAGCGAGTAAACAACATCTTGCCATCAGCAGAATGTCTTCCAACTTCCTCGACGTCAACTCGTCGTCTTCCTCCAGTTCGACACCGGCGGCGGCGGAGCAACTGTGCTACATTCCGTGCAGCTTCTGCAACATCATCCTCGCGGTATGTCGGCAAACAGCTCCTCCTGAGGCTCCAGATGATCCTACTGAGAAGAGAGAACTAACTCACGAGTCTGCTGAGGAAATAGCCTCAAAATATCCCGGACATTTTTTGACGTCTCTTGCTTGAATTATTACTTTGTTTTTCCTGTCGCTCAGTTCGTATCTTGCGGATCTGAGTATCCTTATAACATGCCTCACATAGCACATAAGCGTCCTCCTTCCGGATACTGTTCCTCGCCAGGAATGCAAAGCAAGAAGCAAAGTTGTCACCATTATCCTTCTCATTCCTTTTTCACCATCTGTCCTATCTTTTTCGACACCTTCAGGCAGGATAACTGGTTTCTGCGTTCTTCTGCCTTGGTTCCTCGTTCCCTTTCGATTTATCTTATCTTCTATTTCCCTTTTCTTCATAAAAAGATACCTTCATAGAAGTAGATCCCGGCGCTTGACCGCGAGAGGAGGAGAGAAAGTTGCGGCTGGGTGAGGGCTGTTGTCACTTAGTCAGAATGATGCGGGCAACATATGTGTGTCCATATCGAGAGAGAGAGAGAGAGAGAGAGAGAGAGAGAGAGCAGCTGTGGATGTGAGATAGGAGACGTCGACAGCCAGGATAAGAACGTCGAGGAAGAGAGATAGAGACTGCCAGTGGAAGATCAGTGAGTGACACCGTGGTTCATCAAAGAACCAAAAAAGGCTCCCCGCCAGGTTCCGACTTCCGTCAAGAAAGGATGCGAGGAAATCAAAATAGAAAGGTAGGACCCAAGTAAAATGTTGGAGCAGCTGAGTAATCCTTACCCTTTGCCTCGAAAGACTTTAGTCGCCGCTGCTACACTTCAGTTCCTCTGTATTTCATTTCCGTTTACAGTTTATTTGTTCGACGTACTTCCCTATTTCTTCTTTATCTCTCCCAATCATAATGACTTCCAGAGTTGTACTAAGCGGTCGATGATGGCGAAGCGAATTGTGTGACTTCGTCAGTCTGTGCTTTCGCGCTCTTTTATGAGGTCTTCAGTAACGGATGTGGGTGTGTTTGAATTTGTTGTCTCAGGTAAGCGTACCATGCAGCAGCCTCTTCGAGATCGTCACGGTGCGATGCGGGCATTGCGGGAATCTATGGTCCGTCAACATGGCCGCCGCTCTGCACTCGCTATCCGCCTCCTGGCAGCAGCAGCAGCAGCAGCAGCAGCAACAACAGCAGCTGCAGTTGCAACACCAGCTGCGAAGCCTCCCCCAACTCCAACAATACCCCCAACATCATCATCAGCAGCTGCCTCCGCCCCATCACCACCATCAAGGTCTCCGCCTCCAGGTTCGTCCGCGCTTCCATACTGTGATCAAAGCCACATGTTCCTCACTAGAGTGACCCCGTTCCGATATTCTTCCCCATTAACCCGGCGTCCTCCCGATACCACTGCTGCCTACCACCGTCTCCTCTGCTCCGGCTGCAAACTCGTCGCACTTCACTCTCACCTGGATGGATGTCCGAAAGCTTTGAGGAACACAGAAAAATAATAAATTCGGGCCGCGTCATGAGAAAAACGATGAAAGATATGACGTGACAGAAATAACGTAGCCATAGCCAATACCGCAGTACTCAAATCCAGTCATTAGTCCGCTGGTCTTCCATCTTCGTCAGTCTTAGATAGACACCGATAACCTCTTCCTCTCTCCCTCCAGTCCAACTCCAGGTAGTATAGGGATGGCATTAGTGGCTAGGCTGCTGCAGCAGCTGTCTTCTTTATTTCTGTATGACCATTCTCTTTCAACCCAATCCCGGAGGTATCTATTCGCTTTTCCATGTATTCATTCCACTCTGATTACAAGCCCTCACCTCTCGAGGCTTGAAAATGAGAGCTTCCCGAGGCGATCTGATTGCCTGACTGCTTTTGCGTCTTTCCGCAGCATAGATGGACAGATTCTCTCTCCGTCTGCTTCTAATGCGGCTGCAGAGACAGCTACCTAGATCAGGCCAAAACTCAAGCCCAGGGGGGAGGGAGGGGTTAAGCAAACAATTCTGTCTTCATACTATCCCGCTGCCCCCCAGAAAAGAAAAGGGCCTGTGTCTCCCTTCCGAAGCTCCTGAGAACCTTACTCTCACCTCTCTGGTCTCACCAATAACATCGTCAGGTCCCCCGTGGTCTGCTGAAAAGACGTGATACTGATACGATTGATTGACAGTATCTTGAAATGACAACCTGACCTTTACCTCGTCCCGCCGCCCTAGATACACATTCTCTTTCCTTGTTGACAAGCATGCATCTATGAGCCTTGAACAGTTAATCAACCCGGAATGTACGCTTGACCTCCATCAGAATGCCATCACAGTCGGTGTCTCACCCCGATCTTCGGCCACCTGTATTTCATGTGTGCACCTACTCAAGCGGCGCCGCTCTAGCATTTCAGATTTCTGTCGGGCTTCGGCTCCTCTGGATTCTATTTTGTACGTGTTGCCACCAACGGCACCTTTCCCGTCCAATCTGGGAAAGGAGCAGGCATCTCCAATGCCTCCTCAAATAAACCAGTTAAACACATATCAGTACTCCCACCTCCAAATTAAAATCGAAGCATAAGCAACCTTCTCTATTGACAACATGATTAAAATAACAACAATATGCAGACAGTGCTGTGGTTGCTTTCTCCACGCTGTTAGATTCGCCAAGCTTGACAATAACAGTCCTTCATACTAGCTCTACGTCGATGACAGAGATTTGATAACTAGACGTACGGGAAAAGGAGGGTCTCCGTATTTTCCAGATATTTTGTGAGACTAAGAAGTTACTCTCCATGCGTTTTCTTGCGCATGCAGCCTCCGAGCGCCACGACAGCCGCAAACTACATGCTGGACTTTGCGGCCGCCAGCTCACCCCCTGTGCCCACCATCTGCAACAAGTTCGGGAATGCTGGCACGATGCGTGTTCCCATGGTTGGTCGTGGCAACGAGGAGAGAGCGCCTATCAATCGCCGTGAGATCATCCTACTTGTTCTCTAGAAAAATTCCACCAGTCCCGCATTATAATCATCCTCTTAGACTAATCTTGTCGGTTGTCGCAGCCCCTGAGAAGAAGCAACGCGTTCCTTCTGTGTACAACCAGTTCATCAAGTAAGTCATATTCCGTCCGGTTCCCTTTGATTTCTTCCTAGAACGGCTTCTACTCCCTTCTAGCTTCCATCGTTATTTTCCCATTTTTCCATTCTCGCCTATCCACTCTCAAGGTTTAGCTCACGAAACATATCCGATTCTGGTTTTAACTATTTTTTACGTTGAGTGTAGAGAAGAGATCCAGAGGATCAAGGCAAATAACCCAGAAATCACTCACCGGGAGGCATTCAGCACTGCTGCGAAAAATGTGAGTCGTAACAATTAATGACCGTAAATTCCCGTCCCAACCTGTCTTAGCTCTCCAAAGCATTCCTCCTCCATATATTAGGCCGCATACGAAGAGAGATCTCATTCCTCAAAGAAAAATAAAATCTTATGTTCTGACTCTTGGTTTTAACTGCTAGTGGGCTCACTTCCCCCACATTCAGTTCGGATTGATGCTGGAGAACAATAATCAAGGCAGGCTTCGCGAGGTACGCGTCCCATCCAACCTTCATCTCTTTGCTTCTTCGTCCTCAGCTTCTTCTTTTTTGGTACACTAATCGGTTCTTGAAACTCTATTATTCACTTCTGTGAGTGTACGGTCGCCACTGTCAGAATCATATACCCCTCTTTTTTATTTTAGAAAGGACTTAATTTGCCAAATCAACCCATTTTCAATCAAAGCTCTTTAAGGACATGGCTAAAAATGAAGTCACTAGAGATAAATCTGCCCCTTTCCATGAGAAAAAAACTACCTCAATTAACGCTTCAGGCGGAAAAAACTGATATGATGAGGATTTGAGCCCTCGAAACTAAAAAAAATTGTCAATAGATCGTGTTTGTCTTGTCAAGAAAACACGTTCCTACGATACCTGATAAAAGAGGAGAACGTCTGATGGTAGGTTATCTCGAGTAGCACCGCGCTCGAACTTTTGTTCAGTCTGGTTGTAGCCGTGTGCCTCAGATGCACTGATTGATTTTTTTATGCTTATTATTTCCTCTACCACCCAGGGTTATGCATTTTTAGGTTCTACAGGTTTGTTAAATAAAGTCGTGCAATCCTTCAGGTGCCCACTTACTCTAATTTTTATTTTAATCTAGGGATCCGACAATAAACTGATGTCAAAAGCTGCAATTTTCAACAAATAGCCAAAGCTCTCGAAGATCCAGGTCATAGCTGAACCGTGGCATGTGTGCTGTAAGATCAAGTCCACCCCCCCTCGCCTTAGTCTAGTTCTCACGCATATTGTAATAATTAGGAACATCGGACTACCTGTTTCAGTCGAGCAAAGTCAGTTTTTATGTTTTCAGCTGCCACTACTTGTCTACGATTGAAGCTTCTGAAGAAATGTTTCACGATATGTATGTTCACACTGCAGTTGCAAATGCGATAGAAAAATCTCTGATCTTGCTGAGTATCTGCAATAGTAATGAATTCTCGATAATGGCAAGGATTTTCGCTTAGAGATTATCTTGGCCATTAGCGTATCAAATGTCTCGAATAATGCTTTTATTTAATGGCGTGCCTAGATTGTCCTTGAAAGTCATCATTTTCCCCGAAACGAGTGGTTCTATCCATTTACTAGCGGAACCATGAAACCAATAACTGTCGTGTCGTGGACGATGGAATCGTCAGGTATCTCTCAAGATCAGAAATCCACGGGAAATCCCCCAGTACTTTTCCTTTGATTGTCGTTCTTCCAAGTATCGTCAATTTTTCCACTACTAATTGTGTCTGTTCGGTGAAGTCTAACCTTTAGAAATGATAGGGAATTAATCTCGCACTGATACCCCAGCATTAATATCTTTTAATATAAACGTTCCACCAAGATCAGTTTCAAGATATTACACCCACAAAACGTTCCCCACGGGATTGAAAAAATTATAATCAAACTACAGCAAGAATTTTTATATTTAGTCTACGTCCCCCCCAGTGAGCTGGACATCATAAGCCATGCAGGTAATTAGGCAATTTCATTTATCTGCCCAATTAGTTTTTCCGTCGGCTTCTCGATAGGAAAGGCAACTATTTATACGCAATGAAACTCGTAATCATTTGCGCTTCTCTACCACAAACGTCAAAGAGCATCTTTATGCTATTCGTCCAGAGAACGTGGATGCTCAACACCCGCATATTTTCATAATATTATTCCGTTCAGTAGTTACCCAGACAAAATAATCAGGGTTCAGTAGTTACCCAGACAAAATATCGAACTCCAATTAGGTCGAAAAAATGACCAGGGTACTTTCCACCTTTTATCTCAAATATTTGCACCTAGTTGCATATGCACAAAAGCTTTGGTTAGCCGTCGTGCAGAATAACAACAGCTTAGAGTCCATGAGATGATGCTCAAGATTTTGGGTTTATTTATAGAAATTTGACGTAGGACTTAAGGCATGACTTGGCCAATATCCCAATAGGATCAGATTCACTTAAGGAAGGGAACTTCTAGAGACTTCTTATGCCTGATAACATTTAGAGACAAAAGCGGCCTTCCCTCCTTTTTTATTTAACAGATAATTAAAACATAAGTGAATCATCTGGTATGACGGCAGAAAATTAAGGTGCATTTGATTGGTCGCAGTTCATATATCAAAGCTCGAACATTTTTAATGCGGTATTTACCATGCGTTTTTTTGATAAGGTCAGATATTTTTTCAGGTCCGGTATGATCTAGACATTAAAAGAAAATCATGTGCCCCTAGTTTATGTCTAACTTGCAGGAAGATGGGCAAGTGCTGGATATCTGAAATTCGCAGTTAAATTATTTCTGTGTGACAATTAAATATATATCGGCTGTTTATCAGGTTCAAGAAGTCGTAAACATGTACAAAAACAAACACGATGAATGTACGATACAATCTGCGGTGACGCCTAGCGTGACACCTTCGGCAGACTTAGTATTTTGTTTAGTCTCTAGATAAGCGATTATCCTAACCCAAAATAACAGTCCAGCTGTTTCTCTGGTAAAGTTGAGAGCTTAGGAAAGATCCTAAGCGTGGGGGGATAAGCTCATGAAGACCATAAATATTGCCCAACTTCGAATCAAATATTCTGGAAATATTCAATGATTTTGATCATTTCCTTTGATTTCCCCATAACAGAAAATAAATCGCGAACTCCGCAACTGTTACGTTCACTATGCCACGCAAGAAACTACGATATTTTTTTCATGAACACGATTTTCATCTTCAGATGTATGTCATAAAGTGTTACCGTGATTTGACGGCTTTCAGGGAATGACTGATGATCTCCTAATCAGAAGAAGAACACGAACGGCCTTGGGAGACACCGTCTTTGTTGTTGGAAATCCGAGATTTTGATGTTCATGGAATTATTAAATAACGGACTAAGTCAATAGAATTACTCCTTCTGTGCACCGTGCATTATTTTTCTTTTTCCTCAAAAGATTTACCTCTAAAATGAAACGCGATTTCAGATGCACTGGCGTAGAGCTTGGAGTAGACGACTTATCTCACATGCCTTGCCCAATGTCGACTGCCTTTTTAAAAATGACGACGATAGTCGAGATGTGGCAACTGATAAAAGAGGACGATGACCAAGGAGTGTATTTCGAATGCTTTGCGTTTGAGAATGGCGGCGTTGTCGGCTACTTCAAGATACGATGGTCGCGAATTCCTAAATGCGAGACTGAATGCATATCACGGTAGTGACACCTTGGATGAAAATAGCGTTTAAAAATCCACACGGTTATCGTCTTCGCTTCTGTTTGTTTAAATCTTTTTCGACAAAAGTGGAACGTTTATCCATAAAGTCGGCTTTTGCGCAACGAATTTGGAGTGATGGGAAGGAATTGGAAGGCTTCGTGCTCCACTCGAATCATCACCAAAGAATGGATGAAGAGAAGTGGAGGCAGGATTGAAAATACAGCTTTTCACATGTTTCTCTCTTTTCTTCATGTCGACGTGCTTCGAATTACGACAGGGCACATCTAGAAAGGGTAGGTTGTCCACTACCGGGTAAACTTCTGTTTGACTCTTTCCCTCTCTCTCTCTCTGATATATATCCAGAATGTCCACCAGCAGTGCTATTGGATTCCATATGAGCTGAACACAAGGCATTGTCACAGGCCGAGGACCCAAGGACCCAAGATGTCTTCTAGTCAACGAAATTAAGCGGCACTCCAAATCAACTGTCATCAGTACGAGAACGTGTTGGGTGCACGGGGCACACGTCGATCGTAGTAAGATATAATCTCGCGTCACCAGACTATTGCAGACTCGCTCCGACGGTTTCCGAACAGCGAAAAGCAAACAAGAGAGAATGGGAGCAGCAAGTAACCAGCGAAGGTTCACATGGATCCCACACTCATCTCGGTCACTCCCTCCCCCAACCTGCCGCGGCAGCTCGGATGAGCAGATCGATCATTCCAAGATCGATCTATATCTCACGAAATGGACATGGAGCACATCTAGAGGATCGAGGGTCGTACATTCTAAGATCTATATCTTACGCTTGCAGGCATAACTGACCTCTCCACGTGGTCGTATGGTCCTTGAATTAGGTTAGTTGAACTAAAGGCCGTTTGAAATACCGTATCCGGACAAGACTCCTGGCACAATTAAGCAACCAAAGGATAACAGAGAGGCCGGGAGATGGCGCACTGAAGCACGTCTTGCGCTGCGCCATCCTTTAGACAGACTCCGTGCCTCCAACACGCGAGACCCGTCGAGATTTTGTCTGCGATGCGTGGACACCCCAGCTTCAGCTCCAGAACACTAAATCGCATGCATGAGACGACATCGGACCAATCTTTTCGTAGGTTACTGACATCGAGGTTGCAGAAATATGAGTGGAAAACGGTGGTAGAGAAACGGAATGGCGGCAGTGTCCCACTCATGTTCTCTCCGTCAGCCCCCTTTGGGTTTTCTCGCGTGTTTCCGCCCCTTAGGAGAACCTAGATGAGGAGGTGGCAGGACGACTGGTGCGTCGGAGGATGAAGAAGGGGCGAGGCATGAGAAAACCGCGGAGAAAAAGACCGGCCCTGGCCCTCCCGGCCGCAGCTCCATGTGAACGCAGGTGGCTACCCCACGTCGAGGAAGCCCGCGTGTGTAAGCAAGTATAGTGAAATTAGAGTTTTCTCCAACAAAGGCATCCCCCGTCCCGCGCCTGCTCGGAATGGACTCTCTCCGCTCCCGAGAGGCCGCGACGCAGAAGAATCCAACGCGGGCGACGAGGATCGAAGTAGACGCTACGTGAGCCCCGTGGGGGACGGCGGAGTTCCCCGATGAATACAGGGCGGTTGATCGTTTTGTCTTTCCCATCTCAACCGATCTCGCGACTAGACTACGCGGAACTGCGCCGTGGAGGGGGGGCGCTCGTCGCCCGTCCAGAGCAAGAGAGGGAGGGATGCATCCAGAGTCAGTGGGAGCGGCTGGGTCGTCCTCGGTCTTGTCCTTGGAGCGGGAGGGAAGAGGGCCGGTTGATTTTGCGTCGCGGAAGACCAGGGGATGGCGTCCGACGACCCAAGCGCAGGATGGGGGCCTGGCCAAACATATTATCGTTATCTTGAAGAAGAGGCCGACTGGCTGCGATTACCAAGGAGAAAAGCAGGGAATCTGTCTCTAACGCAATCACTCGACATTCGCTGACCGGTCTCGAGCGGGCGCTAGTGGACGATGAGATAACATTATGACACGCTCGCATCTGGAGCGCATTCGGACACCCGCACCAGACCAGGTGAGTCGCCCCGGCATCGGCCAGCATTCCGCCGACCGAGCCCCCGTTTCCCGTTTCTTCTTCCCCCTTCGAACCACTGACCAAGTTTGAATGGTCAGTGGTTCGAGTCTACTGGGTTCGAGTGACCTCTTCCTAGTTAGGCGAGAGAAGATAGTGGCGTCCGCTCATCCGGCTTGAGCGCGCATTCCAGTCAACCCCGCCGGGGATGCGAAGAGTGATTCTGTTGCGTCTCATGATCGGTGTCGGTCGGCTTGGAAGTGTTGACTAAAGAGGCGCGAGTCGAGAGGGCCACGGCTCTTCCGGCTGTCGCCTTCCGACGCTCGAGTGGTGCGGAGCAAGCGAGGGCCCACCGCTCCCGAGAGGCCGAGGGACTGCCCCCGCCGTGGCCCAGTCCAAGTGCAAGTCCGCCTTGATATGGCCCAGACGGCCCCCAGCTCCCTTGTCACGTCACGTCAAGTCATGGAATCGTCGTTTCGACGATACTCGAGCCTCTGTCTGGCGGCCGTCACCCTCGTGACCGGTGGCGGACAAAAGCATCATCGTTTTCTGTACAGGAAGCTGCGTCCTCGTTTTTCTTTTTTTTCCTTGATTATAATCGGTCAGAGGGCTCTTCGATAATTGTGACAAAGCCAAGTATGCACTTGCAGTCCACAAGCAACCTTAGCCTGCACCTGTACGAGCGCACTTGAAGGCTATGGTTGGGCACAGACGCTCGAAATTTCCATCGCTTAGAATACCAACCCTTGGCGTGCGATCGTGTCGGTTCCCGTATTCCACGAACTGTGCCCGCCGTAGAGGATTCGTCTCACATATTTCATTTACATCGCCCTCTCGACCACCGAAAATGGTAGAAGCTGGCATCTAGTGGGGCGGGGGAGCAGGGCCTGCGGACGGATATTTTTGATCTTATGCAGACATTTCCTCGCTCCATAAAATTTTTAGCGAGAAAGAGGGCTTGGTTGTGGACCGCGATGCACATGTTCCTCGGCGGCATACCCCGCTTCACAGAGAGAGAGAGAGAGAGAGAGAGAGGAGGGAGAAAGAGAGGGGGGAAGAGAGGGGAGAGAGGGAGGAGGAGAGAGAGAGAGAGGGAGAGAAAGGATGGATCCCCGCGGTGCTTCTTGTTGGTGGGAAGAGGATAAGAGTGCCGGGTGTCCCCTTGGAGGCGGAATGGCATTGGAGAGAGTCGCTTGGACAGCCTTTTGGTGGCGTCCAAGCTGCGGCGTTTGAACGTGAAATTTTAAAGGGCAGTGACGTCGTCCCTCCCAGGATTTTCAAAAAAGGGATCGTCGTTTGAAGGTATTATAGTTCCGCCATCGCACCGCGCGGCCTCAAATCATCAATGAACACACTCTCCCCTCGTTTTCTTCCTTCTTCCATCTTTCCTCCTCTCCGTCTTCATCTTCTTCTGCTCGCGAGAGGCTGAACGAGCGACGAGTGAATGGGTCCCACAGTAATCGGGGACGTCAGCACCTCGTCTTGCAAGGAGAAAAGGGGGGCCTCGGCTCCCATCGAAGCACGGACGTCGACTCGCGCACGTGGGAACGAAGCGAGTTTCCACACGGGGATCGGGGTGGAACGAGTTTCCAGAAGGTGGAGAAGCAGCCGACGCTCATCTTTCTTTCGGTCGACGACGGAAGGCGGCGGATTTGCCACATCCTTTCTTTCTTTCGACGGTAAATTATACAACAGGAGGGCATACTTCGTAATACACGCGTACGTACGAGCAGGATTGCCGCTTGCACCGCGGTTTGGGGGTGGGCCCCGCTCCTCTCCCCATCGTCGACTGGATCGAAATCGGAGAATTAAAAGTCTTAGTAGAAAGGGCCATGAGGCATGGAAGAAGTCGGACGCTGCCGTCGGAGTAAATGCGCATTGATTTCTATCCACGTGTCGATTCAAACATCTTGTCGCGTAGTCACCCCCCTCGTCGAGAGGAATGAGGCGAGGCGCGGCACGATGGGGGGGGGGGGAGCGAAGAGAGAGAATAGAGAGAGTAGAGCCCACGAAGGCAGCCGTGTCCTGTGGGATTGGGCATTACGAAGCGCCGTCACATTAATCTCCCATGCCCGCCCCCAACCGCCAGCCACGGATCGATCCCATGGCTGAAACGCGCCCCATCCGCTGACCAGCCCCCCCTTCAACCCCTCATCTCCCTCTCTGCCCCCCCTCTCTTGACTTCCTCCTTTTCCTCCACTGCAACTGCGAAGGTCATTCTCCCCTCTCCCCAGACAGAAAGGCAAAGAGAAAAAGGAGTCGGATTTTACGCGTCGGAGCAAAGGCGACCGCCGAAGTCGGGAGCCACGGCGAAGCTATGGTGGCCGTATGCATCATCCAGAGGGGCGGCTGAGGCGTCCGAAACAACCAGCCGTCTGCCCCCGCTCCTCTCCCTCCTCCGGAGCCGTGCGCTCTCTTTCGATTTCCTCTCATCGGACATGGCTGCTCGTCCCCGGGCGGCGTCGTATATCCTCCGTCTCCTCGCCAGCGCCTTCCCCTTCATCGTCTTCCTCCTCCCCCGGTCCTGCCACTGCAGCACACTGAGATCGCTTGTCCAACCGGGGTTCTCCGCTGCCCAGATCTACTGGATCGACAGCAAGGGCCTCTTCCTTGTCTCCAACAACTCCGCCTTCGCGTTCGGATTCAGACCTTTTGACGAAGTCACTTCTTTTATCCTCGCCATCGTCCACCAGCCATCCTCTAGGATCGTCTGGACCGCCAATCTGGGCACCCCCGTATCCAGCACCGACAAATTTGTGTTCGGCTTAGACGGGAATGCAAACCTGGAATACGGTGGCCGGACCATCTGGTCTACGAACTCCGCCGCCAGGGGTGCCGACGCCATGGTTCTGCTAGATTCGGGCAACTTGGTCATTCGGGCTAAGGACCGCGTAGTGTGGCAAAGCTTCGACCATCCCACCGACACCCTTCTCTCCAAACAGATATTCTCTGCGGGGATGAGGCTGACGAGCAAGCCCAATGACCACGGCTTGGTCCATTACCTCGACTTCGAAGGCGGCGACATGGTGCTCTGGGCCGACTTTTCTCCGCCGCAGCCTTACTGGAGAATGAGCAGGGAGCCGCGCCTCACCCATAACAATGCCAAACAGGAGTTTACGTCGGCAGTCCTCGTCGGGACATCGTGGAACATCTCCGACAGGAATAATTCCCTAATCGGGCAGTTCCTCTGGTCGGGCACGGCGGACATCGACACCAACTCCACCGGGGCGTTGATCCTCGACGAGAAAGGCTTCATCTCGTTAATCAATCTTGAAGGAAACGGCGCCGGCGGCAGACTAATCCCTCTGGACCCCTGCGCTGTGCCGGAGCGCTGTGGTCCGTACTCCATCTGCGATAGCGAAACAGTGTGCCGGTGCCCCGCCGTGCTGAACATCAACCAGAACTGCGATCCCAACATCACTTCCTTCTGCGGTGATGGCTCCCCTGGTCCGTTTGTCCTTGAGAAAGTCGACAACGGCGTGGGATACTTCGCCACAGATTTCGTCGCGCCCACAGTTAATGGATCTAACATCAAGAGTTGCACAGTTGCGTGCCATGGAAACTGCTCCTGCGTCGCTCTCATCTTCGACAACAGCTCGGGCAACTGCTTTCTATTCGACCGCATAGGGAGCCTGAGGCGGCTGCAAGGGGGACCAAACGGGGGAGGCTCCTCCATGTACATCAAGATCTCTCGCGACGGCGCAGGGAAGGGGAAGAACAGAGGAAGCTTGGGCCGTGTAATCGCCATCGTGCTCATCGTCCTGGGGACGGTGGCCGTGATCGCGGGTCTGCTATGGACAGCAGTTCGCATCCAGCGGCGGAAGAAATCATCGGAGGCGCCTCTCGACGGCGGCGGCTCCGATGAGGAGGACAACTACTTGGAAAGCATCTCTGGGATGCCCGTACGATTTACCTACTCGGATCTCCGGCAGGCAACAGACGACTTCTTGGTGAAGCTCGGGAGCGGCGGCTTTGGAACGGTGTACCTCGGTAAGCTTCGAGATGGGTCCCGAGTGGCGGTGAAGAAGCTGGAGGGCGTACACCAGGGAACCAAGGAGTTCCGGGCGGAGGTCTCCATCATAGGCAGCATCCACCACATCCATCTGGTCAGACTCCGGGGCTTCTGCGCAGAGGGCAGCCACCGCCTCCTGGCCTACGAGTACATGTCGAACGGATCCTTGGACAGGTGGATCTTCCGCAGGGACAAGGAAGGCCATCAGCTGGACTGGGAGAAGAGGTTCAACATCGCCCTGGGCACGGCCAAAGGCCTGGCGTACCTGCACGAGGACTGCGAATCCAAGATTGTCCACTGCGACATTAAGCCGGAGAACGTCCTCCTGGACGACAATTTTGAGGCCAAGGTCTCCGATTTCGGGCTGGCGAAGATGATGACACGGGAGCAGAGCCATGTGTTCACAACACTGAGGGGCACGAGGGGGTACCTCGCGCCGGAGTGGATCACGAACTACGCCATCTCAGAGAAGAGCGACGTGTACAGCTTCGGAATGGTCCTGCTGGAGATCATTGGGGGCAGGAAGAACTTCGACCCGTCGGAGACCTCGGAGAAGGCGCATTTCCCTTCCTACGCTTTCAAGATGATGGAGGAGGGGAAGCTGAGGGAGGTGCTCGACTCGACGCTGCTGTTGAGCGACAAGGACGACAGCGTGGAGACAACTATCAAGGTGGCACTGTGGTGCATCCAGGAGGACATGACGCTCAGACCGTCCATGGCTAAGGTCGTGCAGATGCTTGAGGGTCTGACGGACGTTCCTCAGCCCCCGACGTCCTCCCAGATGGGCTTCCGGCTCTATGCAAATCTCATCAAAACCATGAGCGAAGAGGGCTCTTCTGCCGCGTCGGGCCCGTCGGACTGGAACAGTGAAGCCTTGCTTTCGGCGGTGCGGCTGTCCGGACCCAGATAGCGAGAGGTGTTACGAGGTTGCTTCGTGGCACCTCCCATCCGGGGGGGCCGCCGACTTGCGGACGAGACCGCCGGAGCCGACGGCAACTTCTCTTGATCATCCGGTCGGGGTGGTTCCCCTCTTGCTGGATAGGACTCAGAATTCCATTTAAATTCTCAGTTTTTTACTTTCGAAGGAATCGAATCATCATCGAGGACCTCCGCGGGTCTCCTGCCTGCCTGCGTCACTTGTTCTTCCGGGAATTGGGGGTGGGCTCTCTTTCTTGTCGAGCTCCGAGGCTGACACCAGCGGACACCTCCTCTCCTCCCACTTCCTCTCTCCTCTCGCAGCGCGACGGGACTCGTTTCCGTTTATGGTGGACGAGTCCGAGACCGGGCGACGCTCTTCCTCGCCCCTCCCCGTACGACGCTCTTGACACACCCCTTACCACGGGGGTCGAGCCTCCTCCGGTGGCCGAGGCGATGCCAGGGTGTGTCTAGGAGAAGCGCGCGCCACTGCCGACGGATACTCAACGCTCCCCGCCGAGAGGCCGGGAAGGTTCACTCACGCTTATGTCTAGCACTGACTCAATAAGCGGGCCTTCTCTTCTACAAACTTGGACTTGCAAACCAGCTCCAAGCCCATATACTCCCAATGGGCTGAGCTCGGATTAAGTTCAGCCCGAGGTATTTTAGCTTAAACTTGCCCCCTCACCCCTGGTCAAGTCAACCGACCGTAGGCGGCCACTGGTTCCTCCGGCTTCCATTCCTCCTCCGGGGCATGACGACCGCGACGACCACCGCCATCCCCAGCCGCCTTCCGTTCCCACGTTCAAGACGAACAGCGCTGCGGCATCCAGGAGACCCACGGCCACGTTGCCCATTCAGACGCCGCTGGACGCCTACCGAGTGCCTGCGAGGGGAGCAAGTGCAGAACCCGTGCTCGTCCTCATCCTCCTCGGAAGGACACAGGGGCACAGGTGACGAAATCCCCTTTTCCCCCACTGGGTTCCTCTTCTCAATGGAAACAGCATATCTCCCACCCCCACCCCCCCAAACCCCCAGAAGAAGCTCCTTCCGTCTGCTCGACGAATAGCCATAAACATTCATGATACGGGCATCTATTAACCAATTCCTATGTCTTTCATCAGTAAATTTTCTGCCTTTGCGTAGTGGATGCCGTCTCTACAGAAAATTCGCCTCCCTTGAGTTTTATTTATCCATACTGTGACTGCAGTGGGGAGCAGGTGCGCCTTCTACGGAAGAAGATTTTTCTTTCTTGCCACGGCTCCGTTGTTGCTCTCCAGAGAAGGCTCATCAGAATACTCCAATGCCAATTCTCTACAGTATGTTTCATAATTTCCATTCCGCTTCCCATCTTCCCTCTGAGGCAGTGGCCTCCCAATCCATCAAATTCCTTGAACCCTGCGACATTAGTGAAGTCATGAACTCGAGCTCTGCTGTTCGATGTTCAGTTACCTCTCGGTTCCGCCATGCTACTTCAGTTTGACCGCATCCTTTCAAGTCATTTCATATATTAGTAAAGTACTAGATGGATGTAAGTCACAAAAACTTTTAGAGATAAGATACCCAGTTGTTGCATGTTTCTAGACGAGAGCAACGTGACAATTACGTAGCAGCCAAGTGGGGTCAAGCAATGCTCTCAACAAGTGATATTGGCGAGCTTTTGCATGTGGCCACAAGGAGTGCTGGGCTAGATGAATGGCACAAACCAGGAGAAATCTTAATTCCTTTTCTTTTAAACTTCTGCACTTTGAGTACATGATGTTTGTTTCTCTTATTTGTTGTCAGCAGAGCAGTAGAACCTGATGAATCTTTACTTGTTCGAACTAAGTTAAGGAAAGTCCTTTCCAAGTCCAAAGCTCCTGGCGTACTTCGGTTGGCCTTCCATGATGCAGGGACATTTGACATGAATGATAACACAGGTGATTTTGGAGCTAGAACTAAAGAACGTTTCCTGTTTCTTACTTCTTTGTCTTCTCTACATTTCACGGTGTCAAGCACCATTGGGTAGTCTTTTAATGAATTATATGCTTCACTTTTCCTGGCAGGTGGAATGAATGGCTCGATTATTTTAGAACTTGATAGACCTGAAAATGCAGGTTTACGTAGATCTGTGAAGGTGTGTCTAATTTCATCCTCTCTTCCGTGCATATTTACGTATTCAAAAAATAATTGTGTAGTTGCCCAACATATATTATATATTATTGCTTTGTATCATGACAACACAGGTTTTTTGGTGGATAATTATATTCTATTATTTATCATTCTTCTTTTTTTGGTCTCCCCCTGTCTATTTATCCTCTTATTGACTCTCTACTTTGTTCGCTTTTCTCCTTAGATTTTGGAAAAAGCAAAGAGCGAATTGGATAAGGTTCAGAATGGTATGATTTTCCTATTCATTTTAATTCATGTGTTTCTGCATGTGATCATTCTTTCTCTTCTTGAGCTTTATCATGGGTTACATTGATGTCAGTGTCCTGGGCTGATTTGGTTGCCGTGGCTGGTGCTGAAGCCGTTTCATTATGTGGAGGTCCTGTCATTCCTGTTCAGTTAGGCAGGATGGATACAAGGTTAAATTTCACTTTATAAACATTGCACTATTTTTAAGAAAAAAAAGAAGATGAGGAATTAAACACAGGGGTAATTGATCCCGGCTGTTTGATCAAATCGGTTGATGGCTCTTTATGGGAATTATCGGTAATTCCCCCTTGAATATCATATGAATTTGACTCTTCTGATACATAATTTTGTGTTTCTTGGAAGTTTACTTTCACAAGTAAAAAAAAAATCAAGCTGATGACCTGATCCTTCTTTCATTTCTTTATAATGACAGGTCGCACCCCTTTTCAAACGAATGGTTAATCGCATCTGAACCAACAATCCTCTAACTTTTGGATTTTCTATCATCCAGTATACCAGACCCCGAGGGAAAACTTCCCCAAGAGACGCTAGGCGCTTTTGACTTAAAGAAGTGTTTCTTAGAGAAAGGCTTCTCGTGAGTATATATATTCTTATGCCATGGCATCGGTTTTTGTCTTCTTCTGCCTTTTCTCTTGTCTACGTTACCATACCTGTTTTGCGTAATCAGCTTAATTTAGGCGGATAAATCTGTGTTTATCAACATGCTACGAGCTTTTCCATTTCCCCCGATTCTCTGATGTACACTTGAAGCTTATGAAATCTTTCCTTGTGCGTAGACGGTGTTCCTGGGGACACTTAGATCAAAACTCCTGATGGGTAGGATCTGATTTGGTCCTCTGGTCATTCTAATACTAAAATAACAATCTAGAGTATTTTTGTATGCCGTAGAAGTAATGCACGTAAAGATAGTCCAAAGTCAGATCATGCTCTGCTTATGTGTTTTCATCAGGACTTCCCAAGTCTTTTATTGAAGTCAGATTATGTTTCATAGGCCACACGTTAAATTTGCTCAGAGTTTAAAAAATAATATTCATGTCATGAGAATTCCGATAATGATGGGTTTTGCAGTGTATCAGAGCTTGTGATTCGGCCATTGAGAACTCGTGATATTTTTGCAAATGTTCCATGTTGCTCTTATGTTTAGTATGTAGGCTGTTGGTTTCCTCTCCACTGTCGTCAGTGACCAAGTCCGCTTTGCTCAGTATGAATGGCAAAGCGCTTTGATTACTTCTCCGTTTCTGCTGGGGAACCCCAATCCCTGTGCCGTTTGTGATCTCTAGAATTCGCTGTTCCTGTGCCGTTTGAACCTGTCGTGTCAAGGAAAAAAATTTAAGAAAGCCGTTGATCCTTGTGGAAGTCGTCCCAAGGCTAAAGCGTAGAATATTACCGTTCGTAATTTGACTTTTTACGTCGGCTGTTATTTTAGAGAACTGGCGATGGCACGAGTTCGTCTCATGCTGCCGCGGGTTTTCTGTTGCTTCGTCTGGCGTTGCGTCCATCATTCTACAGCTTCTGTATAAACGAGAGGTTCAAAATTGCAGAACGCAAGAACTGGTCATACTGTCCGGAGCGCATACGCTGGGAGGAAAAGGCTTTGGGAGCCCAATCGTCTTTGACAACACCTACTACAAGATACTCTTGGAGAGACCGTGGGTGTCCTCCGGTGAGTAGCCAGATGCCCGTCTGTGCAAATTGGACGTGATAATTCTCCTTGTGGGTTCCCATTTGGCGTCATTGCCTTGGACCGACGTCCGCGGCCTGCGATTAATGCTAGTCGGATCTTTCAGTTGCAGGCTCAGGCCCTTCTATGTCGAGCATGATCGGGCTCCCATCGGACCATGCGCTCGTGGAGGACGCCGAATGTCTGAGGTCCTTACCGACGACGTTGGTCTCTCTTTCATTGCCGGCGCATTGCACCGTGGGGCTTGATGTCTGATGCGCCTTCCTTGCTTCTGCAGGTGGATCACGATCTACGCAGCTGATGAGAGGAGGTTCTTTGAAGATTTCAAGAGGGCGTATGTGAAGCTCGTCAACACCGGCGCGTCCTGGAGAGATGCCTAGAAGACGTCTTGCTTTAAGCCCCCCTTCTTCTGCTGTGGGAGCTATAGCCGACGTCTCAGATGCAGATTTCGCGTTTCTTGAAGAGAGAGAGAGAGAGAGAGAGACAGACAGACAGACAGACAGAGGGAGAGGGAGAGAGAGAACGGGTGGAAGTTTTTATGGACAAAATACGATCGGGGAAACGAAACGGAACACCCAATGGGTCCCGCTAGGACCGCATGGTGGTCGTAGATGCACTCTAGACGGCGGCGAGCTCCTCCCGTCGTCGCCTCGGACGTTATCTCGCGATGTACTGCGGGCCATATGCTCAAATGAAGATGAATTTCCGCAGTCAGGAGGGAGCGAAGATCCATCCGCAGTACAGTGTGCTGGGCATTGTTTTTGCTCCAGTTTCAGAGCGCGTAAACGTCTGGCAGGCCAGAGGGATCGCCTTCATTTTTGAGGCGGAGGCGGTAATGTGACGTATACCGACGGAGAGCGAGAGGGAGCAGGAGAAGCAAAGGATGGTTGGGAAGTGGGGCCCGGAGGGGAATGAGGGTGAGGGAAGGGGAGCCTCGGAGCAGCGGCGCCTCTCCGACATGTCCATGGATGCGGAGCTGGGAGTTGTCTGAGCGCGTGCATGGGTTCAGGGGAGTCGCTGAGTGGAGCGTCGAGAGGCATCCGTCAGATAGGCCAAGGAGATTTTCTCGCGGACAAGACCACCAGATTTCGTGCTTCCGAAGGGTCTCACAGAGATTGAGAGAGAGAGAGAGAGAGAGAGAGAGAAAGAGACGGCTAAATAATTCTCGCAGGGAAGAACAGTTTCACTAGATGATCCCGCGGCGCACGGAGACCGAGGGAAAGAGTTTATCGAACAAAAAGAGGTACATGAGAAGAGAAAGACGACCGGAGAAGGCCTTCCGTCGCCTCACACAGAAGGCCGAGCATCATCACTCGCCCCCGGCAACGGCGGCCAACCGAGACACAACCCACCCCAGCCACACACAGACAGAAGGATGGCGCGGCCAAAAACAGCAGGCTTGTCCAAAAATCGGGGTGGGTCGCCGACCCCGAGTAGGGAGAGCCAAGCCGCACGTCACAAGTCGCTGCCACCCGTCCCGTCTGTGCAGACGTCGGAGCAAATATACGCTCGCTGCGGAGAAATGAACTAAACCCGGAGCACCGGGGCCGTCCTCGAAAACCGCAGCTGCAATGGCCGTCGAGAAAACAAAGCCTCCGACTAAACGGGGGCCAAAAACAGGGCGGAACCCTGAAAAAGAACTCGAGGCCATGGCTGCGGCCCGCGGAGGCACCAGCACCCCAACACGACCCGAAGAGGGGAAAAAAGGAAAAGTAGACGGAACCACGACCGGCGAAAAACCAACCGGTACGGGAGCCGGCCGGTGAACGAGCGCCGCCGTCTCGAGGTAGCCCGCAGCTGTAGAGTAGAGGAACACCCCCGGGTTCGTCGATCAGGAGAGGATGTCGCACTGCGGCATCTTCTTCTGAAGCGAGGCGATGGCGTGGGTGCTGATCGAGTTGCACAGCTGGAGATTGAGCCCGGCCAGCATGTGACCTAGCTTGTTGAGGTGTTGTAGACTCCCCGACGAAATCTTGGAGCAGCCTGACAAGGAAAGGACCTGCAGGCCAAGGACGCCCACCGCAGACGCCAAGGCGGCAACTCCGTCGTCGCTGATGGCACATTTTGACACGTCGAGGTTCTCCAGCACCATGCAGTAGTCAGCGACGGCCAGCAAGGTTTCGTCGGTGACCTTCCGGCAGCCCTCGAGACTGAGGGTCTGAAGAGTCCCTCCGTGCTGCTTGACGAGGGCGAAGGCCGCCGCATCCGTCACGTTGATGCATCCGCTGAGAGAGACCTTAAGGAGGCCCAAATCACAGCCCTCGACCACGGGGAGGAGCCCGGCATCGGTCACTGCAACAAGCCCACTCAGGCTGATATGCTGCAAGCGCGGACAAAGCTTCCCCACCAGCGCTAGGCTGGAGTCGCCGAACCCCGGGCAGTGGCAAATCCTCAGTGACCGCAGGGACAAGCAGGAGCGGATGGAGACCAGGGAAGAGTCGGCGACATCTTTAACTCCCATGCAGCTGGTGAGCTCTAGCGACCTCAGCTTCGCCTGACAATTAAGGAGGGCACCGAGAATCCCGACCAGGGTGATCCGGTTGCATTCCTCGAGCTGAAGGGCCTCCAGAGAGCCCGCAGCCGAGACAAAGGCGTTCAGGCCGGCGTCCGACAGGTAGATGCACCTCCGAAGATGCAGCTTCTTCAGCATCGGGCAGCCCTCCGCAACCGCTTTCAGGCCGACATCGGTCACCCCACAAGATGTAACAGTGAACGATCTCAGCTTCTGCAATCCGCGCCCGCTGCCCATGACCCAGAAGCCCCTTTCGCTGATGAGGGGCAGACCGGTAAAAACAAGGTCACTAATCTCCTTGCCGTAGTACCCGATGACAGCGAGAGATGCATCGGTTATGTTGACATGCTGAAGTTTCATCTTCTGCAGAGACGTGGAGGTAGATGAGACCAGGCTTGCGACTCCCTGGTCTGCCACGAGGCCCAGATCCACAATAGAAACAGATTTCAGAAGCTGACAACACCGGCCGATAGACTGAAGACCCTCATTCCCGATCTTCGGACATGATTCAATTACCAGGGAAGACAACTTTGGGCACTTGTTTGCGATGGCAATGAGGCCCTTGTCCGAGATCGAGGTGCATCTGCAGAGATCCAGCTTCTCTAAAAGAGGGCAGTGGTCAGCAATTTGAGCCAGCCCCTCGTCAGTGATGGAGGGAGAGTTCCACAATGACAGGACCCTGAGGGAAGGAGAACCGCGGGCAACCGCACCAAGACCAATATCTGTCACCGGCCTGCTCGCGTTGCACCCACGGATCAAGAGCTCACTAATCCCACCTCTGCATGTGGTTCCGACGGCCATGGCAAGTAATCTAACATCAGTTGCTTCTTTACCCTCCAAGCACCGGCTGTGGAACATCTCATCGTCCTCGGACAAGTCAAGATCTTCATCATGCTCCTGATATACGACGCTCTCGTTTAGGTCGGGCAGAAGGTTCTTCTGCAGCTTGCAGGCGACCGAGGGAGGGATATCGGAGCTGCGAATGGTGCTCAAGAGCATGAGCCACCGTTTGGAGACGCACGCCGATAGGCTCCTCTCACGTTTATCCTCCACACGCCGGAGGATTTCGAAGAGGCACTCGTCAGGAAGGGAATCGATAGAGACCTCCTCGCTCTGGCTCCCCGAATTTCCCCATCCTTCCGGAGAGAAAGACGAAGGGCTAGGACGAGCCCTCTTGTGAGGAGGGAAGTAGACACCAGCGTGAGCAAGAGACACGCAGCGACTCGAATCCATGAGGCTAGAGAAGAGCCGTCTCCCGTGGCGGATGTCATCTTTCCCTGTGAGGCAGAAAATTATATGGGTCCAAGTCAGCTAGAGTTGCATGCGCACATCTTCGGAAGCTATCCATCATCTCGACATATGAAGATGAATCAGAATTATAACGAAAAAAGAAGAAAACCACGGAATCCAACCAGGCATCAAACCGCACGGTAGATCGATCAAGACGAAGATAAAACGCGCGGGAATCCGGTTCATCGGGAAGCTTCAACAACAACCAAGCTACAAGAAACCAGACAGATCTCGACAACCCCCCATCACCACCAGTTTGGGAGGAGGGAGGAGGGCGCAGACTTTGGGATGGGGAAGAAAGTCTCTAGGATCGGATTTAGAAGGAAGAAGATCGCCAAACCGAGGGAGAAAAAGAAAAGAACGAAGATGTGGGGAAGCCCGAAGATCAGAGACGAATCAATCAGATCCGGAGGGAGAGGTACGGTGCCTCACCTCCACAGTTGACGAGCGCCGACATGCTGCCTGCCGCGAACCCACAACCACCCGCGGGGAGGAGAAGCGGAGGGTTAAGGGGGAGACGGTGAATTGAAGCAGCAACAACAGCAGCGGCAGGCAGCACCCAGTACCGGGGTGCATCGACAGAAGCGCCGAGCGTCGAGAGCGTCCGCGGCGTCGGCGGACGGCGCCGCAGATGAGAAGGCGAGAGGAGGGAGGAGGAGGAGGGAGAGGAGGGAACAGGCGATCTTGTACCTCGTCTCCGGTGGGGGCCGTGCTTTCTCCTTTTACGCCCGCGAGCCAGGCCCTTCACCCGCGTCGCTGTCGACGTCATTTAAGGGAAAAAGATTCCGGCGATATACTGAGAGAGGCGACGGGGGGACCTTCATTGGGCCACCCAACGGGCGTGAGCTGGGGGGGGGCTGCTTCAGGTCCATGAACCTGTCCCATTCCGTCCTCCCCCCCCCCAGACGCTATCTTTCTGCCGTCGCGGCCTTCCCATTAAAAAAGACAAAAAACAAAAATATGAGGAGGCCGCAGCCCCACGCCCGAGACGACGAGGCTGCACATACGCCGCATCCGGACCCGATTCCACGGTCGTCGGATCGGATCAAGATCGGTTAAGAGGAGAGATCTGGGCCGGTCGACCTCAAGGATCTCGAAAGTTTTGAATTTCCCCCCCCCCCCCCCCCCCGCGACCTTTCCGTGGAACTCCGCCGGTCTTCCTTGACCGCGCCCACCCCACCCCATAATGGCGGCCCGAGGAGGGAGAAGCAGTCTCTCTCTCTCTCTCTCTCTCTCTCTCTCTCTCTCTCCGCTTGTTCTTTCCCTCTCGTTTTTTTTCAACGTTCTTGCCTAGCCACGGAGGGTGGAGGGAGCGGAGACCGCGTCACGTGGGGTTAATGGTTCCACTAGCAGGTAAGGACAAGAGGGTCCGCGCAAGTTGATCGCGGCCGGTCGGGGCGGCGGGGCCCTTCGTGACGCCGATCAGTGGCCCGCCGGCGCGCCGAAGGGGCGTTCCTTTTTGCCTTTAATGACCATCGGCGTCAGCGGGAGATACGGAGAGATTTGGGGCTGGGACCTTTCGCCTCTCTTCTCCGCCACGGCACCTCGAGCGAGCGAGTCAGTCTCCTTCCTTGCTGGCTACTTTGCTTGCTTCCGCCGCCAACATACGCCAGGCCGTGGATGCACCGCTGCGCCTAACACCCCGCGAGTCGCCTCCTCCACCTTCTCTTTTGCCCTTCCGTTTCGGGCAAATCTAGCATTAACGCGGGCAGATCTCTGTGGATTGAGAATAGATCGGCGCATCTAATGTCGGCGACGGCGTTCAACAGTGTGAAAGCAGCTGCCGCTCGGCTGGACACCATCCTACGAGCCTCCCACACTCACCGTCCTCGTGCAAGGACGGGCCAGCTAGCAGGAGGATGGCTGGCTTCCTTGAGCGGGGCCACGTCGCATAGACCCGACAGCAGCTTGACGGGGGGGGGGGGGGCCGACCGGTCGGCCGCATTGGCTGTGGTGTGGTATATTAAAAGCTATTGTAACGTATTATATTAAATTCACGTAATAAGTGGGAGGGGATACGACGACGACGACGATGCGCGCGTTATCCGACTTAAAGCTGTCGCAGTTACGCCGTCAATCCAGCTGAGAGAGAGAGAGAGAGATTGTGTGCGCAGCCACCCACGCGTCCCTCGGAGGCCACGAGCTGCAGCAACAGCGGAGACCAGGCCACAGAAGTCGTGCTGCAGCGGGAAGGCCCGTCCCCGTCGTTCTAGCGATCGACTTAGCGCCCGTGTTGTGCGCCGCCGATCGGGGCCCGACGGGCGGGCCGGGCTCGCTCGGATGCCCCCGGCCGGACTGGCCCGGTCCAGTCCTGACCTCGAGGACCACGGCATTCCAAGGGAGAACTTTTTCGACGGCGTGCCAAACCGGTAGGGACTCTTTTTGAACGCAGCCCGAGTCTCCCGTGAGCGTTCACTTCCATTAAATGGCCGAGAGCGGGAGGGAGAGGGAAAGAGAAAGAGGATGCTGAAATTCTTACGAATCAGGCACCCCTTAGGGCATGCGTCCTTGTAATACACAGCTTAAGGAGGGGTGTGTTGTCTCCCACTCCGAGAGCCCCGGTGGCGGGGGTTCGAGAGGGTGTCTGGTCCATCCAAAGAATGAGTGAGATAGACAGTGGCACTACTACGAGTTTACAGACCCAGAACCATCACCGGCGCCCGTCCATCTGTCCAGGAGAGACGATGGACGGACGGGTCCGCCTCCCGCCTCGCCGTGCTGTTTAACCGTCGCGGAGGAGGAGGAAGAGGAGGCATCGCAGGCGAATCAGTCAGTCGTACATACCCTCCTCCTCCCACTCGTCCACAAGCAAGTCCACCAATTCCTGCAAGCAAAACCAGATTTCCCTCCTTAAGCAAGGCCCCGCAGACTGGCCACACCTTCCCAAGGAGAGAGAGAGAGAGAGAGAGAGAGAGAGAGAGAGAGAGAGAGAGAGGACGGGTTCCTACCGACAGAGGGACGGGCCGCGAGAAGGGCCTCTCGCTCCCGATCAGACTCTCATACGTCGCATTCCAGCTGCACCAACTGAAGAAGAACCAACATCGTCTTCAAAAAAATTGCGACTCGAAAGAGAAACTAATATATCCATCATTCAAAAAACCTTCTTGGCGGCGCATCGGGTCTTGTTTGTCAAGTAGAAGAGCTTAGAAATTGCGAGGGCAAACGGTCGACGACAAAGAGGGGGTGTGGCCTAAAATGCAGCTTCCGTAAATTGCATCCCGTTTTCCTGAACGGCGCTTCTAAGACATTAAAGAGGATGTATTACCAAGCGCACGCTTGGGACTCACTCGGAGATCGGACGTGCTTCTTGTCGGAGCGACGACAAAAGGAAAAAAAAGAAAGAGGAAGAACGCGAAAGCATTGTACACTTGGGAGGCGCAAACATAGCGCCGTGGTGAAAATAAACAGCCCCCGGCCCCGCTCAGTCTCAGATGTGATCTGATTGATCTGTTCTAGAATATGGACGAATGAGCTTCTCACACCATGCTTCTAATAAAAACACCAGGCCTCTGAGGCTGTATCCTCAGCACCTCGACTCATTCCTGTCAACTGGAGATCAGAGTCTGCATCGAGATTTCTCTTAATTTCCCATGATCTGATCAAGAATACTCTTTAGACATAGCATAGGAAAGGATCGTCTACCCATGGATTACAATTCTACAGGGGAAAACTCAGTACAGCTTTGATCTCGTAGGCATTATGAGGCAAAAAAGTAGGAGCATGACCTATCGTAATGTAAGTTCAGGCTTGTCTCCTAAAGATATTAGATCATTGATCCAGCTTTCAAATTAAAAAAACAAACTTGAATGGATGGGCTCGAAAAACCAAGAACAGATAACCTTTGATACATACGGGAAAAAAATTGAAGTACCATCTCCGCTGTGGGCACGATTTCTAGTGGGACGATAAGAATTCTTAGCTTTTGTCTTATGATACCGTATGTGATTAAGCCAAAAGAATGATAGACCACTGCCATCCAAAACGTTGAGATTGCGACCAACAGTGTAGAATACGGAATCAAAGGAAAGCTTTTGAAAACGCAAAAGACCATGAAACCAGTGAGAAATTAGTGGGAACCCTTTGACAGCTGGACTCCCAGAACTGGCCGGACACAGATAGAATTGGCAAGTTCCGAACTGGAATTCGAATTACGACCACACAGCCAGTTATAAAACAGTTTGTTATGGCGTTAGATGGCAAGCGAGAGAATACTGTGTGGGTTCTTTTTAGCGTAGACATGAAGGTTTAGTCTCACATTACTGCAATTACATCTCTCTGGGCTTAACAAATCATTCAACCTTTCCTAGAACCAATAGGGTTTATTTTGACGATTAAAAAAATGATAATTTATAAACTAACTAGCACTGACTCCATGCAAAGTTTATGCCACATAAATATACGTTCAGAAGGGGCAAACTGTCAAAAAACTGAAGCAAATAAATTTGATAGTCGAAGATCGTAGTCCAAAATTTGATAAATTATTTTGAATCTAAGCTCAACCAGTTGGAGGTATGTAGAGAATGATCAAGTCGGGGTCTTCAGCGAGTCCACGAGATGCATTCTTGTCATTTGTCTCTATCTAAGGATGGGGGGAGGAAGGGGGGGGTGTGGTGTTTGGGGACGTCCCTACCTCTTCTAGTGTGTGTGAGACATTCTCTCCAAAAAAGAACGAGAGCTAGTGTGACTGACTGTAGACATATTTGCATCTAAATCTGTGCCTCTTTCCTCTCTCCCCTCTGCCCATCGTATTTGCATCAGTTTCCGCTGTGCAAGAAGGGGACGCTCGTCACCTAACCTAACTCTCGTTGACTGTGGCAGCAACCATTGAAATATCTATAAACATGGCTCCCAAGCAGTGACTAAAATATATACAGTTTGACCTAGAGTCCACGACCAGAACACAAATGTGGGGTGTTACGATAAGGACAAAGGTATCACATACTCAGATGCTTGCCCTAGAGTTCAAGCTTCGGTCCCCACTGTGTAAACAACTGCTGGCAATACATTGCCCTACAAGAAAGTGTTGTCGATCACTATGTACGATGCTATTTATAGAAATGGAGCGCAGCGATATCTATCACGCTTAGGATTTTCTCTGTCCTAACCTAACCCTCATTTTGAACTTATTAACAAGTCATTTTGGTAGATAAAAAATGAGAGGTAAAAAGGTCTCCGAGGATCATCAAGATTTAGGCTTCCTATCAAGTCCATGGTGGAAGTTCCAGTTCCTTTGGTGCATTAAAACTCGACACTGAGACTCATAAAGCCTCAATCGCTTTCAAAACTCTAGCATTCAATTTCATAAAATGTTTATCGGATTTTCTTCCATTTACGAAGTGGGCTTGGTTACTGTCTAAGGTCAACCTGACAACTAAATCTTTCTTGTGTCATCATCTGGGCTGATTTTCGGTTTAAATGGCTTTTAATATAGTCGCATGATCCATGTTCCAACTATTCACCCACTCTTGTTCTGTTACTCCAAACAACCAGCAACGTTTATGACGAACAAACTTAAAAGTACAGAAAAAAAAGTTCCATCATCTACTTTCTTACAAGAACCTTGACTTACCTTAATCTAGGTTTTATTGCTTGCTTCGTATGATCATCTGGTTTGCTGCATCCGATCCAATGTTGTCTTGTTTGATTCCAAAGGATAAGGCCTAAACATAAATAGATTTATGTGGGAAAATATTACAGGTACATTAAGAAGAAGAAAAATTCAATGAGAAATAAGTCTTTGAGGTTTTTTTATCGATTCGTGTGAAAGTGTATGGTAGAGAAACGGCCTAAAAACATTTTCTCACCCAGAATGAAATATCATCCGCCAAAAGGGAATCAATCTATCAGAAGATACAATTTTTAAATGCAATCACACTGACCATTACGTTCCAACTGGAAAACCTAAGAATCAAAATATGTTTTATCAAAAAGTTCAATCAAACGCTAAAAATAGTGGGTTTTTTCTCTATGACTTTAAAATAAGGGCCTCTTCTACAGTCATCTAGATCAAGACCTGTCCATTTTCTTCCATTTTTGAGATTGTCGCTTTGATCCAGACAAAAACTGAATTGGTTTCTAAAAAAATAAATTCCATATGTTTGGAAATCATAACCGGAGATGATACATAAATCAGTTGGCACTCACCATGATTGACAAAGTCAGAAGGATTGCTGGCATTGCCTGTCACATGGAGATCCTGTGTCTGAACACATGTGCTTATTGAAGAAAGATTTCTCTGGGACTGCAATCCATTATTATCCATATCATACGTGCTCGTACTCCAGAAATCCTCGGAAATACTAGGCGTTTTCACAGTTTGCCCTTGGATTTTTAAACCCTCGGAAGGTTCATCAACCTCAATAATTTGATAGGACTTGCTACAGCATCCAAGACAACCTCTGCTCTGTTACAATTCAGGTTAAGCAAGTGCCCCCGAATATTTGTCTATGTCCAGGGAATACAGTAAAAACTTCTTCAAAAAAATTGGAAAGATAGTATTCCCTATCAGATTCTTCAAGTTTACACGTTGATTATTGAAATCCAACTCAAATTGATGTCATTTTCCATATTTCATTTAACAATTGTGCCGTGAGATTGTGAACCAAGATAAGCCAAAAGAAACAATTTCTGAGTCTTGCAAGGAAGAAGATTTAGCGAAAACCATTTCACTAAGCCATCAAAAGTATTCTGAATAGATAAATTTTGGCATCTTCAGCACATGATAAAAATGAACAGAGTATATAAAAGTGAGACGGGTAATATTTCCACGTCATGCTTTGTTTCTGGGTAAATTGGAAAAAAAAATCAGTGAAGGAATTAATAACAAAGCTACAGGATCCTGTCGATGCACTGTTCTATGCATTATCTCCAGTCACCTTCCCACATGGTTTGAGCACTTCACAGAAGCTAAATAAAAAAACTGTGGCATACAATGTTTACAACTACCACACGGAAATTTTGTTTGGGAGAATACTTTTAAGAATCATTTTGTCCAATAAGAGAACATCTAATTAGTTAATCCGAGAAAATAACACAACACGTTTTTGCTAGCACAAATTGGTATTTGGTTTGATGTGTACACTCACTAATGACGAAACTAACCCGAAGTCCGGAGAGTGAACGGAGAAGAAAAGACGAGAAGCGAGTGTTCCAGGTTCGAAAGTTATCCTCCCATCGGCAACAACTAAAAAAGGATGCTTTTCTGGCAACCCTAGCTCATCAGCCCGTCTACATTGAAAGTTAGCTCGTACATCAATTACAAACAGTTTGCATCTCTTAAGAGATTATTATAATAACCTGTTACCAATGTAATTGATGTCAACCTGAAACCAAAACAGATGCCAACAGAGGAAGATGGGAAGAAGGGGAAGATCGGGGAGAGGAATGGAAGAAGACGATGAGGGAGACGCGACCAAGGGGAATCCCAAGAGTCAGTTATGAATTTCGACAACCTTTCGTTTAGGAGTCCCAAAATCCTGATGTCTTTAAGCCTAGAAGTGAGCAAGATATATATTAGAGGCCGCTGGCATTAAAACTACAAGAGATAGAGATGACTATTACAGATTCAGCAGTTGGACGAGGAAAGGCATTGCTGCACAGGTTAGTGTACCCACGAAATCAGAAATGAAGAATATTCCTCATTTTGTTCATTTGGTATGCCACTATTCTGATAAAAAAATCAAATGCAAAGTATAATGAACTAAACAGAAGAAGAAAAGAGAAGAGAAAGAGATATAAAGGCTACAGAAGAGAGAAAAACGTGAGAAAATCATCTTCGCACCTACCGAGGTGGTAGTCAGAGAGGAGGTAGAAAACTAGTACAGGATGCTATACTAATCTTTGATGATACTCACTGGGCTCACTTGCAGCTCAACTCCAATTTCAATTGTTCCTGAAAAATTCGAAACAAGCAGTATAGCTATGCGGATCATGTTTTGCACATTTTCCAAATTTTGTGAGAATTTTCAGGTATGTTTCTCTCTCCAGATGGCCCATAGATTATCTAGTAATGGTATTATCAACAAGTCAAGATCAGCTAGGATATGACAGCAAACCCAATTTCGTAGCAGCACAATTTCTCTCCAGACAGTAGACTAAAGTGAAGAAAATCTCATTAATAGCTAATCAATGTCTTCGTCATGCAAACAATAAATCAAACACTTACTCTAGATATTTAACCTCAACTATTGAAGTTCCTCACTTGTGGGAAGCCTGCTGTTAACAATTGAAGAGGAAAGTTTTAACTTCGCATCGAGTTTACTCTTCCAAACCATTCTCCATACGAAATATTTTAATGAAGGAAATAATAATGAATAGTCTTGTTAATCATTCCGAATCCAACTTGTTTTGTATCCTGATTCCGCTTTCATCTTGGAAGGATGAAGGCTATGTATAATTCAGTTGTGGGATTCTCAATTAACCTCCGTCTAAATTGTAGACTTAAAACTATCATTCGTCCACATCTCATCAACGTGTTTGCTCTTGTCCTGGAATCTGTCTTGTAAATGTTGGAAATGTACGGAAAGAATCCGCATCACCATGCAGCCAACTGTTCCCCGAAAATGACAACCTCCTTCCATTGTCTAGCTAAAAATTGGCCCAATATGGATGGGGATTTTGTTTTCCAAATAGGAAACACTCCAGATATGTTCATCGAAACAAACCTCCCATCACTCCCCTTTTTGAAATAAATTCTTCAGTAATGTTAGCCCATGAAGAGTTAGTCTCTGCTACTTCTCACAATATTTGCGCAAGAAGCAATCGATGATCATTCCCGAGAGCTTTGATTCCGACTGGGTCAGTTCCCAGGAGTCTCTACGCGGAACCTCGTACGATAGTGAGAAAGGACCTCATTCCAACCTGGTAAGCAGAGACTCGTCTGCCCAAAGAAGTAGCTCGTGGTATCTCTAGTCTCCTCACCATGATGCAAGATTAAACAGATAACAAGGCGAACCAGGGATCTTGGGCCCAGTTATTTTTTCTACACGTTTTTCTGATGGTGTAACATCGGTTGCTGCTCAGAGGGCGAAGAGGCCCCCGAGTAAGGTTTTCTTTGTAAAACAAAGCCCGCAAAGGGACATGGGAGAGCCGGCTATCGAAGACACAGAATCGGGAACACTCGCGGGATGCGCGGGGACACGCCCTTGCCCCCCCCTCTTCTGGACGCCTCGGCTGTGTGGACCGATTCTGTCGAGAGTACGGGGGGGAGGAGGCGGAAGCAGAGAAGAAGAAGTAGCATGGACGGGCCTCCATATCCTTCCCACCCTCATTCGTAAACTCTTAAAGCGGAGCAAACAGAGAATCCAGAGATGCGGCAAAACGAAGATTTAGACTTTAGAAAGTGAGCAGTTCTTGAGATAAGCTCGCCACAGGTTTGGATGTAGAGAAGGGAAGAGGCCGGTTCGACTTACCCCATGCATGTCAGAACCTGGCCAAGCCAATAGGAGATCGATCTGCCAGTGTCGCCGCCGGGAAGCATCTAGGCTCGAGCATCTAGAGCTACTGGCTTTAATGCCTCCTCGTTGGCCCGCGCACAGACCGAGCCAGATCCGCAAGTTATCTCCCGCGTCAATAGGGTTGAAGGAAGCCGATAGATGGCCCGGAGATCAAGCAGGAAGTTGAGGAGCTCCGCCGGGTCCAGATCCTGGAAGTCCAGAATAGCGCAGAGGTATGTGTAAGTTGTTTTAATTCAAGACCAGAATTGAGGGAGACAGAGAACGAGGGAGGAGGAAGAGAAGAAGAAGAAGGCGAGAAAGAGGTTTGTGCAACCAGAACTCGAGGTTCTGCAATAGTGGAAACTAGGAGAACAGGGAAAGAGAACGAATCGAAAGGTGGATTCAAGGGCGCCCACGGATCTCATTACACGTAGGGTTTACATTATTCAGTTCAGCAAACAAAAGTGATGGACGAATTGGGGAGGGACTCACGAACAGAGAACTAAGGCATCCCCCGCCCCTTGGGAAGACAGCAGAAGGTAGTACGGGAAGTCGAGGCAATCGGCAGCCTGTGGAGAAACTACCAGGCCCATGGTCTGGCGAGTGCCGCTGCGGAGTGATCGAATTCTTCCCTCAGATTGGACAGCGTCATCGGAGCCCGCCCGCTTCGTCCCTCGAGCTTAGTCGAGATGTCGCCCGATACCAATCGGCCGCCTGTGGACCCTTTCCCACCTCGATCCGGGACGCTCAACCGGAACCGGAGACACCCCCTCGTCGTCTTCGTCCTCCCTGTGTATCACCGCCGCCGCCCTCCCAGCGGAGCCGCGCGCGGGAGTCCTTGGGGACGGTATTGCAGGCGCCTAGTCTCTCTCGCACTCTGAGGCCTTGCTTTCTCTCTCTATCTCTCTCTCTCTCTCTCTCTCTCTTTCTAACTAGGACTAACTATTTCAAAGCGCAAGCCCCTACAGGATCCTCGGTTGTAGTAAGAAAGCTCTGGTCTTTTCTCCGGCCGATCTCCGGTGGTCGTGGAACGTTTCACAGTGTATTTGGTTTTGAACAGTACCCACCACGGAGGAACGGCCGCGATGCCGCCGGAGCCACGTACTGGCGTCTCCGACTAAGGCAAGACGGCAGGGTGGGCCGGCGACGACATAGGCACCGCGAACGCGATACATACCCTTTTTTTGACTGTTTGTTCTCGGCCATCCCCCGCGAGGACTGGCGGAGAGGTAGGTTCTCTCCAGCCCTCAGTGGCGTTGACCGGGGCAAAGGCGGAGATAAGCGCCGGTGCGACCGATGTATTAATATTTTTCCTCCGACGTATTAATATTTTTCCTTTTGGCTCTTGGCGTCGACAAAGCAGAAGCCTCCACGAAGTGAGACCGATGTTTTGCGTGCAGATCTGGCGGATGACTCGACCTGACAGTGAAGGGAGGCTCGGGATGGCGCCGGTGGAGCGTGCTCGACGTGAAGACTTCGCGATCACGACGAGGGTATGAACTTTTTTTTAACTGTAAATGCTGAGGCTGGGATTTTGATAAGAAACGAGAATTCCTCTTCCATAACTCTCTCTCTCTCTCTCTCTCTCTACCTCTCCAGCTGCAGAGGGAAAACTGACGGGGTCGTGCGGGCGACGTGTAGACAGGATCACGCCATATGGTAATGGCGATCCCGGAGGATCCCATTATACAGGGCCGTCCGGTTGGCCGGCATTCCTCGTGATATCCCCCGTCCAATTTCCGACCCACCGTAGCGGAGGGGTGAGACCTCCGACATCTTCTCTACCCTCGCGTCGCCTTCTTCATCTTGGACGTGCAGCTCGACCACCTGCTCGGCAAAATGGACCCTCTTCTTCTTTTGCTGCTGCTTCTTTTTCTTCTTAGTCTCCTCGTCCTCCTTATTCGTCGACGTGGCCGGCATCGTCCTCCCAGATGTCCTCTTCGTTGCATCTGTGAAATTTCAGAAAACCCTAGTTAAGGTGGACGCAACCGGCTACAGAAATCCACGGAACTGATCTATCTGATCCGCCAATTACCAGAGATGGAGGACCGTAATGAGGAAAGAGGAAAGAGGGAATCCTCCCCGGCGACGGCGTCCAGTTGCGGGGGGGAAGGCGACTTCTGCCGGCAGAACCCCAGGAGAACGACAGTGCCGGAAACCGCCACCGCCGTCGCCAAGGCTACGCCATGGGAACCCATCATCGAAGGCATCACCGAGCACGAAGAAGACGGCGAACAACAACGAGCGACGGCCGCCCACCCACTAAAGAAGAGAAGGTCCTCCCCGACGAGGAAGAGGGTTCGATAGCAGCGTGTACAGAAAAAGAAAATTACGCCACACCGCCATTTGTATCGAGGCGCCGGGATCGGCCTCATGACGCCATCTCGTGGGAGCTGCTGGAAGAGGGTGGACGTCATCTCGGGCGCAATGTGATTTTATATCCCTTGCTGTCGACTGGGGGCCTCGACGCTGCTGCCTGCGTCCTCCGCGACGGCGACGCTCCCCGGCTTGGCCACGAATTCAAAGGGAAGAGAACGAAAGAAAAAGAAAGTGCCGACAGCGTCACGGAGGAATGAAAAGGAGGGAGAGGGAGAGGGAGGAGGTCCCCCCACCGCCACCGCTCAGAAAAGAGCCGTCCACCGAGCGAGGGCACGGGAAGAATGGCCCGAGGCCCCCGCAATCCGGCACAGCCACATCCGCCGCCGCTGCCGCCAACAAGAACGACGATGGGGATCAGTGTCAAATCCAATGCCGTCGGGCGAAGCCACGCCCCCGTGAGATGCCTGACTGCTACGAATATCCAGCGTGTGCATGCATCGGTCCCGCACGCGGGCGTCGTACGTTCGTCATCTCCTTCCACAACCATCGTCGGAGTCCCTGTGGATGATGACGACCCCGCTCTCCCCGCGGGTCGATCGATCTCCGGGCAGTAGCTGGCGGCGATGGCAGGCAAGCAGGCAGGCAACGAGACGATCTGTTGAGTGAACCTTTTTTATACATACAAACAACAGGAAGGAGCCGTCGGCGCTCGAGAGAGGCCGTCCCCCCACGAGCGCACCCCCGTTCCTTATTGTGGGTCGCTGCTGCTGCGCCCGACAAAGCAAGACAGAACAAGGAGGATAGATCACACGCGCGCTGATTATTCGCAGAGAGAGAGAGAGAGAGAGAGAGAGAGAGAGAGAGAGAGAGGGGCAACGCAGGTGGCGGTGGGAGGGATTAGGTGGTGAGGATGGGGGGCAGATAATCGGTCTTGGTGCCCAGGATCCGCGCCTTTGTATCGGGGAAGAACTCGGTGCCCGGCAGTTCCGAGACCCCTCCGTCCTCGGCGACCGAAATGGGGTAGGTGAGCAGGTGCCCCGGGAGATCGTCTTCGAGAGTCTCGCTTGTGTACTGGTCCCAGTAGCTGTCGGCGATGCTGTTCACCTTCTGCACGCACTCCAGGCTTTCCGGGCGGAGGAAGAGGTCGTCCTGAATCCTCAGGTGCTCGTACCACAGGGCCAGCCGGAAGCCGTGCACCTGCCCCCTCGCCGGCTCCTCCCCCCCCAGATGGTATGGCTGGTATGCTCCCATGGCGATCTCCGAGTCCCTCGATCCATCCATCGACCTCTGGTTGATGTTCGCCGACCCCACGATTATGTATTCGTCGTCCACTGGAGCCATCACCATCACCACCAGCAGTCAGGTCAGACGAAGAACAAGGAGAGATTAAAAAAGAAAAATTCCTCCATCCGAAACCAGGAGCAAAAGAGTGGGGTGCAGCCACAGCGAGATTTACCGATCATCATCTTGCTGTGGACGTAGATCATGAAGCGCCGCGCCTGTTGCGCCCGGATGTAGTCCGAGTCTGGCTCTGGTTCCTCCCCCGGTGCATATTCCCCGTCCCTCTTCACCTCCCGATTGCCGATGCAGAAGAAGGTGAGGTAGTCCCTGGGGCTCGCCTCGACGCCGTGGGTCCGCAGGGCTTGGGCAATGTCGGTGTACATCATCTCCATCGTCCTGCGCTGCCAGTCGAGGATCGCCTGGACGGATGCGCTCTCCGGGATGCCCTCCGGCCACATGGGAACCACAACGTAGACCGTGAAACGCTCCCCAGCCTCGATCTTGCTCACGATCTTCAACGAGAGCTCCTTGGGCACCAGATGGAGGGCCTCGATCTCCTCGAGGTTGATGCCGTCCGCCTTCCACGCGAAGGAGCTGCCGAGGAAGTACTGGTTCTCGATGTAGATGAAGTCCTTAGCCCGGCGGATGGCGTTGATGTACGCGTCCTGAATGCTCCGGTCGATGACGTTGTCCTTGCCGCTGATCAGCCCCGCCCTCGCGGCGTCCTCGGGCGTCTCCGGGAAGCCGAAGGCGGCTCCCTCGTCGATGGACCTGAACAGCTGGACATCCCAGGTCTCCCTGTCCTCCGGGAACGTGACGGGCGAGGGGGGAATGATGGTGTCCGAGAGATCCCTGATCTGCACCAGGAGGTCCTTCTCCCCCTGCTTCCTCCATCGCTGTTCGAAGTTGTACAGCACGTCCCAGGCGATGGGGCCTTCCAGTCTGCTGTGGATATCGTGCCACGGCTCCCTCGGCCCACCCTTGGCGACGGACGCGCCCGTGAAGTTGGGCTGGTGGAAGTCGTCGTGGTGGGGGCCGTCCAGGGTCCGGAAGAGCGAATGGGAGGGCGTGTCGTACCTCCCGTCGCAGAGGTCGATGCCCCCGACGAAGCTCACGATCCTGCGCTGCTGCGACGAGGTCCCGCCCCTTGGCATCGCGCTATCCACCACCACGATCTTCTGGTGGTGAGTGAACATGGTGGCGATCTTCAGGCCCTGGACCAAGCTCCCGCCATCGTCGGGGTCGCGCGGGCACAGGACGCAGTTCACCTCCGTCCCATGGAAATAGTTCTCCGTCTCCTCGTCGTGGGTGGCCATCAGCCCATCCCTCTTGAGCAGGTCCACAGACGTCCTGTCGTCCCAGACGAGCATGAGCACGCGGACGCCCTCACTGGCCTTCCTCTTGAGCAGCTCCCCGAGGGTGACGGCGCCCCCCGTCTTGGGCCTGGCGGAGTCCCTCACCAGAGTGATCTCTGTGTAGACCGACCACCCGGTGATGTAGATCAGATGTTGCGCGTTGGTGATCGCGTCGAAGATGTCCTCCCAGCAGCGGTGGGGCTCGTAATGCCCGCCGCCGGCGAGGGGGATCCTGGGAATGAAGCCGTCGGGGATGTGGGCGTCCTGGTACAGCGTGACCTTGCAGCCCCGCCGCTGCGGGAAGAAGGTGTACGGCACGCCGGGGAACTTTGGGCTCCGGATGCCCCGTGCCCAATTGCGGTCCCGCGTGACGTGGAAGAACTGGAGCTTCACGTGGATCTTCGCCTCCCCGACGGGGTTCTTCTCTTCGTCAAGGATCTCCAGCCATCGGTCCAACTCCTCCCCGTTGGTGATCTCGGAGACAGGCAGATAGGCCCTCCCGATGAGGGATGCTCCGATGGTCTTGTCGAACTTCACGGTGAAGATGACGTTGGCCACCATATGGGCGCAGTAGATGTGGAAGGACTCGTACCATCGCGGGTTGTCTGCCTCGTCCGACAGCCGCCTCGTCCGCCCAACCCTCGCCTTCTCAAGATCGACGGTCGCGTAGACTTGGCCGGAGCCGCTCGCCAGCCCCACCGTCTCAACGAGCTGCAAGAAAAAAGGGATCGGCGTAAGTCCGATTTCAGAATGTCGTCGGGGAAGGGGGGGGAGACTAAAATCATGCCCATCTGGCGCATGATTTTGGTACCTTCGTCAATCAGAGAAAAGCGTCTGCTACTGCGCGGACCAAAATCATGAAGGAAGAAAAAGAAGAAATGGGATGTCGATGATCGATGATCGACGGGGAGAAGAGAATCGGACGAGGAAATCAGGTGTTGACCGGGACAGTAATGGTCTGACCGGGCGAGATCTGCCGCCTCTTCCAGGAGGGGGCGCGCTGCCGAGGGCGCCGAGATCTACACGGTCTATCTGCGGGCTGGAATCCTCTCGCTCTCCTCGCCCTCAGTCACGGCGAAGAAACTCAAATTTCGGCATCAGGTTGTGTTCGTCGGAAAAAAATGGACGACAAGAGAGAAGAAGATGGGGATGTTGACGAGAACGTCGACTTGGAGATCACAGAGGGCCGCGTCGTTTCGAGCATGTTTTAAGGGGACAAATATAGACAGAGGAGGAGACAGATCCGACTTCCTCGGTTGCTCATCGGCAGGCCGGTCCCCGTGCCTTCTCGGAGAGGCTCTCAGGGTGGAAGGGGGATGACGAGAAATCAGATCGGCCAACATCTCCGGCGGAACGCACAGAAGAAGGAATTCCGAGGGTACCGGGCGGACAAAGGGAGGGAGACGAAGGAGATGAAGGAAAACAGACATCCGGGATGATGATGGCTAGCGAGGAGCCTTCCTCTCCTCGGTATTAGTTTTCGAGGGCAGCACATACCTTGCTGAAGAAGCCCCCCACATTCCCACTTCCCCCGTTTGAACCGGAGAGGGAGGTGGCCTCGAAGATGGTGGCGTGCAGCGTGCCGTGGAGCTGAATAGGATCCATCCCCCCCAATAAATCGCCCTCCAGAACAGACAAGATGATCACAGAGCGAAGATCTCACGTCCCCGGACGATTTCGCGAGGTACAATAAACTGCCCGGGGGGGGGGGAGAGATGTTCCCTCGCCTCGTCCTCCGAGAAGAGCCGGATCTGATTCGATCACCACCGCCTACCTAACAGCACGAACAAGATCACGAAAGGAGGTGAGAATCGCACGAACCGGGCATTCCCTGCCGGCGGAGCCTCCGAAGCAAAGACGCCTCGCCTGAGAGGGGACAGAGGCTGACCCCGAGCAGGCGAGGAATGGGAGGGCGATTTTTCGGCTCGACGTCCGCGCTGAAGCTCTGCGGAACGCTCCAGATCCACCGCGGCGTGGGGCAGGCAGTGTACTCAGCAAACCCTCGCAGGCAAAGGAGAAGTATGACGTCCGTCAAGAAGTCGTTGTCCCGGGAGGTAAACATCAAGCCATCTATCTATCTATAAATAATGGGCGAGGGCCGGAACGAGATCCGGAACGGAAGTAGAGCTTCTCTCTCTCTCTCTCTCTCTCTCTCTCTCTCTCTCTCTCTCTCTCACACACACACACACACACACACACACACATACAGGCACACGCACGGCCCCCGAGTGCGGCCTGTCGAGGGGTCGGCGGTGCCTTCTTGCCGACGGCGGATGGGAGCGACCTTCTCGACAGCGGCGGTGGAATGGCAGCGGTCATAGGATGCGCGATTAAATCGCAGAGTGGGACAGCCTTAGCTTTTCCTTGCGCGATTAAATCGTCGTATCGCCCGGGGCAACGTGTCCCCGAACACTCATTAATCCAAGTCAAAGCGGCCTGCTCACGCCTACCGGGGAGAAGCGGCTCGCACGCGTGAGCAGATCGTACGTGTCGGTAGCACGTGATATTGGCACGTGCCCTCTGATGTAAGGTCCACACGATCGCGGCTGGTGAGCAGATCGTAGGTCGTTTCGGCGGCGAATGCTGATCTTAGAACCGTGGGGACGTGCCACCTTATGTAAGGTCGAGAGAATCGGACCCGTGAGCAGATCTACGTCATAGCGGTAAATGACGATATTACACGTACGTACCAACGATCAGGATGAGGCCCACACGGTTGTGGATAAGCAAACTGCAGAGCGTGGATCTGGCAACGCGCACGTCACCAGTGGACCGCATCCCGCCCTCAATCTCCGTTAACGCCCCACCGGCCTGTCAACACGATTAACGCGTTATGTGCCGACACGCGGACGTCCTCAACTCCTAGCTCTCTCTCTCTTGAGGGTGGGGGCCACAGTCTGAAGTCACGTGGAGGCGTTGCAGTCTGTCTTGAAGGCGTGGGGGATCTGGGCCTGAGAAGATCATCATCTCGGCCAAGTTGGCTCTCTGGGCCTAAGCTGGCCCCTTCTACGACGCTGGGTGGGCCGGCCCACCCAGCGTGTTCCCTCCCCCCCCCCCCCCCAAAACACCCGCTGGCCAAAGGCTCTTCTTTTTCAAGCTCCAGTCTTGGATCAAGCAAGACCTGGCATTTTTCTTTTTCCCCCTCGAATAAAGAAAACTGTCAGAGGGTGGACCTGGGCACTCGAATAAGGCAACTCCGCCAAGATCGCGCATCGTCTCTTAAGTGGGTGGGTGGGTGGCTCGAAGCTTCACAAGAGGAGACGCTCTGTTCTCAGTCAAAGCGCCGCCCAAGTTTCGTCACAGAAGAAGGCCTTCACTCTCACTTAAATGCGGAAAATGAAGCTGGTCGCGCCGCAATCAAGCACGGACCGCGTGCGAGGAAACGTTCCGTGGAATCCCTTCCCGGAACAGGGGATCCGCCGGAGTCGCGGGAATTTCGTACGTCGGTTCTTGGCGGACGAGCTGGTAGACATTTATGCGCTATCATTAATGCCCACGTCTCAGCGAGTTGCGATGCCCCCAATCTACCACGCCCTCTGCATCATCCCATTGCGGTGGTAGCGTGTCTTTCTATGGAGGTAGGGCTCTCCATGATGCCGCTGCCGTTTGATCCAAGTAGCCTCCGTTTGCACTAAGATCTGGTTCGATGAAGGAGTAGAAGACGTCGCAGAAGCCCCTCCAGGATGCCAAGATATCATCTTGCAGATAGATAATCGACGTTGCCTCTCAGCAACACGAGGAGCCTTCCGAGGGGGGCGGTTTTTAGAATCTTACGAGGGGACGGTTGCAATTTGCGTTCTTTCTTCCTCTCTCTCTCTCTCTCTCTCTCTCTCTCTCTCTCTCTTTCACACACACACACACACAAAAATTAAAAAAATCAAAGCGCATCATCTTGTAAATGACACAGTGAACGGTAGGTAGTTAGCTCTTCCCCTCCGCACAATGAAAAGGAAATGGAAGAACAGCAAATGATTAGTCGCGGGGAAGAGATTGCAGACGAGTGCGTGAGGACGTTTCTGCTGACCGGGCGGACGAGGTGAGCTGGAGAGAGGAGTGAGGAAAAGAAGTGTGGAGGGGTCGGATCAGCTCTGACTTGGGCGCTGCATTTACTGCTCGTGCCTGCCCACGTTGTCACAGCCCGCACCCGGCCATCTTCCCTGGAGCGAATGCATGGCTGTACACCCTCCTCTTTGGGTCAAAGACTCGTATCAGCCGGCCCAGCCTCACGCAGGCCCTCTTCTCGTCGTGTCCCCGCCCCTTCCATCCTTGGCCTTTCCATTCTCACCGTCCTCCTTTACACGGGCTGCCCGGCTCATTACCGTTCCCTTCCCGTCCCCTCCGACTAGTCGGTCGTCGTCCCCAGCGCCTGTCAATACACATACAGAAGCCGTCGAGAGGTACGGGCGGCTCCTCGTCGGACGGAGCCCGGCTCTTTGTCTGTCCTCGCTGAGCACTCAACATGCCAGCTGCCGGCGGCCACGTTTGCTCGCCCATTTCATTGCGAGGACGGGAGGCTCTGTAGGTTAGTTGCGCCTCATTACGACGTTCCACAAGAGGGGAGATCCCTTGCAGATTTCCCTTGTGGCTGTAACGTGCCTCATTTCATTTTCTTTACTATCTAGGTGAGGGCGCCAATGTACTTGTCCCGCTATTTATGTATGCTTCGTGGTTCGCCAGTTCATCATCGCTGAGGGGGAAGGAGGGGAGAGAGAGAGAGAGAGAGAGAGAGAGAGAGCAAAGAACCATTCGGGTGACTCATATTTTACAGCAGGAGATGGTCGCCGGCTACCCAATGGCAGGCTGAGTGGGACCGCGGTTAACCGCGGTTATACCCTTCTTATTAGTGAGGCATATATCTAGAAAGAAGTATTGGTCGACCGTAGGTGCCGGTCCCTTCTTACGGGATGGTAAGTTCATGTGAAGCTACGAGTGACTCCTTTTACGTTCTCCTCGTTCACTTCTCCCTCCTCCCGCATCTTGGGCTGCAGTCTTCTCCCCTCTATATCATTCATCAACCCTCTGCAGTTTCGTACTTTTCAGGCCTCACTTCAGAACTTTCTGAAAAAATCGTTACTTCTGGGCTTCCACTGCCCACTCTCTCTCTCTCTCTCTCTCTCTCTCTCTCTCTCTCTCTCTCTCTCTCTCTCTCTCTCTCTCTCTCTCTCTCTCTCTCTCTTTATCTATCTATCTGTCTCAATCTCTCAATCTCTCCATCTCTCTATCTCTACAGCATCATGGTACAGAGTAAGAAGTTCAGAGGCGTCAGGCAGCGCCACTGGGGATCTTGGGTCTCCGAGATCAGGCACCCCCTGCTGTAAGACATCTCCCGTTGTTCACGTCTATTCGACTTACATTCTTCTTCATATCACTTTTTGTGGCAACCTCTAGGCTGCGAATTTCAACATTATTTGAGACTTACGATCTCAAGTTTCATAAACAGGAAGAGGAGGGTGTGGCTGGGGACCTTTGAAACCGCCGAGGAGGCCGCCAGAGCCTACGATGAGGCCGCCGTGCTGATGAGTGGCCGTAATGCGAAGACCAACTTTCCTGTGACGAGGCCACCTGCCGAGGCTGACCGCCAGCTTGCGTCCCCGACCGGCCTCTCCGAGCTGCTCAGCGCGAAGCTCCGCCGGTGCTGCAAGACCCCATCACCTTCTCTCACCTGCCTCCGCCTCGACACAGAGAGCTCTCACATCGGGATCTGGCAGAAGAGAGCCGGGACTCGGTCTGATTCCAACTGGGTCATGACGGTCGAGCTCGCGAAGGGCGGCCAGCAGGACCCAGAGTCTGCGTCATCTTCTCGAGGCACTTACCCACCAGCTGCGGCAGCTGGGGCGGCGGGGGGAGAGCAAGCTGCCGTGTCAGAGGAGGCAAGCGCAGGGGGGATGGATGAAGAACAGAGGATCGCGCTGCAGATGATAGAGGAGCTTCTGAACCGGAACTGCCCCGTGGCAATGGCGACCGCTGGCCTCTTCCCCTCGCACCAGGATGAGTTCCCAGAGGGTCGACGGAATCTCCTCATGTGAGTCCGAATTCCTATTCGTCACCACCATCACTCGGGGCCTCGGGAGGAGACGCGATGTTGTAGCTAGAGTTCTATATTATTCTCTTGGAAGTAGATCAAAAAGAAAATTATAATAACAGTGCCGTTTATACTCCGTTTAAAGGAACTCCCGCAAATCCGCCGCCGCAGTTCTTTACTAGAGGCGCACCATGTGTCTTTAAGGGAGTGGAAGCGGCATTTTTTTCTAATAGATGGAGCCCACTGTTCTGCGATGAGTGGTTGAACCTCCACGCGCCTTCTTCTTCTTCTTCTTCTTCAACCGCTGACACCTTCTGGTGGTTATCCGTAAAAGTCGATCGTCTCTGAACTGGCGAGCGTTAACTACTTTCCATCCTCTGACCCAGATAAGATATCTAAGCACAGATGATAACCGCTCAGATATCAGTCACGGTGAAACCTGCCTTCGATACCTTTGCATTTTAATGGCCTTTCTACATAAACACAAATACGACTGATGTGTCTCCACTATAGCTGTTGGTGGTGGTTTGCTCGGAGGATGTTGACGCCGGCTTGTTCCTCTATGTGGCGATAAGTGTGGGAGATGCTCTGTCCAACGCTACGAAATTCCGCGAGATTTGTCCCGACAGGAAGGTCTCATGGCTTCGGATGAAGGGCCCATTCTGTTCATGAGGGTCTCCGAGGACGTTTCAGTCGCCATCTAGGTATAGATATATTCTTGGATGAAGACAATCTAACGCAGGTTAGACGAGGAGGTGCTGATATGGACCAGGAATCCATGGCTTGGACAGGCCTTAAATCTGACGGCATTATTCGTCGGCTGGGGGTATCTATCTTCCCGTCTCCGTCGAAACATGCCTTCAATTAAACACCGTCACTGTCGCGTTTCGCAAAACATGTAGCCACCATCTACGTCTGCATATCCTCGCCCTGGGAAAATAGCATCTTTTCCCCCTCATTACGACGGAGAGGAGTCACCGTCGTCATAATGCAAACCCCTTCACCTTAAACACCAAGGAGAGGCGCGGTCTACTGATAGAGCGAGGAATCATGCAGCGGAGGATGGACGAGGTCAACGCGGGGGTCCCAATACGCTATGAGATCCATAGCACGAGCATAGGGTTGAGAGCTGGAGGAATCATGTGAAGGTAGGTGAGGTAGTAGTTAGCCCTTTAATGCGCCCATGATTAGATTAGGAACGTCCGCAGGGTTTTGAAGCTTAAGAGACCATCATCTCGGCGGAGACCAACAGACGGCGCAGCCTGACGCGAACATGGACTCTGATGATCGCCATTTATGTCTCTCTCCCTCTCTCACGCTCGCTCGCGGGCGGTTGATCGGCATCCCCCGCTAGAATCTGAAGATTACGACGACATGATCTTAACATCTCATAAAACGAGCATATCCTGCCAGAGGATTTGTTGGACAGTTGGCCGGCAAGAGATCCCTTCAGTTATGGAGACTCCATGCCCGCACTTACACCTTCACCTACCCACAACCATGACCCACTGCTGGTTGCTCACGCTCTACTCTGCATCACCTATCCGTGAGTTTATTTCGTCTCAAGACAACACGTGAAAATGCGAGAAGAAGGGGTGCCTGTGCTGTGAAGACGATCGAGGTAGGGGTCCCTCTTCTATGATTTCGCTCCTGATTGTGCCTTCACGGGCAGATCCCGAAAGGAGGGCCGTCGATGGAAAACCACCCCGGCAGCCATTGCACGGTTCGGGTAACTTGCCGTAGATTCAAGGCCTGTCCCACGGTGCTGTAGAGTTCGGACAACTTGCTCTACATTCACAGGTCAATAGCTCGCGGAGGAGGGCGATGGCTGCCACCGGCGTTAGACCGAAACGAGACGGTGGGGCTTGAAATTTTGACGCCCTTGAACCAGGGCATAGCTTGTAGCATCAGATAGCACGACGAAGCACTGCAGCAACATACGGTGGTCTCGCACAGGGAATGGGGGAACCCGGTGGGCGCTGCCGGTAGGTGCAGCAGAGGCTGGTCCCCTCGAACGCCTCTGCCGATGGATCGAAGTGGAAGTCGAGTGAGATCCCATCCAGAAGAGCCGTCTCGTGCGGTGAGGCGAAGGCTCCCTGGCAAGATGAGTCGCTGGAACCGTTCCTGGGGGGATGTGGTGTTCATCCGCCTCTATCTGTGTCATGCAATTTTCTCCTCTTCCTCTTCAATGCGTGGTGGGTTCGGGAGCCCGCATTGACTCCCGCTTCAAGCCGTTCATTCTATTTTTACGGACCCCGCCACGCAGACTGACCTGAACTTCAACCCCCCTCGCTGCACGTTTCCCTGTGGAGGGGGAAGGCCCACCGGGGGACAGCCAGGCAGGGCCTCTTCAGATAGTGGGCCGCACCCCTGCTGTTCGTTTCCATGGATCCCCACTCGTTTCCAGCCAATACTAGGAGCCCAACGCCCCACAAGCAAGCAGGGCCCGTTCTAATCGAGGAAGATGGAGTCCGGCCCAAAGTTGACTTGACCCAAGTAGTCTCTCTGTTGACGTGGGCCTCAGATATCTTCGCAGTTTAAGCAAGCCGAGGACGGCCGACCCTTCACTTCAGTGGAGATCGCACATGGTCCATAATTGATAGGGGTTGAGTCTCAAAACCTTGATCTGCTCCAGTTCCATTCGTGAAACTGAAGCCTCTCAGTCGGTTGCTCATGACGTGGCGCGGATTGGCCGTCCGGGGTCTTTCACAGCGGCGTGTTACAGCTCTTCGTTGCAACACGGTGCGCGCAGGAGCGGAGTCTTTGTGAGGGAGGAGGAGGCGGCTCGTTGTAGGAGGAGAAAGATCTGCGACCCGGAGAGAAAATCTTGGACTACGACGGCGCAACGGATTCGTTCAACGTGGATGCCTGACGCCTTGAAAATTTGAGCGCGGCTTGTCCGTCGGGAAGCATGGCCGCTAAGCTTCCGGTCAGCCGGCTCACGTCAACGTGAGGACCAACGTGGTCGATTGAGAAATGGGGGACTCTGGGGGCCTCTTCAACCACCCACGCACCTAGCCAATAGATAGATAATGCCCTCGAGGAGCGGTCGAATGAGAGAAGAGGAAGAGAAGCGGATATTCCCCTGAGGCGTTGAATATTCTCCCCTGCGCCGTCCGTCGTTACCCGTCGCAGTCACCCGCTCCTTGAAGGAGGAGGGAGGTCGTCGGCGGGGCCTTGAAGGCCCGGAATCCCGGGGCGAATATCCCATGTCCATTCCCATCTCCTGATCGGGTACGTCTCTCCCCTGCCGGAAATCCGGCCACGATCCCCTGTGGGGACTACCCCGTCCTCCGACTACCAGAGTCTCGGAAGAAAAAGTCTGATATTTATGCGATCCGTTTTCCGTCAAACAGAAGAATGCCCCAGGCCCACCCCCCTCGCTCTCGCTCTCCTCTCTGTCTTAAGCGTGAGGTCATCCCCCCCTTACGCCCCGAGTGTGAGGTCTCAGCTGTCACGTCGTGGGAGGTGGCGAGCGGACATGGTTGTCGATACATAGAGAGAGAGAGAGAGAGGATGGGTTTATAGGCCGGGCCTGATTTTGAAGTCCAAAGTCAATGGAAAGGGGGGACCGAACCCAATGGCGAGAGAGAGAGAGAGAGAGAGAGAGAGAGGGATGGCCATGGCTCGAGCCGGACCGCGCCCAGCGGAGACGCCGGTCACGGGGTCAAGTGGCGTCACGTCTGCCACATGGGGGCATCGCCGATCGGAGCAAGAGGGGGGCCCCACACGCCGAATAAAACCCACAGATATTCGGGCATCATGAACGAATATTCTGTCCTTACCAGGGAATATTTCCCCGCCCCCTTTTTCTCCCTTCCATCCGCTACTGCTTTCCGCACCGGCCTTCCTCCCAAGCCCATCCTCTCTCTCTCTCTCTCTCTCTCTCTCTCTCTCTCTCTCGCGTATATCTATCTGCTCCTCATCCTTCGCTCCCCTTCTGTGAACCTCACAGCCTATCTCTGCTTGCGCAAGAGTCGGTGGCCTGTTTCTGCTCCGCCTCCACGATCGTCGGAGATTAGGGCATAGGCTGGTGGCGGCTACGGAGAGTAAAGTAAGCGGGATGAAGTTCGGGAAGCGATTGAGCAACCAGATCGAGGAGACCCTGCCCGAGTGGAGGGACAAGTTCCTCTCGTACAAAGATCTCAAGAAGCGCCTCAAGCTCATCGAACCCTCCTCCACCGCCGGGGGAGTTTCGGGTCGCGACGGGCTTCCCCCCTCCAAGCGGCCTAGGCTGGCCCCGACCGATGGGGCTGTCGCGGAGGATGTCAGCAAGGGAGGGGATCCAGCCGCTTCGGCGTTGGGTAATAATGCGGCGATGACGGCAGAGGAGGAGGGATTCATGAGGTTGCTCGAGGCAGAGCTGGACAAATTCAACACCTTCTTCGTGGAGCAAGAGGAGGAGTACATCATCCGCCAGAAGGTACGGATTACCGCTTTCCCTCTTCCCCCTTTTAGTTTTCCTCCGCCGTCCCCCATTTTCCTCTGTCAAACGTCGTTTCTCCGGTGAGGCCATTCCGGCAGGAATTCCAGAGACTGTCGTTCCTCTTTCACCACATGCCGCATCATCTCTCCCACCCTATCTCCTCAACATCGACCGCCTCCGGAGGCTTACTTTGCTCACAAGCGACCGAGGGGGAACACATCTAGATCCCTAGTGTTGACGTTATCTCCACAAGGAAACGGCACGCGCCGCGCAGAAACCGAAATCCTTGGTGAACTATTCTCTATCCCTGGTGATCCCTCCCCACTCCGTCGGTTTTGCCTGGCACCCCCCTCCCTGATCAATTGGATCTTCGCCGCACCGCGGAAAACCCCGAAAATGTCGAAGAAATGGGGATTTCTTTCATCGATTGACCTCTCTTTGCCCCAGAGGCGTCCCCAATGATGCTCTGTTGTCGGATGACGGGAAGACCCACGAATAAGCCGAACAAACCCGTCGTGAATTTTGATGGATGGGTTGTTTGCAGTCTGTTTTCCACCGGCAAGGGGGGGAATGTGAAACGCGGTTCACTTCGATGATCATTCTCCGTGCTGTCCCTTGGAAAATTTCGTCTGTTGGGTGGGTGTAAGTCGAGATTTTGACAAACGCTGTGTTGGATCTGCGCTGGTGCAGGAGCTACAGGACAGGTTGAGGGCCGCCAAGGACTTCAGAGAGGAGATGCTGAAGGTGAGGAAGGAGATTGTCGACTTCCACGGCGAGATGGTCCTCCTCGAGAACTACAGCGCCCTCAACTACACTGGTACGCCCGCCTTACGTCTGGGTGTCGGAGATGAGCTTATTAGGGCAGAAGGGTAGATCCAACTCCTCTTTCGATGTGAGCAGGGTTGGTGAAGATTCTCAAGAAGTACGACAAGAGGACGGGGGCCCTCATCCGGCTGCCCTTCATCCGGAGAGTGCTTCAGCAGCCCTTCTTCACCACCGACCTGCTGGACCAGCTCATCAAGGAGTGCGAAAGGATGCTCGACGGCCTTCTCCCTGTTGCGGAGGAGACGTCCGTGTCCCCCGGCGCTTGCAGGAACGGGGACGCCGCCGAAGAGGGGAGCAGCGGACCATCAACCACGGTCGCCGGGGAAGGTCGGGGGATCCCGGAACTGGAGGAGATAGAGTTCATGGAGAGCCTGTACATGAAGAGCACCGTGGCGGCGCTGCGGGTTCTCAGAGAGATCAGGAGCGGGAGCTCCACCGTCAGCATCTTCTCTCTGCCGCCGCTGCAGATAAGCGGGGCGGAGGACCGGTGGCCCAAGATCCCCGTGCTGGAGGAGCAAGCGGCCAAGTAATCACTTTAATTTCAGAGAGAGAGAGAGAGAGAGCCCGGCGGAAGGTCGCAGCCACCTTTTGTCGCGGAGAAAAACAGGGGAGCGACCCTCTAACCTACGCTATGGCCGCTTAGGAAGCTGCGATGATGGCGCGGGACCGTCGCCGGTAATCCAGTAACCCTGTCACACGGGTGCTTCGTCTGCCCTGCCTTCGCCGTGTGTCCTGCATGTATATTTATTTCCACGGTTTTCTCGCTCGTTCCATCTTGGGCGCGCTTTAAGTTCATCAGATCCTCTTCACCTCGTGCGAGAGAAGATACGACGGCTGTCGACGGAGAATGGGAAGTTTATCCGATTTCGGACGATCCTCCCCCGCGCCCCTCGATTTCGGACGATCTCTTTCTGCGGACTTTCACGCCTGACAGGCGGCTACGCAGACCCGTTCTGTTGAAATATCAGGGCGTCACCAAGCGACACAACCAGAAAAACGGACCAGATAACTAATCTCTATAGATGTAGCCAGAACGGCAAATAACCCAAACAGTCAACAGTTCTGCACTCGTGTAGGAGGAGTCTCGCCCAAGTCTCATTCATGAATTGGAGAGGGAAAGCCCCCGAACTCCAACTAAATCTAATGAAAGAAACCCTCAATACCCACCCAACGCTCCCAAGCGAGATTTCAGCTATGCCTCTAACATAAGCAACATGAGTTATTTATTTGATCATATCTCAACAATCTCTATTCTAGTGAATTTATAAGCCATTATTGAAGGACAAACCTTGATGTTCCTTCTTGTACTTCTCTGTCTTATCATTTTCTCAACCTACTCAACAAGTAAATATTTCAATAAAATTCGGGCAACATTTGAATTTCTTGATTGTGATAGCCTTCGTCAATATCAATGTCTGCAACATCCTCTACAATCTTACTTCTTTTTCAATAATATCAAATGAGTTAATCACTCCTATATCTTGTGAAAATTCTTATGATGTGATTTATTTTTGTTTGATATGTTGATTCCTTATAAATGCCGGCTTTGACTGTCGTAATATTGATAAACTCCACCTTAATTAAAACTTAAGTTACTTTTACCAAACCTTTGATCCACAAAGCTTCTTTAACTATCAAATACCCAGTATCCAATATCTCAACTATCAAAAACCTAATATCCAACATCAGAAAGAGAGAGATAGAGAGAGAGAGAGAGAGAGAGAGAGAGAGAGAGAAGGGTAAGTGCCCGAACTCCAATATTATTTATGCCCACTCTCACACCAAACGAGATTACATCTAAGTCCTCTAGATTAAGTAACATCGCAATAAATAGGAGATCACATCACCTTGGAACGATGCGCATCAGGGCAGGCTTTTGTTAATTCGCCTGGTTGCGCCTGCATGAGATATTTTCTTCTTGAGGTGAAGCTGCCAGTTAATCCTGACCTCTGCTCCAATTTCTTCTTAAGTATATTCCCACAAGGAACTTTAGATTCTTACAACCTCTCTGATCGGGATTAGCAAGCATTCACATATATTTATTGAATAGAGCTAACTTTAGTCTTGTTGAAACAGTAGAACGGTGGTCATCATTGACGGGAATTTCAGTTCCATGCATCGAACGGCAAGCCTGATGCTGATAGGGTCCAAATCGTGTAAGAGACCCGTCTGATATCTGATTGCAGTATCACAGTTATTTGTAGTGGACAATCCAGACAAGGCCGTCGCATGATCCAAATACTCGAACCGAAATGTTAATTTGAAGGAGCTGGATTGGCCAGAGATAGGTCCTCTAGACATCCGGAAAGCTGATGATGAGGGAAAATTGAAGAAAACCATTGTAGAAAAGAATAGAGCTTCCCCGAGATAAATTTCTAGAATCATAAAAAGGAAGCATCTATAGCTTATAAACTTCCATAAGTCAAATAGATGCAAGTTAATAATAAAAGGGTTGGGTTTTATGTGTTTGATACACAGATATCTCACAATACTAATTAAAGATGATTAGAGAAGGACATTGATCCTCATGTCCAACGGATTATCCTAGACAAATTGTACTTTCTTCTCGTTCATTAGAAATCTAATTTTAATTTAATAATCTCAAATCCTTAATCGTGCTGAAATGAGGCCTTTCGTCCTGTCTTTATGAAACTAATGCTGGAACATTCGCACGACCTAATTCCACATATTCGATTCCCACATCGAGTGCCTGATGGCCTAAGTTAGGCCACTTCTGCACAGACTTCGCTTGAATTCTCTACCGGTGCATCCTCCCTGATCATTGGTGCGAGAAAAGTTATTATGATTTTAGTAAAAGGAAAAAAGTTAAGTACGAACGTTCTTGGCTACTCACGTGGCATTCTATGGACGACTCAGAAATTCCCGTACGAATTAACTTCTCTACGCAACGACGCTCAATTATACCTCTTGATAAGCGAGTTACAAGGGGATATTACTTTCGTGTCGATTAGCGTGGAAACCGTTCGCTGGGTGGGTTGTCTTCTGAAAACTCGTCAAGTTTGATTCAAGTTTTTCCAAGAAGTTTAGTCTCAATGGTCGATCATAAATGGGTGGCCTGGAAAACGACTAAGTGGTTTCGCTGCAAGTCCTCGCAAAAAGAAACTGGATATCTGACCCGGAGACTTTCGTGGACGAACCAGGACTAGTTCTTCGGGGTTCCTCCCATAGTGAGATGGTCAATCGCGTGGCATTGTTTCTATGTGGTTTATGTGACGTGATGGCTCTTGATTTAAGGTCCTTATGTTGACAGGTAACTGCCTAGATAGGTCCCTTACGAGTGGTCTGGGGGAACATGTGTCGAGCAACTTAGTGTTCGACTTTAATCACCCTTGAGATTGATCCGAGAGACTCGAGCCCACAAATATCCAGCCGTTGACCATTTGACGAATCCATGTACCCCAACATCAACCATTTTTTCTTGATACATTTAATTCGGTATTGATTGCTTGAAAGATGATGACGATAATTGAGGTGATAAGGTCAGTTTTTTCGAGAGAATATTTGGTGTGGGCTCGCAAAAGAAGAGAAAATTATGCTCCTGGCATTTATGGATTATGCGTTGTTACCAATGATCCCATTCGGGTGTGAATATCCGCCGTCGTAATGTCGCAATCTACGGCTTTGTGACGAATAATCACTGTCTATTCGTTCACGCTGATCAATCCTCTTGCTTGGGCTACGAAATGCGGACGACCCACGCCGCAGTCTCAGAAGGATGAGACCCGGAGCTTTACCTAGTTTCCTCCGGCGAAGTCGCCTGTTTCATTCGAACCCACCGGTACGGTCGTTCAAACTAGTATGAGTCGCGGTAATCATTCTCAGGTCAGGCTCTCCGGCCCCTATTCTACGAGGGTAATATGGGTGCCTCAACCTCTTTGGCGACAATTTTCTGCGCCCGAGGGTTCATCTGTTTTGGTTGAAGACAAACAACCACGCGCGATCCCATGGGATGATTGGCCTTTCGTTCTCAGAAGATCATCTCCCAGGCGCCGGCAAGAGAGTCAGGATAACCACTCGGAAAAAACACAAAACGTCAGATTGACGTGGCTGAAGAACGACAGGCGGAAGGGTGAGCGAACGTGGAGACTCTGCCCACTGGCCCAAGATCTCCCGCAGGTTTAGATGATGCGATTGACCACTTCTACTTCTCTTCTTCTGCCTCGTGGACGCTCAATATCTGTACAGATAAGGGGAGCAAGGTGGAGACAAGTAATCCGACGTTCGGCTTCGTTCAGACTGATGTCTCTTACGCGGTAATATTGTCGTGAAAGAAGCAACAATGACCAAGTGTTCCCGGTTCCGCTAGGCTGCTTCTGAAAGCAAGCATTGGTGATGTGATCAACCTAGAGTCCAAGCCTTGTTCTCCCATTCTTCAGTCTTCTTCAGCTGGGCCAAGTTGGTTCCGGTGAGTATTTATCTCCATTCTTGGGCTTGGCCGAGAGTTTGACCTTGTCACCCCTTCGACCTTGTCTGCCTTAAGTGATTGAGACAGGCGTTTGCTTGATCGATGGAGTCAACCCTTCTGTAATGTATTAATATCGTCGAACTGTGAATCTCCATCACGCAACTCGTCTTTTCTTAAGGCCTCATAATATAAATGCGGTCTGCGCATGCGCTATTGACTTGACCTCTACACGTATACATAAGTTATATTTATCTATACATCGATATCTCGAACTACGGGTGCGTCATGCTTGCTCAATAAAATACCGACGAGCCTTGAAAACAGCCGAACGAGATAGGGTCCCTGCGAAATCCGCCATTTCTGAACCTATCACCATTTTTTGACCTGGCCCTCCTTTTCCGTCGGGTGGGGCAACTGCAGAACATGAATAGGTGTGCATTGACGCGGAAATTTTCTGATGAAGGCACCCATCCCGTGGGCCGACCCAGCTCCCGTGTGTGTGCGTGCGTACATATATATATATATATATATATATATGTGTGTGTGTGTGTGTGTGTGTATGTATAAGAAGATTTGTTTATGCTTCTCTTGGCTCTCGCCGCACCTCCGCGGGTTGGTTCCACTTTCATGCCATGTCTTCTATGTCGATACTCCCGGTAAAATCATGGCGGAGGGAAGCTCTGCAAGCTAATCGCCCGGCGTCTCTCATGGTACAGCAGGGGTCCCATTCTATTCGGAAAACTCCGAGGAAACCAGTGGTAATCTATGTAGTGTCGCCGAAGATCATCCACGTCAAGGCAAGCGAGTTCATGTCGCTGGTGCAACGACTCACGGGCATCGACTCGTCGGCATCGTCTCCTCCTCCCACGGCGACGGCGACCGAAGGGGAGTTACTCGGAGACAGGAAGACTCATGACTGTGGATCACCGGCAAAGCCTGAGGCGATCCGCGCGACGCGGAACCATTTTCCCCTCCTGGACAGCGTTGACGGACCGACTCAGCAGGAGGCGGCGGATCAATTCTCCTGCTGGCGATCCTTCTTTGCGAACGATTTGAGCCTCACGCCTGTTGCCGGGGGCCCCAAGGATACTACTGGCTTGGCTGCTCCGGACAGATGGCTCTTCCACGGGCAATACCTAATGGGGCAGACCGCCCCTTCTGTTCCCCTCTCTTCCTCCACGGGCCAATTCATAGACGTCTTCTGCCGCGTTTTGCCCGATTCCCGAGACTGAGGAGCGGCATCATCGTGTATATAGTTTAAGAGTGGATGGATGGCTTGAAGTCTGCGTTAGCCGGGTGTGCCAGTTTGCAAGCATATTGGACGAGGAGAGTGGAGCAGCATCTCAGTCATGTCCCTTCTGGTACGTCTGTCTCTCTGCGTCCGCCATATCATATCATATCATATCAGATCAGAGGATGAAGCTCGTCTTATGACACCGCTCGCCTTCCCCCCGCTCCTCCTAATCGTTGAATTCAGCGGTCGAGGTGTTGACACGGCGGGGCTTATTGGTCGCATCATCCAGAGACTGTGATTGTGGAGCAACAAATATCTGATGTATCGCGCCGCAAGGGAAGCGGGTCACGTCCCCACGCACAATGTCCTCCCTTCATGTCCAATCTTCTTCTTCGTCTTCCTCTTCTGCCTCGTACGTGGCTATTCTGTAGAGACTGTACAATCTTCTTCTGAGGGGGCCTAGTGCTCCTCCTCCGGTCTGCCCAAGGGAGGTGTTCCGTCGAACTATTCTGTACAGCTGCCGTAATCACTCTCTAGCGCGAGACTTGTGGGTCATCCGAGAGTCCAGTATTTGTTGGTATCGCCGAGATACATGACCTTGCACTGCCTCCTTCCTTGGCGAGAGATTCTGGGCTGCGGCGGCCGATATCGGGCCGACACACTCGAATAGGGTAGGTTCCACAGATCGAGACACCCGGAGCCCGGTGAACTCACTGAATGGACATAGGGAAAAAGGCCTGTACGATACGTCCTGCGGACGCTAGCAGGTAGGAGGAGGGATCGGATGGAGACGTTACGCTTATCCTCCTCTACCGTCTCGTCCATCGCAGTCTGAGGGAGCCACACCCCAACCGCTTCGATCGCTGGTGGCGGAGTTTACCCCGGCGGACGCGGCGCCGGATGAGAAACACGCATCACTCCTGTGAGCAGTCGCCGGGATGGAAGAAAATGCGAGCCATGTTGGTTCCGACGAGAATTCGGTCGTTGTATGTCTCCCTTGGAACGATCCACATGCTAACCGGCCCAAAAATCGATTCGGTGGTACCTCGTGTTTGGGGGGCAGTCGGGGTTCAGGAAACCGTCCACGAACCATGCTTCTCAGGTGCACCAATCTGGGAGCCGCCGTAGACTTACTCTGGGCGTCTCTCTGCTTGACTAGTCTTTACCGGAACGCGAGTCGACGATCTATGCAACGCCCTTCTTCGAGAGGACGTGAGGGAAGAAAAGAGAGAGAGAGAGTCGAGTTAGAAAAACTTTATCTCATAGTTAAATGGGCATTTGGTCTAGTGGTATGATTCTCGCTTAGGGTGCGAGAGGTCCCGAGTTCAATTCTCGGAATGCCCCATCTTTTTCTCGCTCGAAGACGTCGATTGCACGTGCTTTCCATCAGCCGGCGTCATTCATCAGTGATCACTTTTTGGCGGGAAATTATGTCCGATTCATGAAATTATCGACAGATTAAGCCCGACGACGGCCCCGCAAGCGCCTCGGCACGTACGGCCGACCGAGGCGCTTAAAGCTGATCTCACTCAAGATGATCCGTGCATTTCCTTGGGGCATTGATTGACTTAGAGATGCTGTCGGAGCGGTTGGAGGAGGATCGTGATCATATGAATGATCTAAAACTAATCTACTCGACAAAAAATGAGGAGATCCGGATATCCTGAGATCCATATGCATGCTCGTACCGTATGCATTTGCGTGCGAGATGCACCAGCGCGATCGATCGAGAGAACTAACGGACGAGAAGGCGTACCAGCAGAGAGAGCTCATCTTCATCTCGGTGATGGAGGAGGTGGCGATGCTTTGTCGCCTTCGAGGTCCGTCCGCGGCGTCCTGGAGCTTCCAAAGTGCGTACACCACGAGCAGCGGGCCCCGGGGGGGAGGATCGAGATGTCGTTCTCACATTTCTGCCGATTCTCGCCTGCCGTCGTCATCGATTAGGTATGGAGGCCCCGATCTCCTTGGGTAGCCAGACGAACTCGGAGCTCTCGATTTGAAGGCCGAATCCAGCGCGATAGATGCCTGGCTTGATTTCCTCGGGTCGTAAAGCGGATCATTCGCGTGCTCCGCGCTTTTCCACCGTTCGAATCCCCTTCCCTGGTGCGAGGGAAGAGTGCAGGAAGAGGAGGAGGAGGAACAAGGCCTGTCGCGGCAGACGTCGCCCTGGTTGGTGGCTTCCGATGGCCGCCAGGGATCGAAAGGGACCGGGGGAAAAGAAAGAAGATGGGAAAGATAGGGGAGGGTAGTTTCTTAATAGAAGGCCTTTTGGCGCCTTGTGGAGGGAAAGAGTACGCGGGGGGGCAGGCATACGTGATTATCAATAAAAAAGGTTTTAAATAAATTATTTTATTTTACAGGGTCCAGAGATAAGATTGCAACTGCTTATCGGACGAGGGAACGGAAGGAAGAAGGAAGGAGAGGGCTTCTTCTAAATTTATACATATATATATATATTTTATTACCATTCCGATCCCCCGGAGGCGCAACGGGGCGGTGAGAGAGAGTGGAGATAACGAGAGGAGAGAGACCAGAAGAGCAGATGAGGTCCTCCTCCGCCGGACGAAAGCAGGGTTGAAGCACCGATCTTCCTTCCCTCTTCACGGCACGGCACGACACGACGGACCGCCTGCTCTCCACGCCTTCTAGCGAAGGGGGAAGGCGTGTATCGGTGGTCCCCTCTTTCGTCACTCTTCTCCTCACTCCCCCCCGGAGAGCAGAGGTCTCTTGTTTAGGCCATGGCGTCATGCACCGCCCCCATCTCCCCGGCCCAACCTGCTCTGCGCCAGGGGGGGAAGAAGAGCAGGAGTCTGCAGCCACCTGGACGCCTCGGCTTCGTGTCTCTTCCCTTGGGGAAAACCGGGTTCCACTTGGAGGCCATGGTCTCTTCCTCCTCCTCCTCCGGGGGCAGGGCCTCGGCGATGGTTGTTGCGTCCGCCGCGTCCACGCCGGCGGCGGAGACGCCCAACAAGAAGCGGTACCCTGGTGAGGCCAAGGGGTTCGTGGAGGAGATGAGGTTCGTCGCCATGAGGCTGCACACCAGGGACCAGGCCAAGGAAGGGGAGAAGGAGTCCGACGCGCAGCCTATCGGCAAGTGGCAGCCCTCTATCGATGGGTACCTTAGGTTCCTAGTGGACAGCAAATTGGTCTACGACACGCTGGACTCCATCTTGGAGAAGGCGGTTTATCCCTCATGTGAGTCTCTATTCTCCATGCGACCCTCTTTTCATTTCTTTTTCGTGACCTCTCGTGGACGGTACCCGCCTTAATCTCTCTTTCATCTTGTGACTTCACCTTTGCATTAGCGGATCGTGCTTCACCTTTGCATCGCTGGTCTGATTGCCGGGTTTCTGATTTATTAACTGGACCCCCTTCTCTCATTTTGATCGCGTGTTGCTACCTTCCTTGGGTGAATTGCGCCTGAATTCAAATAGGAGCGTTATAGTCTCAGACGGCAAAAAAAGAAATACTTTGTCGCATTGATGGTGTTCGGTTACGTCTCGTTCAGTGTTTGACGGATCGGTTTGGAAGATTTACGTGACTCCTGGGTAAAAAAAACAGTGTTTAAGATGCTTGGGGAAGGGGAGACGCCGGCGTGGCCCACAACAGTGAAGTATCTGAACACTGCTGGAATTTACGAGAGCTATGAACTGTAAAATGAACTTGATCAAATCGAGAATTTTGATTTTTCTTCCCTGGAGGGAACACGAATTTTATGCCGTGAGGCAATTAAGAAACCTCCGGACGATTCTTCTTCAAATCCTGGTGGGTGTCTTCTGATATTCAGATATTCACCCTTGTGTTTCTCGGATCCTGTGTATGTATCGAAAAAATAAGAGGATGCCTCCCTATGATGCATCCTTCGCAAAGTTTTAGAATGATTTTGACTTGTTTTTCGCTCAGGTAATCTGCCTTCATACTATTGAATTGTGACCGACTGAGCCAAAAAAGGAAGATTCTGAGAGCTATTCGAGGAACTGAAAATCCTGGCTCGCGTGATGTCTGCTGTTCCTTTTAGAGTTATCCTCGCCAGAACTCCGCTCATAAACTGATAGATGAGAGCCCTCTTGGTTAGTGATCCTCCGGAGATGTGCTATTTCACTCAAATAAGAGTTGGGGCCAATTTTCTAACATATGCAGTAGTAGTAAGTCCGAGGGGCCAGCGCCTCCTGGATTTGTGTCTGATGTCCCTACCTTCTTTCCTGTCGACTGGGGGCATCCGTTGGGTAGTTGAATTGTGGACTACAATGTACCACGGATCGTATAGTTTGTGAAACAAGTTCAACTGGTGAATACCTTGGCGATAATCTCTGTCACATATAGTCACAGCATAAGTGAATTTTATTTCTCGGTGGGTATCGCCCAGTAAACGACCAGTCAGTTTCATACATCATCTGTTCCTCTGATTCATCTCTTGGTTCCAGTTTCTGCAAGAGCATGAAAGCATAGTCTATTTCCTTAGCTTCTTTTTTCTCTCAGCTGTGGTCTGGTAGTTACTTCTTCCCCCATCTATCCACCAGTTACCACCAAGGTTCCATCGTTTGGGAATTTTGGACATATAATTCTTTATTTAAGGCATTATTATCTCGATTTAATGCCCACTTTATCCATCCCGTCCCTTTGAGCGCGTCTCTTTGCGCCAAAATCTGCTCTCGCGAGTCTATCTCCTAGTTTCTCCAATTCTTCTCGCAGAGCATGGCTTTGTGGATAGTTGCATAAAATCCAGAACGTTTCATGTGCGCCTAAGAACAACACATCTTTCAGCCTCCCATCTCCACAAGTTTGCATACTGACTATGTGCAGTAAGGTTCTTCGTCGCCCTCACCCTAGATGTGCATGTATCAGGACACTGACTTCGTACCCCGCATATTGCTTTCGACGAATTACTGGTCCCAATTCCCTCAAGTACTTCCCTGCACATTTGTTCATCATGTGTTTGCGTTCTCTTTCTGATCTCACAAGGTTTTGCTCTCTCTCTCTCTCTCTCTCTCTCTCTCTCTCTTGAATAAAATATCATGCCGTGCTTCTGGTGTTCGCCCAGGGACTTCCTTATTCTCTCAGCTAGAGACAGCCATCTTCGTCTGCTCTTTACCTGATCTGCTCCTGGGGGAAACAACATCTTCTTTCTGCCTTTTTTATTGTTCGATTTTCCCTCCACCTGAGGCGCCGACTACTCCCCCACAGAGAGTAGGCTACGGTCGAAGAGAAACTCTCGTATTCTCTGCTGCCCGATCCTCTTCTTCAATCCCTTTGCCCCTTGATGGTTTCTATTGTCACTTCAATCTGCGGACTGGGATGCCATCTGACATCGAATCGGGCTAGCCACTTATTTTTGGAAGACCATTAAGGAGCCTGAGTTTAACGACCCTGAAAGTGTTCCTCAGATGCCATTAACTCTTGTTATATATGCCAAGCTCGAATGTGGATGCGATTATTTGAATATATTAGAGGTTTCCGGTGTCTTCTCACGCGCCCTTGTTTTTTTTTTCATGGAACGAATGCTGCTTTAGAATTTTCAGAACATACTTCTTTATAGTTTGATCAAGTTTTATGTTCTCGTCCATGAGAGAAAACCAGGTCTGGCTCAGTAGAATCACTACCATCATGGACGTGCGGGATATTATCTTTGCAACTGAACCTTGAATGAGCATGTCGGGGATAATGGTTAAATCTGATCGTCTTCCCTGGTTGTGCAGATGCCGAGTTCAGGAACACAGGGCTGGAGAGGTCGGAGAGTTTGGCAAAAGATCTGGAATGGTTCAAGAGTCAGGGGCATGTGATTCCGGAGCCATCCTCCCCTGGGACTTCCTATGCTAAATATCTCGAAGAGCTCTCAGACACAGACCCCCAGGCATTTATCTGCCACTTCTACAATATATACTTTGCACATTCTGCCGGTGGGCGTATGATCGGCAAAAAGGTTGGTCTACCCCTTGACTCGGTGGATTGTTGACTCTATAACTCGATTATCTTTCTGTTCTCGAGATGTCGCAGAACTTTTATATTTGATTAAAAATCAGAACACGACGTTGAACGGCTGATATAATTGAATGGGATAAATTAAGAACATTCTAAGTTTTGAGACATCGTGGATTTAATTGGGGATCATCCTCATCCTTTACCTCACTGGTGCAGCGATTTGCAAATAGACCGGAAAACTTGTAGTCATCCCATGCAGAGGAGCCCTGTGGTTGTCCTTTCCTTTGAACAATCCATGGGAAGCTGATGTTTTGCTATCTGTGGATCGCCATTTGGTTTCAGATCGTAGAATCTGATGCGGCCAGTCCAAAAACAATCTTCTTTTTCTTCTTTTTGGCAACGAGGGTTTATAGAAATCGAGCAATCTCACTTACGGAACCAGCATGATTGCGTTAGCTTAGGGGTTTTATCGTTCTGGGCGATGTTTTTATTAATGCTGCGGGTGGTTGACCCAGTCGTCGCTGGTTCTTGCTTGTATGTACAGGTGGCGGAGAAGATTCTCGACGGCAGGGAGCTCGAGTTCTACAAGTGGGATGGCGACCTCTCCCAACTGTTGCAGAACGTTCGAGAGAAGCTCAATGCAGTCGCCACTGTAAAATCTGAGGAACTCTCGTAACAAACATCTCTGGATCCCGGGCTGTGTCTAACCTGGGTCCGGAGAGAAGTTTGCAGGGATGGTAAGATGTTCGGCTCTCTCTCTAATGAGTGCTCTCCTTTTGCCTCTCTCCAGGGCTGGTCGAGGGAAGAGAAGGACCACTGCTTGGACGAGACCGAGAAGTCCTTCAAATGCTCGGGGGAGATCCTCCGGCTGATACTCTCTTGACGATCACACGCGCGTCCCCGGATGAAATGCCCGCGCAGAGACATACATGGCTGCGCTCTGAATTCTTTCCCCGCAGCAAGTGTGCATATCGATCTCTCTTTAAAGAAGACACTGTGACAGTTCCCTCTCTTCTGGATGAATAATTTATCCCACGAAGGCCAACGGGACCTGCCATTGGCTTCCCCTCGCGCCACCATCGACGTCAACCCGTCGAGCAGTATTTACTCCGGAGAACCTGAGGGAGGGAGGGAGAGGGCCACGACGGTAATGGTGAAGTAATTTCTCATCGTGGAAAATGTCGAGCGAACTTAGATGGTGGTCAGGCTTAACGCAAGTTTCGGGGATTGAACTGGAGACGCGGTTGCGGAGTTTCGGCCCATCGGAGCTCCTGTGGGCCGCGTGGGCGGGAATTTCTTGAGCGGGAACCCCCCCGCGTGAAGGGCGAATGAGAGGAGGACGGCATCTGGGTCTTCTCCTCCGCTCGCCATCAGCTGGAGGAGAGCTTCGAGCATGAGGAAGAACGGAATCTGTCCGTTCACCGTTGGACTCCGATGCCGCTTCCCCCACCTTCCTTTCTACAGAGACACACCCATCTTCCTCTCAAACGTTTTATTAAAGTAAATCCTCCGCAGGCTAAATCATGGAGCGGCGCCCGCTGAAAGCATGTTCCATGTCTCTTGGAGTACCCCCCGCCCGGTTCGCTATCATCGTTTTTTCCAACAGTCTTAACTCGAATCGCGCATTGTCCGCGCATTTGAGATCATCTTGATGGCTACTTCTCTCTCTAGGATGGCCAAGGTTTTGCTCGCCGAAGGATGGATGAGGTCGAGGAATTGCTCGTTGATGATCGCCCTGTATTGCGCTGTTTTCGGATGATAAGACATCTCCGCGCTAATTCTGTGGTGCTGAAGCAGGTGGACACAGACGTCGTTTCTGGCTTTGGTGGCTCTTGCCAATTCACGCGCCACAGAATTATTGCTACCTACGACATGGAAACTTCCTTTGCGCTAATATGCGCTGCAGGAGAGAGAGAGAGAGAGAGAGAGAGAGAGAGAGGGAGAGAGAGAAGGGATTCGCACCGCCAGCATAAACTCCTTTTGTAGTTTTCGGTCGGAAAGGGAGAACAATTGGCAGGGAGAAGAGAGGGGAAGAGAGAGTCGAGGAAGAGAGGGGAAGATGGTGGACCGACTCCCTTCTCCTCGTTCTCCACCGGTGCTGCTCCTCCCGCTCTTCCTCTCCTCGTTAGTGCTCTTCTTCCCGCTGTCCTCGGCTGAGGACGCCACCAACATCACCGCACTGCCGCCTACGCTGAACTCAAACCTTACGACCCCGCTCGCCTCTAATTCTTCTCCGAAGGCGCAGGTGCCCAACCCGACGGTTTCGTTATCTCTCTCCCTCGGCGTATCTCAGGAGCTCAATCCCAACCCCTTCGTCAACCCGGTAAGCCCATCCCCCTCTCATATCAGAACAAAGCTTCCCATTTTTCTCTTCTCCTGGTCGTTCATCCGGGGCGTGGGTGGTGCAGAACCCAGTGTTGTCGCTGTCCCTGTCGCTTAGCGTATCAGAAGAGCTGAAGGCCAACCCTTTCGACTTAACCCTTTTCCCATTTCCGCTGCTCGAGGAAGGAGCCGAACCAAGGCAGGTGAAGCACCGTGAGCGTAGGGTCGAAGCCAAGCAACACTTGAAAGAAGACGTGTCTAAGGTTCAGTCTCTTCCTTTCACGTTCACATGGAGCGCCCAGAGGGCTCCTCTTCGTCTGGGTTTGGCCAGCTTAGTTTATCTTCACAAGACACGTGTAAAGAGATCTGATTTGACGGGCTAGTGCAGGCGAAGTCTGGCTCTTTCATCAGAGGCAAGTGCCCGTACACAGTGAGGATCAAGACGAGCTGCTCCTCTCCCCCGGTTACTCGCGACGCTGTCAGCCTTGACTTCGGTGACGCAGACCACAACGAGGCAATGCTCTTATCCTCATCTCTCTCTCTCTCACACATCTCACATCTCACATCTCACGTACCCGACTGATAATTATACTGATTTCTAGCTACTGTTTCGCTTTGTTTCCGTATTCATCACGGCGGCTCTTCACTCTCATGGTGCTCGTGAGCGGCAGGTGTACGCTGCTCGACTTGACGACCCAGCGTCAGGGACTTTCGAGCGCTGCTCCGTCGACACCTTCCGAGTCGTCGGGCCTTGCGGCGGCCGCCCCTGCTTCCTCTACCTCCGCCGCTCCGGCCGCGACGGCTGGATTCCCGAGTACGCCAGGATCTTCTACCAGCCGGGGGACACCCACACGGCCGTCACCTTCGCCTACGAGGCCTCCTTGCCCGACGGGGTCTGGTACGGCTTCAACCTCTGCCATGACGGCGCCGGCGCAGCTCTCCACAGGGATACCGCCGTCCGCCCCAGCAGGGCCAAGGTCGACGACAACGGCGGCAGGGACGAAGACGACAAAGGCGACAAGGGTGATCCGACGATCAAGATGAAAACCAAGGTCAGCGGTAGCGTCAAGACGGTCTTCATCAAGATGTGACAAATAAGAAGACCTAGGTGAAGGCGGTGCTCGTCTGGCGTCGAATACGATCTTTGCGACGAGGGAGAAGCTTAAAAGCGAAGACCCGGGCCTTCGCACTTGCTCGCTAGGGAACCATGCAGTCCTTTCTGTCCTGTTTTCTTCTCTTCTTCTTACTGAGGTTGCTGTTCAGAGAGACCGGGCTTCAGATTCTTCCATTTCCATAAGACCAATACGATTGATCTCGCTTCGTCTCCCACCTAGAGTGGAAGCGGCTGCACGGACGAAGACCACGGTACGAGCCCCCCTCGTCTTACAAGTCAATTCGACCACTACAGCAGCAATCAAGGCCTTTAATATCAGTTTGGGTCATCCGACTGAAGACTAGATTACTATGAGACACGTATTAGTTTTCTAGTAAAGTGTAGAACGCAATACGAGGCGACAAAACTTAGCATGCTCTGTCACGTTTGGGAGGATGAGAACACGTGAGGTGTGCGTGAAGTCCACGGAGCTGTCAGAGTCAACTGTGCCAAGGTCATTATCTACACTGGAAGGGAGCACATGGGTGAATAACGTAATGCGAACGTCTTTTACCGATTTTTATTAGCCGTAAACCGCAACGTTTGCCTTTGACTATTCTGGTCGTTTCCGGAGGCATTTAAGGACTATTAAGGACCAACCGGTTACTGGTCAGACTCGGAGATGTCAGAATCTCTGGGCCGGATTTAAGAGCACCGTGTCAAAAAGCCCCATGTTAGGACTGGTCTTATCCCTGGCATCCTTTGTACAGTGCCTGCATAGGATCATCTCCAAGCCTCCACCGCAGCTACCTGACTAGTGCCCGCTAACTATGGTCGTAGTAGCTGCCGTGAATGGTCAAAGAGGGAGTTTATTCGGGCAAGAACAGTGTGCCCGGCATCGGTCGCCGTCCTGGTCAAGGTCGGGGCACCTTGACTAGCGGTCGGACGGGACATAAACGGCGAGTGTTACAGCCATTAAGGACGAGGCCATGCGCCGCGGCTCCTCCGTGGTGTGGTGCAATATCTACCGTGGGCGATTCATGAATTCCGCAATCTGCGACTGCAGCAGCTTCGTCGCCTCCGAGTGCGGGTAGAGCACGTTGTGAGCGTGCACCTCCCCCTCCGCCGTCACCACCGTCACCTCCTCCACCGCCTTCGACTTCAGGAAGGCCCCGTAGGCGGCCTCCCTTATCCTGAGCAGGTCCTTCCCGGCCAGGAACACCGCCACCCTTGGAAATCCCCACCACTCGCTCTCCGAGAGCTCCACCCTCTCGAAGTTGCAGAATGGGTGGTCACGGTCGGCTCCCTCCGGCAGGCTCAGCCGCCATAACGTATCGGTTGCAGTCAATTCGGCCATTGACTCGTGGCCGGTCTCCTCCTTCATCCTCGCCTCGCTCCCGAAGAACGGGTGGATGAGGACCAACCCCCGCACGCGCAGACCTCCGACGGGTTCCCGCTGAAGGCGGATCCCCAAGTTATGGACAATGTTGCCCCCGGCGGACTCCCCGGAGAGGAAGACGCTGGAGAGGTCCGCATTCTGAAGCCAGGGCTCTCCGCCGGCGGCGCCTTGGCCGGCCAGCCACTTCAGGGAGCTGTAACAGTCTTCGTAGGCTGCAGGGAGCCGGTTCTCCGGCGCCAGGCGGTAGTCCACGGAGAGGACAATGCTCCGGGACGTGACGCAGAGGCCGCCTATGAAAGAGTGGTAGCCGGGCCAGGTGGTGGAGCCGAAACAGAAGCCACCCCCGTGGAAGTAGACGAGCACGGGGAGTCGGGAGTGGGATTCTTTGCCGTCGTCGAGGGGGACAAAGATCCTTGCAGAGATGGACTTGGACGGGCCGATGACGACGTCCCTGGACTTAAAGGAGGCGGCGGCGGCGGTGATGGTGGTGGGGGAAGAAGAGATCTTGGGGCTGAAGCGCTTGACGGTGCCGTCGGAGAAGACTTGAATGAATCCGGGGATCTCTGCGACCATTGTCATGGTTTCCCCTCTGCGACAAACACCACCGGGGAGGGACGGCCGGCCTCTTCCTTCCTGGGTCTCCCCTCGCCGTGCTCTATCTCCTGCTTAAAAAGTAAGAAGAAGAAGAAGCGGGCCCCCACGAGATGGGAACGGGACGGTCTTGCCAGTGCCACGGAAAGGAGGTTGGCTAGGTTAGTTCGCCCCCTTCCAAGGGCGTGATCATCCGAATCGCCGGTGGGCCCCACTTCGCGCATCTTCACCGTCCGCTGCCGGCCCTCCGAAAGATCGCCCGACCGATCAGGATAGGAATTCTGGCTCAGCAATCCAATCCCCACTCGGGATGGGTCTGGGCCCAACCTGGGCCGGAGGGCCGGAAATAGCCCAAACAGTGTCCCGGCGCCTCCCGAGTCTGGCCCACCATATTCGGCTTCCTATCGGGCTTAGGACGAGTGCCAAGCGACTCGCCCCATAAACCCCGTCGGGGTAACGCAGAGTGGGCCTGTCGCATAAAAGCCCAAAAAATACTCCGCCGAGGCCCAGTAATGGAGCCCAAAACACAAAAAAGAGGCGAAAGGACCTGGTTCGGCCTAGCAGTCAGGAAACCCAAAAACAGGAACTTGGAGGGAGCAAAAGAGGTGAGGCCTTCCTTGGTCACATCGCGGATGATCTCGGCGCCCGCCAGGTAGGTGGTGTGATCTTCTTCTGCACTGGGGATTTACAGCCGTGGGACCCGATGAAGCTCTACTCGTCGAAGGTGCTCATGAATCCCCCGATGAAGCCGGCGCCATTGCAGGACCCGCACAGGATCTCCCGCTTCCCTCTGCCACAGAAAGCACAAACATGAGCACCCACCAGGTCGAAATGCCCCACTAGAGAAGGAGGAAGACTCTGCTATTCACATGCGCCGGATCGTTCCTCTCCGGCTCCTTCCCCCCCCCCCGGGCCCTTCGGTGGGTGATTTTGATGATCATGTAGGATTGGACTCACGACGGCGGCCCTTGTAATTTATTGCTAATGGTCCATGGATGGGAAACACGACATCCTCGAGCTATGCAGGCGCCTAAGAGCATGATGGAAATCGAACTTTTGAAGCGCCGGGAGCATTTTGACTTTCCTACGAAGATATGCAGGCAGAGCGAAATCCATCATGCACAACAGGAGGCAGTGGGTCGTACCTGCACAGCCAGCACGTCTGACCAGCTTTAAACCGTCCGCCGAAGTGATCCTCAGAATTGACCCCGGTTCCCTTGCACTGAGTGCACTGGATGGCACCTGTGGGGGGGTCAACGCAGGATATTAACCGTTTAGAGAATCCGACAGACTTGAAACCGGGCCAAATGACAGAAAGCGCATCAGCTTGGATCAAATAAAAACCGCTACACAGGGAAATCAAGGGAAAAGAAGGCTGGCCCTGTTCAATCCCTGAATTTTGAATATATCCAAATAAATGGGCAGTCTGCATTCACTGTGAGTCCTACTCGGGAAATGCATGCGAATTTTGCATAGAAAAGTTTTTTTTTTTTTTCAAAAGCCTTTCAGTTAGAAAATCCTCCATTTATCAATCAAACTGGGTGGGCAGCGCTCTAACCTTACACAATTGTGGAGGATGAATGCAATTCATACTGATATCGTTGTCAGAGCACTCTCTTCCGACTTACTAGCATTCAATACTAAAGACCTGACAGTAAAAAAAATAAAAAATAAATATAGATACTATTCCGTTTCTTGATACGAGCGACCTCTGGAATGATTCGGTCAGTAGACAGGGACTACTCTTTTCCCTTTCGTTTTTCAGTGGGAAAGAAATTCCAGAGAGATTGCCTTCACATCTCTGATTTTTAGCTGTCTCGAGGCATCATCATACCGGCGACACCAGAGTTTACAGAAATCTATCCGGGATTAAGCGCAAAAAAGTAATGAAGCAACCAGGTAAAACGGAGTTCGGGGGTGCTCGGTTACCATTTCCTTCGCAATCCGCGCACACGATGCTATTGACCTTTGTTGTCGGATCAGAACCCGAGACCTGCGTCAACATCAAGGCGAGAGTGTCGCATAATGAGGAGTAGAGGATGAATTCCAAGGCGCCTTCTCACGGCAGCCCGTCAAAAGGGAACTAGTAAGCCAGAAATCACAAAATAGGCCTCGGATGAAAGAACATCCGAATCAACGCCCCTAAAACTAACGGAGCATTTGTAATTTTCGCTCCGGCAAAGTGAAATTTCGACACTTCTCCGCTGGAATTCGAAGTGAGGGATTAAGCAGCCTTAGAAACCGGGGAGCAAGCTGGGCCAAACCAGACATAGACACACAGAGAGAAAGAGAGAGAGCACGACAATCATGTAGCAAGGGAAGCACCTTGGTTATGAGAGCATCGAACTTGGTGTGATGGTGGTGGCGGTGGTGGTGGGTGAGCGCAGTCGGCTTAGGGGGTATCTGGTCCGGGGTCAGGGAGCATTGGAGCTTCTGAGGTAGACGAAGACCGCATCTTTTCGGCGTCCCGGCTCTTGTCGGCGCACCGATGGAGACCTCAGGAACGAACAAGCCGAGGGCTTTCGCCATAGCGCGGCAGACGGGACGGGGGAGCACTGCGCCCTCGGTGCCTCCTCGCCAAGCGGACGTTCGGATGAGCGGAGGGGAGAGAGGAGAGCGCTGCTGGATGAGGCCTTGCGGGGAGATAAGGAAACACACAAACGGTCACTGATCGCTTTCGGTTTATCGACAAGGTATCCTCCCCCTCTACCTCTATAGGCAACTAAAACAGAAAAAGAAAAAATAAAAAGAAGAAATATCTACTGGCCGTTGTCCTCTACGCCGTCACCTAACGGTAACGGGAAAAACGGTCCTCCCCGGCCAGCGCCCTTTCCGTCAGCCTCCAATTAGGCATATTTATTTTTCCCTATTTTTTAGAAAATAAAAAATAAAAAATAAAAACGTCACGATACGTCTCCAAGATGTAAGCATGTGGAAATGAGGATTAAATGGGCCGAATTTTATGGGCCCGGCTCGGGCTTTTCTTGCCCAATATGCGCCTCGAAGATGCTGCCAGACATGGGAGTGTGGCTCTTAGTTTTTTTCTTTTTTTATCCGGGAAAAATATGCGGATCACACGTGCACATACCCGCACGTATTTAGATGCATTTGTATGCATACGTACGTATCCATGCGTACCGATTAATCAATCGACAAGGCCTAGGCCCTTCCTTGGCGCTCTCTCTCCCTCCCTCCTCTCTTGAGCTCCCGGTGGAGTCCGCATGTGGGCCCCTTCGCCCTCCTCGGTCAATGGTTGACCATGACCCATCAGTAGACCCAGTGAACTAGACCGACTGCTCACCACCGGACGAGAGAGGGTGGGTGGGACTGGTGTGAAGAGAGGAGGCTCCTGCTCTAAAATGCTGCAAGCAGTGGCGATGGGCAAGACATGAGGAGCGGCGGCTCGAGCCGTCCTTCATTTGGAGGCCCAGGAATCATTGAAAACTGATTTTGCAAGTATCTTGCAAGAATTTCCCGAGGCGATTCGCTTGGCAAGCGCCGCCGCTGCCTTAATTGGCCGTTTCCGCCGTTTTGATTTCAACGGGGAGAAGATCCGCTCTCTTCCGTCCGCAGTCTCCGGGTGACGTTGATCTCGCCTCGCTGAGAATGCGAGAGGTGCCCATAACTCCACTCTCGATCAAACTGGGGGAAGAACGCTCCTCAAGAAATAGCAAGTCGGTGAAAGAGATGGCGCCATCCGAGTATCGCGGGGTCGTCTCGCACGTAACTCTATACATGCCGATCTCTGCTCGCTGCATTCTTTGCTCTCGGGGAGGGAGACGGAGGCAGGAGAGGACCAGAGCGAGACAGGGAGGCTCTAGACTGCCGACAAGATGGTCACCAGAGGTCGCGCAGACATAATGGTGAGAAACAGCAACTGGTGGCCTTCACCATTTCGCAACTGGATCTGATGTAGATGTATCTCTCCTGTTATGATCAGCTCGGTTCTCGTCCCTTTGATTTCGATGCGCAGGGAATGGTTGCGCTTCTGTTGTTCTTGTTGTGGACGACACTCGTGTGCGCCGCTCCCGTGAGGCAAAGCATCTTCAACGCGGCGGACTTCGGTGCTGTGGGAGACGGCAGGGCTGATAACTCGAAGGTAGGATATCTCCGTGCCGTAGGACTACTCTCCTTCTCTCACGAAGCCTCATTGCCACAGTTAGGGAGGAAGACGCCGAAAGGCAAAGCACCTTCTGGGGGTCTCTCAGGGAAGACCCACCCAGTTGCTTGCTATGCTCTTGTCTCCATCAAGAGGGAGAACATCCCTGTACATTGAGATTACAACTAGGGAATCACTCTCCTCTTTCTCTTGCTGCTCCTTGAATATGCACAACTCCTCTAGCTTTCCCATGTCGCCACCATCTTTCAGGCGTTCCAGAGGGCTTGGACAGCAGCCTGCACCAGCGCCCAACCATCACCGGTGGTGCTCGTCCCTTCGCCGGGGACGTTCTTGCTCAGGCGCGTCGCCTTCTCCGGGCCATGCAGGGCTAAGAGAATACACTTCCAGGTGATCTCCTTCGCCCAATCACGAACGGTCGATTACATTGGGACCTTCAAATGGACGGTCGATATTCTTGCGCTTCATCCCAGGTTGCAGGCAACATCGTAGCACCCTACGGGCAGTGGACCTCCGACCTGACCTCTGCATGGATTACCTTCATCCGCATCAATGGTCTCACCATTCACGGATCCGGCAAGATCGACGGCCAGGGGAGCAAGTGGTGGGCTTGCAGGATTAACCATGTCAGGATCTTCGCCATTCTCATGTATCACCACTATACACTCGTATTATAGTCTTATTATTGACGTCTAACTCTCTCGACAAACACATGCAGCAATGTGCCACTGCACCAGATGTAAGCTGCCCCCTTCCGATTCTACTTGATCCTCGAAGAACTGTTCTTTACTGCACAGAATGGGATAAACGAGTTCGATTCTCTGGTTCAGATGCTCGCAGTGGCGTTTTGCGACGGGTTCCATCTGGAAGGAGTGCACTTTGCCAACAGCCCGGCGAAGCATGTGACGGTCTTCCGCAGCCAGTGGGTGATGATCAACGGGATCTCGGTTTCCTCGCCGGGGGACAGCCCCAACACCGACGGCCTCCTCATTCAGGAGTCCAAGCACGTCCAAGTCATCTCCTCCAACTTCGCTTCAGGTTCGGACTTCCTCTCCATTGCGTGGTTATCGTCTGATTATCACCATCGCAGCGTTCGACGCAGCAGGCGCTGACATAATCTGACCGGAGCAGGCGACGACTGCGTGGCGATTGGGACGGGTTCGTCTGATGTCAACGTCACCTCGATCACATGCGGTCCAGGACACGGGGTCAGGTGAGAATGATCAGATTCTTCTCCCGAAAGTTCTCCCCTCCCCACCAACGGCTCAAACCCCCGAGGTATCCATCCGTTTAATTCTGTTTTTGATATCTGACGAGGTCTGCAGCATTGGGAGTCTCGGGATCGGAGGGACGCGGGCCGAGGTTGAGAGGGTGCGTGTCACCTCGAGCCAGTTCTTCAACACCATGAACGGCGTGAGGATCAAGACTTGGCCGGTAAGAACCCATCTCGAAAGAGAGAAGTAGCTCAACTCCCCGGGTGCACAATTTTTTTTCTGAGAGAGAAAAAATCTAAATAGTCACATCAAACCACAAACTACACGAAAGCTTCCTACATGGTCATCTGTGAATTCTCTCTCTAGTGTTTGACGGGGATCGGTTCGGGTCCTCGTGTCCGTGTGGTTGATTCTGACGTGAGCGCCGAATGCGTAGGGAGGGTCTGGTTTCGCAAGGGCGATCTCCTTCGATAACAACGGATTCACCTCAGTGGTGAATCCAGTGATCATCGATCAGTACTACTGTGGCGGTGCTCGAAGCTGCCCTAACAAGGTGAACGGTGGTGCCCCAAATCGGTGGTCCGCTTTCTTCGTCAAAAGTTCCTTCTTCTTCATCTTCTTCTCATATTCAATTGCCTTCTCCATCCTCCGTTGTCGAAGACGTCGGCCGTGGAGGTGAGCGACATAAGGTACGCTGGACTGCGGGGGACAGCCACGGGAGATCATGCCATCAAGCTCGAATGCAGCAGAGAAGTCCCCTGCCGGGAGATAGTGCTCGACAACGTCGTCATCAACTCCGCGGTCCGAGGAAAGAAGGCATCTTCCTTGTGCTACAACGCCCACGGATGGACTAGGAATACTGTGGTTCCCGAGGTCCCGTGCCTGGCTGCTTAGTGCGCTTGAATCTCCTCCGTCCTCTGATTACTGTCGTCTACCCCCCCCAAGTCGTGTCTTCCTCACTTTCCTGGAAAAGTCAGGAGCTGACCCATTAATGTCCGATCTCATTTCAGTCTCGTGGCGTGGCAGAGGAACTATAGAATAATGAATCCTTGACGTTATTTCTCATCTACTGGCGGGGGGCAGGTAGCGAACCAAGAACCCAGAGAGACCAAGCGATAATGCCGTCCCTTGGGGCTCTCCAAAACGAATGATAGCAGCCCGTGGTCGCCGGGGAAAGGTTTTGCCGACCGGTAGCGCCGGGGAACGCAGAGCTGGTTCCTCAGGCATCGCCCAAAGGAACGAAGACAAGCGCGATCCAGACTGGCAACGATGAAATATGTGCTTCTAATTAAATCAACCCCCAAGTATTGTGGGTCCGATGCTTGAATGAGCCCCCGACCGGCTCAAGTTCACATCGAGTTTATCTCTCTCGCTCGCTCTCTCTCTCTCTCTCTCTCTCTCTCTCTAGGGGGAAGGGGGGGATGTGGCATGTCAACGCCAGACATGAGCCTACTTATATACACCGAGAGGCCCGTAAGTTAACAACGACGTACGGCAGGTTCCAACCTCAGACGAGTCTTCCCCTCCGCAATCTCGTTCGCGCCACAGAGCAGCACGTTAGACGGCCAACTTGGCGACTGCCAGCTCCTTGAGCGTCCTCACAGACCTCTGGAACATCTTCAGACTGTGCCCAATGTTATCCTGAGGAGAAGAGAGCCGCCCGTCAATGTATATACCGCTAAAACCAGAAGAAATCACGCGCGCGCGCGCGCGCGATAATTCTCAACGCGGCCGCGGTCGAGGCTAGAAAATCAAGGCGGCCGGGTTGAGAGAGATGACACACAAGCGGTAGCAAACCATCAATGGATTCAGGGCTGATACGTACCTCCCTTAGAAGCTCGAGTCTCTCTAGAATTGGGAAGAGCTTCCCGCACAATGATGAGAGAGAATCATCTTCCACAACGCTCTTGCTGAAACATGAACCACTTTTATCAGAACACCTCGAATAAGAAGGATACTGTAAATTCTGATGCGAAAGTAAGAGAAGAAGCAAGGGGGCATACTCTTCCTGAAAATGAATCAACAAAACGTTCATCGCATGCTCTGCAATCTGAAGCAGCAGAGAAATAAGCTGATCCTTCTCCCCAGCAGCATGACACATTTCGACCATTGCAACGTACCTCCTGTTCGTACGACCATTGCAATCGAACAGGAGAAGATGAATATGATATAAGAAACAAGATATTTTATCATGGCACCGGATAAATAGGAGCGCCAAACCAGACACAAAGGAGCCTGATGCATTAACGATTAAGATGACCAGCGGGAGCACCCACGAAATGATCAAATTCATCATTCTTCTCATGGTTGCGCATTCAATGAAGGAAAAGGGAAGATCAAGACGGATTACATCCAAGGAACCATGCAGGGAGAAAGTATTATCTACCACACACTGGTCAACCAAGATATGCGGCAGACTGAAGGACGCCGGCTTAAAGAACTAGCGATACCAGGAGAAATGAGAGTACTTCAATGAAGCACGCATAAAATAAATAAACGGAGAGACAAGAGAAGTTTGGGCATTCAGTGACCGTAGTAAACAGCTGGTAGGAGCAACAAAATCTAGTAATGTCTCTCGTGAGCATCTCTGATAATTGACAAGTACCGGAGACCAGTACAATTATCACTTATGAGAGGTTTTCCATCGATTTGTAAGGTTAGTATGAGGGGACACAACAATCGATGAGGGGCAAAAAAATGTAAAATACAAATGGGGTAGATAATAAAAAAAATTCGTGAACACTTTTTGGTAAAATATGGAGATTATTTTTTTCAGGGTCCTATATATGAGAGAGATAAAACAAAGGAAAATATATGAAGCCTTGGGTAACTGAGAAATACATGAAATCAGGTGCAACTGGAGGATAGTACCCATATCACCAATCTCATCTACTATTTTGTCTTCAATGATGAATATGAGCACAGTTATTTGAAAATGGATAAAAATCTAAGGTCACAATACAGATAACTCATGATTAAAGAAGAATGAATATGTGGACATTAGCTGTTTCCAAAGCTCCAACAACAAAATAACAAGCATAAGGTTCATTTCAGAAAAAGCCAAAGTGACTGCCTGTTGTTTTGAGAACAAGAGTGTAAAAGGAGGAATCCATGATGGGATAATTAATGTAAAAGGTTACGTATCGCTGAACCACAGCCAGCTGACAAACACATTCAGCCAAGCACATAATATCACAGCTTGTAAGCACATACGATTGTTAGAATGTCAAAAAGTGTAATGCAATGGCCGTGGCAGTCAAATATGTTTATTGTTACGGTACATGTTCGGATGCCCATCATAACCGGGCAATGAATATGTAAGATGCCTGTCACCTCATTAGCTGTCACGTTGTGCGTTCGGCCCATCATAAAGAGACACTAGAACACAAATGACGACCGTTAGCCACGGTCAAGGTGCCCACTCAATGTTCAGGTGACAGGCAACTGCCCTGTCTGACTGGGTTGCCCACTCACCTCTGCGTCACTGGGCAATGCATTGAATACTATCGTTTAAACTATTTTTTCCATTGCTCCCAGCACAAACTTTCCTCACATCTGAAGGGGATCAATTTAATTTGCATCAAGATGAATCTGAAAGGAATACTGTGCACAATTTAACAATTCAATTTTATGAGCAAAAATCCACACAGGTGGGCAACACATGCCGTTTAAGAGAGTGTACCCATCCATACCGAAAAAAGGCACGCTCCAACGCAAAAAATACTGTGTGAATCTTCCATGAAGAGTCTAAATTTTTCAGAGCAGATGAACCAAGACAAGTAGATGTAGAAGTCTTTGAAACCTTCTGATTGCCACAACTCCTATGAAAAATATTTATGAAAACTAATAGACATAAATCATAAATCACTCCTGACTGATTTATTACAGGCTAAGACCCTTCTAAATATTAAACCACACAGCATAAACAAAGTTCAGGGACAGTATATATATGGTGCACTTACAAATAATCTTGATGCAAATACCTGACCGCCCAATAACTGAAGCTATTGTAACAATTTATCCCGTAACGAGAAAAGAAAATAAAGAATGCACACAAAATAAATTACCTCTTACGAATATTGTCAGATGCTGTGATACAGTTCTCTCTCTTGCACACCCTTATGATTTCGTCAACCTCCTGCCTTGATAGCTCATTGATGTTCTCAATCTAAACAAGTTAAAAAATGATGAATCACGGCGATTACAACAATTACTAAATAAGATTGTTTCCATACAAAAAGACAGCAATCATACCTTGTTAAACAACACTGACTTCTCTTCAGCAGTGCTTTCCAAAGAGAATGTAATAGAACCAAGAAGACAAGCAATCAAGAGCAATGTGGGCTGTTGATGTTCACTAGGTTCTTCAATATTCTTGTTTGAAACCTAACGAAAGAGGTTTTCCCCTCATGAGAAAGATAAATATTGGGGACCAAATCTAGGCACACCGTGAACTTAAAAGAAAATGTGCATGAGAGGGAGAGAAAAAAGGGAATAAAGAGGACAATCTTAATATGCTGATGTGAAAGAACACAAACTTTCAGTTGCATCCTAACAAAGAAATAACGGACATGAAGAAGAAAAAATATGTAGGATATTAAATGAACGACAAGGTTTTTAGTTGTTGCCAGAAATGTTACTGCGAAGAGTCTAAAACTTAGGAGGTATAATATATTTTACTCAATTGAAGAAGTGAATCAAATAAAATAATGAATGATGAACATGGAACCCACGTTGCAAGATCATCAAGAAGGGAAATGAAGATGAATTCATGAGTGGTGGAAAACTAACAAAAGTTGGGTATACGGAGGAACCGTGGAACATAATTAAACATGAATCTAAGAGATGAGCAATACATCCACGTCCAAGAAGAGGATAAACCAAACGAATGAATGCTCAGATCATCTGTCCACGTTAGAAAGCCAACAAGATTAATTTTGCACACTAAATGCCGATCTTTTGCTTTCACAGGAAAGTACTGCACGGATACCAATGTACATTAGCAATAACATCGAGCTGCCTTTAGAGGAGAATCATCGAGATTTGGGCATACTAATCTGTTTAACACTTTTGGAAATATGAACATTTGTTGTTCTTAACAAAATACGCAGGATGATGAAATCATGCTAAAGAGCAAGAATAAACCACTTTACAATGGGAATATCCCAATCACTAGAGATACTGAACCGAATTTGACATAACGATATGGCAGATCCCAATGTATGAGTGCATCCATGTGATATGTATTTTTACCATATGCACATAAATAATGAAATTTCATGAGGCCTGTCATAGAAAGAAGGACGAAGATAAAGATATTGTACGTTCAGAACGTACTGATATGTACTAGAATAGAATGTATATCAGATATGGAAAACTAACGATGTTTGAAGCCCCCGATATGCCACACTGCCCAATAATGTATCTATTTTCAAGTACATACAAATACAAAGATGATATATAGCTTTGCGCAGGTTAATACCTTGATAAATTAAAATAAGCCAAGGTCATAGAAAAAATGTTCAAAAAAAAAATCGTCAAAAAATGTTTTACACAACTTTAATCCTAACCAAATGGCCATAATACCCTCACGTATGTTGACTTATTAAAGACAGTTCAGTCCAGTATGATAATATCTAAAACCAGCTGTAGCGCACATTAGTTCTTCTCCCCAGACTGATTTATGTAACTTATCAGGGTATTGAACTCCACAATCCTTTACATCAAGAGACCAACTAGAACATAACACGTCAAAAACCATGACTTCTTTTCAATAATATTAACTTACAGGCAACGCCAACCCCAACCATGTACGGTCTATCCAATGAAACATGAGAACCTATCGAAAAAACTGATGATGTGAACGGTAATGCAAAACATCCTTCTACACACCAAACAGGACAAATTTGCGGGCAAATTTGCGCCCGCATAAGGGCTAAAACAATCGACACAGATTAGTGATGTTCAGGACACCAGAAAATGATCAATTTAGCCGGCCAAAGCCGAAACCTAAATGATCATCAGGATTACCATTAAACATTCTTCTTTAATCTTGATGGGATATCTCAGCTAAAGAATTTGACACGGTTTCTGAAGATAAGACCCTCTGGATATTAATCTTCTGCAGGTGTGACGGGGCACTGTATTCGGGGAACATAAATCGGAGGTCTGTTGAAAACCCTATCAGTTGTCCATTGTAACCGCATGGAAGCCCATCTGGGACACGAACCACATCACATATAAATCACGGAGACTTCTTTAAAATGAGTTGCAATCAATGATACATGATGCGACACAACATTAGGACAATAAAAGTTATTCCGCCGATAAACATTTTTATTCTAAATGGATTCTTGGTGAAATAAACACACCAGATATAAACCACATGAATTTTTTCCGTATGAAATAGTCTTAAAGTAACGGAAAAACTAGAACAAAACCACAGGGATAAGAGGAAAAAAGGCAGCATTTTTAGATGCCCCATACCTGAAGGCGTAGAAATTTCCTGGCGACCAGGAAATACAAATATGAAGTAAGGCTAAAGCATAACCGAAATATGAATACTTCTTGCTTCTTCCGACTCTGATATTATAAAAATAAAATTACATAATCAGTACAAGATAATAAGGAAAGATCATCCTCATCCAGTCAAACTGTCAACAAGCTCACCTCAATAAAAGCTGAACCATCAAAAGAGAAGATAACACACATCAGATGAAAAAGCTCTTGAATGAATCCGTACTGATCATTTTCTTCATAAGGCCAAACCTTGAGGAAAAAAAATGCCATGAAGTGTTGGGGAAGTTTCAAACAATCATTGAGTAAAGTATTTAAGGAAGAAAGTGTACCTTACTGAGTATATATACAACAAGATTGATTTGCTCTAAGGCAAACTCATCTGCCCTTGAAACATCCTTCCTGAGAATTTCATCAAAAGCTGACTGATGCTCCCTAACGAAATCTACAACTTCACGAACTATTTTGTTCTTTACCTGGAATAATTAGTCAACGTTTTAAGGAAAAAAACAGTATAGAGTTTTTTGTCTAGAAAAGCTCTTGAATGAATCCGTATAGAAAAACAGAATAATATTTTCGTACAGAAAAGCTCTTGAATGAATCCGAACAGAAAAAAAGAATAATTGTTCTCTTTCAAAGGTTCCATAATGACAGAGTATTAAAAAGTGAAAACAAAAAAGGAATCGCAAGGTTGGGTGGCATGAGGAGTCAAGCCACCGGGAATATAAGGCTAAGCATATAAGGAAAAGGACGACTGAGAAACAAATGTAATGAATTGACAAAATGCCACGTGCATCCAAGACAAGAAGAAGCCACACATTAAATTCACCGTTGTGAGGGCTTCTTAAAAATACAGATTACGTAGACTATATTCTTGAAGATAGGAAGCCAAACGCTCCGGATGAACAAGAACCAGTGATGAAAAGTAATAAGGAACATCAATTCTCCGTGAAAACGGCCCAGATACCTGCGGGAGGTTGACAATATTCAGCTGGTTTTGAAAATGTTATTTACCAAAGAATCCACACCTTTAAATTTATATTAGTCCCTTGGGAAATTTGACCGAATTACTAATATGTCATACGTTGGGAACATAGTTGCTAGACACATGGATGGTCTGCTATTAGCCCGGCATTGAGGCAAACGCAGTTTTGTGCATCTGAGCTGTTTGGTAGATAGACTGTTTTTGCATCTTTGTTAATGAACAAGTGTGATCAAGGGTTTTTTGTAACACGAGGGGTAAATCTCACATTTTGAGAATTATTAATTCTCAGCATTACATGCAGTCTCCTGGTATGCTTCTAAGTCTTGTACATAGGTTTTCTTTTCTTTTGTGGGGAGAATATCAAGATGAAACCAAGTAGCTCCGAAAACCAGAATCAACAACTAGAAGAAAACGATCAACCAAATTTAAAATGAGTTAGGAGTAAATCTCATCAAATTGTTTGCTACAATGCCGTTCCGTGTAAGAGGGGCACACAGATATCTTAACCATTGCAAATGAAGACAGTATATTCTGCATAAAGTTCGCGCCTTTGTGTGCGTCTGATCCTCACTTTCTCGTCAGTTTTAGCCATCCCTTTCCTGCCACCTCCTCAGTCTCGTCTTTTGATGAGATATTATTTTCTTAAGTGTTTTACACATCAATTGCGTTAAGACAAGATAAACAGTTAGTCATTTATTGATAAAAAATCAGGATGGAACAAAACGACAGACAAATCCACGCGGCAATAATTATTAAAGTTCTCTACATGCACAAAAACACTTCACAACCAGTCAATCCACATACTGCAATTCAGGAGTTATTTGAAAGAAAAAAGGTCAAAAAGAACATCAACTAGTAGCGAAAAGAACATGAAATATACAATCACCGAACTTATTCATATGAAATACTTGTTCATATACTAGGAAAAATTTGCTGAGAAATCTATAATACTTAAGTAACAGAGGTAAAGAATGGAAGAAAACCTCAAATAGTTCTGATAAGGCCACTAGTGATGTCAAACTAGAAACCAATCTCAATGCCGGAGAGAGGACTAGCCGTAGCCTCTCATTCACAGCTGTTGAATCCCGGACAGATTTATAATCACCGCTTCTCATACTTCGCTGATGAAAATTAGAACTATTAGATCCCATCAATAGAAAAGGCAACAGATTATACACTAAAAGTACCTTCATCTGCAAATCAACAACCCTGCATGATCGTAAATGTTCTAAAACCCCCATTGAAATCAGGATCTGTCCACCAAACTTCTCGTAGCTATGACTAATCCTCAATAACAAAGCAAGCTTAGCCTCAAGAGTACATAACCTCTGCAAAGAATCCAATGAGTGCCATCCATCCTGGGAAGCCAACAAGAAAGTGAAGTATGAGAAAGTAAGGTTGATGTTCCAATGTATACGTAAGTTACCATTCTATAATTCACTTAAAGATCAATCTAACAACTGGAAAGCTATTCAAACAGCTGATAATATCAGAATATCTCACAATGGTAATAATTTTAATTGATAGGGAATAAAGAAATTAAGACAACCAAAAATCAAACAATAGATGGCCCAAAGCAGGAATCCGATCACACTTCCAAAGAATAAAATCCCAGGTCACATATAATATTAAGAATAAATTTCAAAAATCAGGTGAATAGTCTCAGTAAGTTTCTGTAAAATAAAATTATATGGGACATATACTACACGATAAATGGAAAGCATACCGGTATGATTTCTTTACCAAGGCATGATGCCAATAGAACAAACATAATAAGAAGAAATTTCCAAATTATGATGAATAATATGGGGAGAGTGAAGGTTAGAAAACAGAGGACATTAAAAGAGATACAGATGGATCAGCATCGCATACAGCAAGGATGTCAACGCTTTCTTCTTGGATATAAAAAAATAATATCATAGCAGCGTAGAAAACATGAGAAAATAATATAACTGTCATCATCAGTTGGACATAAAAAATAGAAAAAATCAAGATCCAAAGGCAAGTTCTAGAGAAAACAAACCTGGCAAGTGAAATTGCTAATGTCCACAAGACATGTTCTTAAAAATCCTCTACTTTGAAGCTGGACCAAGAAAAATCTTTCTTGATCAATGCTGACAAATGTATCTAGAACATAAAGTGAAATCGCCTTCCCAGCTTCACTCCCCTGAGTTGCGTCCCTTGTTAACTAGATATGCATAATATTCACGTGAATGCGTCAGCTAGAAGAACATAACTCTTTGGAAAAGAAACTTTGATATAGACCGGAAGTAGACATATCAGATAATATAAAACCGGAGGAGACAGTTAAGGAGACAACGTCTTACCATCAATAAAAAAGCTAAAATTCAGGCACATTATCTCATATTTGTAGTATTTCACATGCTATTCAGTTAGATTCTCTCTTTTCATTGGCATTGATGTAAGCCTACAAAAGAAAACTATGGATGTCTTGGAACAGTTAAGAGAAGAGCACACCCACCAAGTCAAGAATTCCTTGGGCTTCTTTCTTCAATATTGAAAAGTTGGCACGCAGTAGTTCAGCTTGCTCTCTGTCAACCTTTAAACCAGATAACAATCAATTAGGCCAATTATGCCAAGGATGCCTCAAACCCAAATAAAGTAAAATATGGGAAACCTTCTGGAGATCAGAATCTTCTCCATCATGCTCTTCACGCAACAAGAATCCTAATATTGATCCTGAGAAGTCAGGATCAAGTATACTTCGACAGTATTGAAAGTAGCTGAGAAGTAATGCATATTGACTGCAATTCAAACATTCAATACATTAAATACCATTAGAAAGAAAGAAAATTGTATGAATAATACTCCAGGCAAGCTAAATATAATACCGCCTCCTTAATATTTCTGATGACTCGTTTCTCAGAATAGCCATCAAAAGCTTATGCAAGATAGACTGGCATGCCCCACTTGGGAGCTGCTTCACAGAAATGACATCCAGGCACGTTACATTGTCTGGATCCACTCCTCCGGGGCACACAAATCTTTCATCCCGCAGTTTGGCCATGCAAGTCAGTGAGACCTTTGGGAAGCAAAAAAAATGAATAGGCTATTGACAGAAGTGAGTTCAAACTAACAAAGACAAAATTATACATCATTCAATCACCTGACTCAACATTACAGCCATTTTTAAAGAACAGTCGGAAGAAACTGATGCACCCAAGGAAGCATCAAGCAACCTGATACCATTTTCAAAAAGGAAGTTAAGCATTTACTCGATTTGAAATTAAAAAAATAAAGCTGAATCCCTTACTCAAATAAAATTTCAGAATGATCCTCAAGGAACATCATTCTTCTAGATATGGAGACCTGAAAGGCATAAGTAAAACCGAAATCAAAACACTACATAGAGCAGAAACCAAATACATATTCCTTGTGGAGAAAGCTCATCTACCTCGACAATGTGAGTCCAAGCTGTCAAAAAGTGAAGTTGTGCGGCTTGCTCTTCAAGGTTAGTGTTGTACTTCCAGCCCCACCTTAACAATTGTTGAATTGACTCCTTTAGGTTATCCATTTCTACTTCCATGCCAAGAGAACCGAGATGTGGATTAAGAAGATTAAGCATCTGAGATAACCATAAACAATGTACAATCAGATAACCTAAAATAATGAAGTATAAGTCAGGAAAGGAAATAAAAAATTGATAAGATAAATCATTAGGCATACGATAATACGTCTTCAATCACAAAATAATAATTGAGCAACAAAGACGAAAATTGACCTGCCAAATCTTATCATGGAAAGCTGCTAGGTCAATCAAGCGATCACCTCGTTCAGAGTAATAGTATACACCACCTTTTTCAGAAGCGGAAGGATTTTTTAGTATATCGTCCACCTTCATAAGACAACATGTCAGAAATACAGGGAATATGGAGAAACAAAAATTTATAGGTTGGTTACTCACCCGTAAGTCGTATTTCAGATTAGCAAGAATTTGAGAATAACTTGCCATGTCAGGGCACCTGAATAGGACGATTTCAAGCAATCGTAATATCTGAAACAAAAAACAAAATCTGCATATTTGTTTATCGTTTATGAAAGACATCACAAGAAAAACGTAAGCTACTACTACGACTAATAATAAAAATGATTAATCAACAATAGACAGTTCAAAATAAAGTAGCTCATAAAGAAACCAGATTGTAGCCAAACGGCAAGCACCGAATCGAAAAGGACTTTAAGAAGTAAATATTCAATATGAAGCGAAAGAAAATTGATGAAGATATCATTGAAATCTGTGAAAATTCGCTCTGTCGCCTGCACTCTGTTTGGGTAATACGAAAATTTCTTCCGTTCAATACTAATCCACAAATGGAACACAACTGATTGTGGACCCTTGTAGTTCGGGCGGCAAGAAATGTGGAACTAAAGGCAAATCCGAGTTTGCTGATTGTCATAACTGATCAGAAACAATGGCTTACGGTGATGAACAGGGGACTGTCAGAAGGATTCTCAGGATGAAGACAGAACCAATCAAATAGAAATTATCATAGGGGCAACATGAATGAACAGAACGGTGACAGGTAAAAATAGTAGAAAATCACCACTGCCCAGGATGACAAAAGGAGATGACGAATCTCTTAAATGTCAATAGTGTCATGACTGATAAGTTCTAGCAGACTACCAGGAATCAGTGGCAGCGGTGGGGATAGGATGAAGGGAGGCTCTCCGATCACACTAGCAGAATAGTAACGGCAGCTATTGTTGGCAACCGATAAGAGTGTCATTGGCAGCGCCTGGTTGAGTTCTGGCAGCAACATCACTCATGCTATCCTATCCAATCCAATTAGAATCAAGCTTGAAGGCAGCAATCCAGATTTCCTTTTCTAAGATGATTTAACCACTATCATAAAACAGCAAATAAAAATTACAACGTGAAGCAAAAAGTCAAAAGTAAAGGTAAAATAAAATAAAATAAACACAAGAAACATGACTGTTGACTGATGGCAATAGTCGCAAGGGAGTGAAAAGTAAGTGACAATAACTTGTGGTGATGGGAAGTGAGCTTAATAGTGGATAATGGTGGGTACCAACAGACTAGTTCACAAAAACCCTATTCCCCGTTCAGTTTTTGAGGGTGGAGTTCTAATCAATCGATAAGGGAGAAAATGAGGAAAAGACTTGACTCTTTATACCCAAATCGGTTTTTTCTTGACAATGTCAATTTTTACAAGACCTGAATGAAGAAGTGAAGAAGGCCAGTAAAAGAATCAATCAGGAGTTCACCATGATTGAGATTTACAATAATCTTCTTGTACAAATCCTTTCTTGATCCATATCTTACTCTTGACTTCCAATTCTTGTCATTTAGATATTGACAAAGGAAACGCCCAAGCGGAAATTTCAATGAAAATACGAAGAAGGAAAAAATATTAAAACAAATATGAAGAACAATCTAACCATAACCAGTTACGGTCTTGGAATGACATATAGAAAATTATGTGAACAAGCTTGGGAAATCCTAGGCAAACAATGGCTTAAACACGAAGTAAAGAAAAAAGAAATCCTCAAGAAAAAAATGTAAAACAACATTATTCTATTTTCACAGAGAGAGAAAAAGATATCAAGGAAAATGTTTTTCCCGGCAACAGACATACCTTACTCCTATTGACAGTGTTGCTTCCATCACGATGACTCTCTACCTGTAATGCTTGTGATAAACTTGGGCCTGTGTACATTTCACCAGAGACTGGACCAAAAATTTGCGAAAGGATTGTGAGGCATGCATCACGATGTGTGGACACAGCCATATCAGCAACATGCAACTCCAACGCCAACAGTTTTAAAAACCAAGCTCTCTGACAGGAGACAATGATATTAAACGATCAGATGTATTCAAAAGTGAACTACACGGAAAGTAACAATATATTCTTCCAAATTTATGCATTCGTAAAGGCTGGAAACATTCCGGCAGTTTGTTTTCAACTTTATTGTATATAAATTGAGTTAGAAGATCTTTATGATTGTTAATATAGTACCTTTAATATACACAATTTATGAACAAAGTCCTTTAATTATTCTACATTTTGGGTCAATGTACCATCATCTCTGACATGAGAAAATGATATTAAACGATCAGATGTATACAAAAAAGACAGCTACACGACCATCACAACAAAAGGAGCACTATAAATCGAGTTAGAAGATCTTTATGATTGTTAATATAATATCTATAAATATACACAATTTATGAACAAAGTCCTTTCATTACTATACATTTTGGGTCAATATACCATTATCCTCTAAATTTACTAACGTTTTACCACAAATTTAATCCCTGATCAAAGTATAAACAGCTTCTTACACCATTCCAAAAGGTTCATGATACCATGCACACAATGAAAGCAAGTAGTTTGCACCTGATTCCAGTGACCAAGTTTAATAGTAATAAAATCTATTATCTTTCAAAAGATCATAACCAGTTTGTCAAAGGCAAATTAGTCACAAGAAAAGGACAGACAACATAGCCACCACTAAATCAACTAACCAATGCTTCCTAGATCTCGAAAAGCGTTTATTTTCCATATTCGTTTATAGAATCATAAGTAACACAAAAGCTAAGGGAATAACTCCCAGTGTAGATGACACTGCATCAAAATTCCTGGCACCTTTCTCTCAACTTTTCCTCCACTTCGGATTAATTCATAAGAACCAGACATTAGAATGTCAGGACTTATTGACACATAATGTGCAGTATGCACCCAAAAACAAAAAAAGCAAATTGGATTATCCCAAGCAGCTATACTATTTTGTTGATTGCTTGGAGATCGTAAAGAGGCACAGGCAAGTACTGTTCAACTATTAACTTCCAAACTTTCTTCTCGCAAACCTGCATCATTTGATGTTCATTAGTATTTATGTAAACTTAAAAAGAATAATCCATTCAATTCACCTGTCAAGAAACATTAACTAATGTACATTTTTTGTTCTCAATCTTTGGACATAACACTGCCCTTTTTCATTTATGAGGAATAACAACATACTTATTTAAGGTTGTGTGCTTTCTACCTCCTTGCTCTTCTACCTAGCAAAGGATATAACTCCCGTACTTACGATATCTTCCTCAGAAAATTAGATTTGTTAGCTTAATTTACAGGAGGTGGATGTTTTAACTAGTTGTTTATGAATATAAGAAACAATCAAATGCCAAGAATTTGGTACCTGATGGAGAGAGCTAATCCTGAGTGCATGAGAACTAGTTCTCTTAGGAAGTGGAGAAACGCCAATAGTTTCCACATGCTGACCAAAAAAACACTTTCACAATTAATAAAATACGCCATAGATATAAAAAAATTAATAAATAAAATAAGCTTCAAACCTTCGAGAAAAAATGATATTTTTTTGTGCTCAAGAGGTCAAGGGTTGCTCCTCCGGTCAATGGATCCATGCACAATTCGTAAAGAAGCTGCACAATAGAAATGAGTACTGTATTGCCTCCACATACATATTAAGTAAAATCACAAAGTATTGGTGGCAAATGAGGCAGTTACCTGAAAACTAAACTCATAGAGTAATCCATTTACATCGCGCTTTGACATTTTTTCCAAATTTTTTAGAATGATCTTCAGGCAACTGCACAACATCTTCCAAGATCAGGTTATTCCCAGTTCTAACCAAGTCGCTGGATAATCAATAAATATTGTGAGCTAAACCTGTAATGGTATTTTGGCTGTAACACCGTACGATCAACAGGCGTGTCCACATCAAACTTGAGAAGCAAATGTGTGACATTCGGAGCTGGACGAGTGATATTATCTAAAAGAAGCTGAAGATACAAATAGACATTAAAATCACTCTTTAACGGAAAGGAGGCCCTTGGTTAAAAATGACTCAGACAGACCTGCAGTATAAGAACCCCCGAGTCATCTTTAGAATTCTCAATAAGTTGGAACTCATCAAAGCGAGACTCTAAACAGGCAGCATAGTCTTCAACCAAGCATTTTGCAGCACTAGATTTTAACAACAGTGGTACAAGTCCAGACATGCGGGTACTATCACAAGAAAAAATAGCATTAATATTAGAGAAGGAACTACACAGAAAAAAAAAACATGAATACATTTCGTTAAAGAGGACATGCATGCATTAACCAGGGAATGCCAGCAAGCTTCATCACGAACTAAGAGTTTTCACCTGAAGATACTCATGATTTTTATTGAGCACTGCTGAATTTGAGGAAGGAAATCATATCGAACATACTCCAGTAAAGAAATAACCTGACTGTGATCTTGAGATAGTATGACGTCCAAAGGCTGCAAAAGCAAAGCCATCAATAAAACAAATGGATATTTATAAGATAAATATATAAAATGGTGAATATTAAGGTTACAACCTGGTACAAAGGACGCCAAGAGCCAGCAACAAGGAGATCCTTCTCAAAAACAAGAATTACAATTTCTAACGAGAGATGCACGGCCTTCTCCAAAATGTGGCCGTATGTTTTGCTACTACGATCATGTATGATGGAATTTGTCCCCAGAGAGAGAATACTCATGATATTACGAAAAATCGTTCTACCACTCATGAAATCCTGCAAAAGAAATTCGCAGCCATCGATATCAACATGTTTCATAGAGACATGATGCACTGTAAGTGTTTGCAACGATCTACTAAGAAAATTCGAATTGGCAGAAAATACCAATGCAAGAGACTCATTACAAGGGTCATTGGGCAAGTTGACTAATAGGCACTGTGTCTTGCCTTCACCAAACAAGTCAGGATGCTCACGAAATCCGGTCAAGCACAGATCTAAAAGATACAGTGCATTGCTAGTAAGGCTGGCCATGAGGTTTGAATATTATGCAAGTTCTATAGAACTACAAATGTTATCACTACATCTCATGACAAAGAAAACATAAAGATCAACAACTAGCTTAAATGTAAAGATGCAAATCACATAAAAGATGTACGAAATATTTATAAAGATGAAAAAAAACGAAATTCAATCTGAAGAAAAGTTGCACAAGTAGACAATCCCCCTTAAATTTGCCACAAGAAGCATAGTTCCAAAATGACTTCGCTGCTGAATAAATGTCACAGATACAAAGTCTGAATAATATCTAAGCACAATTTATCTAAGTTCTTTTTGCCCTGATAAATAAAGAGTACTTATTCCTCTCTTTTTACTGTGGAAAATATAATTTATTACGATTTCTCTCTTTATATTAATCTGACAGACCATTTCCTTCTGCCCTATTGGCCATTATGTGGGAAGCAGTAATTCAGAGGGGAATTCCTGGCAATCCCCCTAATCCATGCAGGATTTTTCAACAAGAACAAAGTTTGGAGGGGGGATGACACATGTACGCTAGCTTTGAAGATTACTCTCTGAATATCATACTGAAAGGTTGAAAGAGATAATATCCTAGTGAGAGTACTGCCTGTTCTATTGGATGATCCACCATTACGGAAGAGAGAACTGAAGGTCTGGAAAAATATTTTTAAATTTACAGTTCTCCATGTGTCTTGGTCTTTTATCCCTAGTGTCATGTTGGTACCTTCCACAGAAGTTTACAATACAGGGATGACAACCAACATTATGGGGGCAGGCAGTAGTAGAAAAAATGTCACCAGCAGACTTTTGATATCATAAGCAAAAACTCACAAATCGCAGTTAAACAGGGAAACATAGATGATAATTATTTCTGATGCAACAGAATATCAATATAAGCATTAGCAAAATTTACAATGTCCATAAAATTCAGAGAAAATGAAATATATATCATTACTTTAAGCAGTTCTAATATCGGGAGCTGCTTTTCAAGTGTAGTTCCACGCGTCAAGCTAGGTTGTTGAGATGATTCCAGATCATCAATATCATCATCAGTTACATCGTACATAGTCAGTATCCTGCCAAAAGGAAGAATCCCTAATTTAGTTCAAATACATATCTTGAAAGAAAAAGATAAGAATTCCAAAACATGGTATGTTTAAAATTATAATTAAATGCATGCATAAACAAGCAAAAGAAAAATGATTGGATCTTGATACATTCATACACCCAGTTGCATCCCGTGAAGCATTAGGCAAAGAGCCTGTAAAATCACACTCAGCGCTTCGTATCACCAGTTGAATCAATACAAGGCGCAGTAACATATCAGCAAAAGCAAATGAAACTCACATCTTAAAGTGTTGGAGACAAGCAACAACCAACTGCCATTTCTCACAGGGGTCAGCATATGCGCGTTGAGGAAACAGCCCAAAAACATGATCGCATATAAACCTAAATATCCATAAAAATCTGGAAAATCATCACATCAGAAAGAACAATCAGATTAGAAACTGTTAATCAGTCAATAAAGAAAACAAATAAATTACCAAAGTGAGGAATTTTACCGTTGCCCTCGGTCACCTATGTCCTTTTCTTTTGCAATAAGGGAATTCAACAAGTTAAGGAAAGATATAGTAGATGGATATTTCTCCTGCCTCGCTTCAACTTCATTTAGTTCAAACCGCATATCATAGACCTGGCAAAGTCAAAAGCTAAACTATATAACAAATTGATTATGCAACTATATTCACCTTAATCCATGAACCATCTGAAAAAGCAAACACTCTGAAGGAAAGGTGATTAGTTCATAAAGACCAAAGGATTATGACATATGAACTGGAAATTCACAAGCCAGTGCGAACATTTAACAGCAGAACTGCGAAAAAGGTTCGCATACACTTATTTTGTTCATCACGCAGGAGAATGCCCACAGATTTATCAAGATGTTGCACGAAATTTCATACATTTAGAGAAGGTTGGTCGTAAATCCACCAAGTGCCCTGAGATTTAACATTAATGATAGACGATAAAAAGACAACTAAAAATGCATTTTTCCTCAGCTCCTTCCTCAGTCATGGGCTTCAGAAACCCAAGATGGATTAAAGACAAATAAACAAAATCCAACATTGAAGGTACAACCAGATTTTGACTTTCTGTAATTTTCAGAAATTTTTTATAACTGCTAAGATGTGAAGTAATTTGCAGAATCTACAAAAAGATTTTATTGTTTTCGATCAATTTAACATGAAAAATCATCTTCACACGTCGTCGGTTGCCCCTTTACAGGCAAAGTCACAGGGCTCATTTGAACGACAATAAACCCTAAAAGACCCAAGTGCACAATAAACAGGGCGACAGATGGAGGCAGCCTGATGACCACAGATCGCAGAAGGGCACATCATTCTTTTTCTTATTTTTTTTCACATAATTATTAATTTGCATGGCGCGCATTGCACCCACTATAAACTGAGGCCCATGGTTCAACATTTTTCTTAATTTTTTATTTTTTCCTGAATCATTTTATAATCATATCACAATGGGGTTTTCAGATGTATACACCTGCTCCCAATATTGATGAATTCAGCTCATTCACCGATAGTTACGAAACTATACCAAGGTAACATGGCATGACGCCCTGACCATTTTTTTCATTATAGAAATATCAACTCAACCCCAATTGCTGCTTGTATTTCCATATGATGAACAGGTGACAATTGTAGGGTTTGTTTTAACACAAACAACACCCACCGTTTGGCTCTACTCCTAGGAAGTTCATTGCTAATTCTATCAGTTTTACCCTCTTACAACTCGGAAAAATATAGTCTCCCATCAGTAGCTACTGGGAAACATGCATTTCCAATGCCTATTGTTGATACTCGTTGAGAAAACATATGCTATACGTATGCTTTATTAAGACAATACAGGAAATCAGAAAGTGTGAAAAAACAGAAAAAGTACTTCTGGGAAGCAAAAAAGAATAAACCAACTGTGTGACAAGTCTTCTTTTTGGTGCTAAACGAAAACAGTACAACCCGCAGAAAAGCGAAGCTAGAAGTGTGAGAAAGAAATACCCGCAGAGACATCTGTTGTGTACTGCTTCCAGTAGGTGGGCCGACCACCACTGGTAGATCATATTGCTCAAGGTACCCCCAAATCGTATCCTTTAACATAGGAGATAGATGAACGAAAGAAACTATGGCATTCCTCAACGCTCCCTAAAACAAGATCAAATTAATACAAAGCCCATTCATTAAAAGAAAAGGATTAATAATAATGTAATAACTTACCTTCAAATAGGGAGGCACATTTTCGAAGCCAAGAAGCTTAAACAGAGGTTCGATGTCTGGAAACCAATTTTTTCTTTCAAGTGGATTTCCATGTTCAACAACCTGCAATATATATTACACTTTGATGTGAGCTCTCTAAAGAAACTCATTCCTGTATTAAGCATACATAAATTTATTCAATGATACAATTTGAAAAGCCACTGTTGAAGAGAAAACAACATGAAGATGATGAAAAATAATGCTAAATAACTTCTTGTTCACAGGACAGGATTCATTTCTTGCCGACTCGTGACCAAAAAAAAACATAGAAATCACATCTTATTTCTAGGCTCTGATCCATGAATAATCGCATTGAACCTGAGGACAACTTCAAAAGGCTTTTAGAGCAACATATAACCTTTATGTACACAAAACCCTTAACAATGAGGCAACATCAACCAATCAGTTATTACCACTTGTACAGATCGTACAAACACCAAGCTGCGGGTTCAAAACCAAAGCTGTCTCGTAATATCAGGAAACAGAAATGTTGAAGTATCCAAGTATGAGAGAAAGGAACGATTGAAATCTTCCCTCTTTGATTATTATGACAAATTTGCTGATATGATCAACTGAAACATAAACTCAGGTTGAAAAAATGGGAAAATAAGTAGCGCTTTAGCATTACTTATTGAATAAAAACACATTGGTAATTAGGTAAAATAGATATCATGCAAGTTCAAACCTTTTGAAGAACATCCAGATACGCCACTAGCGCTTTTGCATCCCCTTCCTGAAATTCAGGAAGCATTGCTCCACTACTTTGAATAGACTGTTTAAACTTTTCCTCGTAGATTGATAAACAATCAAAGAGGGTTTTCCAACCAATGGAGCGAAATGTTTTACCCCCAAGTAACTCATACACTTTTGAAGCACCCTCTTCACTAGAAGCCTGAAAACATAAAACTGATCAAAACACAACCAAAACAATAAGATAAATAATTAATCTACAAAATATTACACACCAAAACACTAAGCATTCTCAAAAAGGCAACAAGAGTCTGAATATTTGTATGATCCTCTCCAGCAAATATTACAAATGTCCATAAATCTTCATTCCCACATGCAAGCTCAGGTTCCTTCTGAAAAAAATCAATTAAAGATGTATCCATTAGCATGCATTAAAAGAAAAAGAACAATAAAGAAAATATGACTGTAGAGAGAAAATCCTGGAAATGAAAGATAGATAAATGGTACTATCTCCTAACAGTGTGGCAACATTTCGATTCCCAAACTTTTTAGAGTAACATGGTCTTAAATACTGCCAAATGATAATACTGTAATGAAGCTCACAAGCAGGCGTCATAGTTTTAGAAGTGGGGTTCAACTGGAGTAACTGACGTGGCCATCCTATGGACAGGTTTTAAGGTAGTTCAAACACACAAAGAAGCAATAGTATCTCACCCCAAACCTTAAACCCACAAAAATAAGCAACAATTATAAATTTCACAACCCCACAAACTTGGAGGAACCTTTTTATCCAGTGGACAAAATATTCTCAAAGCTCTAAATGCACTACTTCCCAACTATCAAACCTGCAATTTGATTTGGCCGCTATTGACAACAAGAAGTCCCATGAAACAGCCTACTTAGTGCAGATTTGACCAACTTGAAATAAGAAAGATCCCACACGATGCCTTCATCACAATGAACTTCTTTCAAGGTTGGAGCATCTCCTACACGTAACCTACTAAAATTGGCATGCCCTTCATCATTCCGGGGTGAAAAGAGATCACAATCACACAAGATTAAAAAGGAATGTCAATTTTTTTTTTGGTGAAGGAGGATGTCAAGCTGGATGGTGTAGAACGGTTTGGAGGAATAAGCTTCCCTCAAAAGCAAAACTTTTGTATTTGGAATCTGATTCACAAGAGGCTGCCTACATATGTCCATGCCTTCAAGCCTCATATCCATAAAATGTGTACCTGGTGGATAACAAGGGATAACCGTTGACAATGTATGTCATGCGAAAGAGTATCTATAATATGGTTCATTCTCAAGAAAGGAATTAATATGCTACAAAATTGGCAATCCTAATCTCTTATGTACCGGATCTCTACTAGTGGATAACTGTTCAACATAGGCCATACGCAAGGAGAGAAATATCAGAAAACAGTAAAAAAATTTCAGAGAGACGAAAGACACGATCCACGTGGATATTTTGTTTAATTCAAACTGGCCATGGACAATGACTATGGGATATGATCTTCAAGTGGTCTACTAGACGTGCTCAAGGATAGGAAAACCTATAGTTCAAGTTGACTTCTTAAATATCACATTGACAATGACGAAAATTTTTAGGTTTGCCTCGTGCCCAGTATTTTGTATCTTGTAGTAAAAAGCAAGTAAGTTCACAGTGGACTACATGGATAACATATGGAGATTTGACCCACAAGCCTTACTAAAATCATACAGCAAAGGATTATTACAGCAATTTTTTCCAAACTTCACTTACGGTCGTACAGAATTGCTTAATTCAAAATATTAGTCCTAGAAGCTGACATATGCAGATACCTGGATAAATAAACAATGCACCAGACAAAACATCATGGCCTCCAATATAAAATGCGGGATAAGACGATGTCATTCCAAGCTAACAATCTTGAAGTCTCAATAAAAATAAAAAAATTACATTTGATTGAAGCTGGCATAAACCCACAAAGAAATACAGCCTCAGAGGGTATACTAATAAAGTACCCAAATATACAACTAAATGGGCATAAAAAATGAATTATAAACAAATAAATTGTAAACAATGAAAGGAAAAGCTGCAACAACAAATTGACCTTGTAGATTTCAGAAACTAATTCCAAAAGAGAAATAAATGGCTGATAATTCTTGTGACTCGGCTCCAGTGAACCAGCACCACTGTCATCCTTTCCATCAGCTTCACCAGCCACAAGGTACGGACTCAACGAGCTCATAGCTTTTTCCTTCATTTCTTTCACCTGTTATGATTGAGCAATTTTTTTCTTTTGAAAAGGATCGAAAGTAAATCGCATGACCTCCTCACCCAACCAATAAACTTTAAGTACAATTGATGTAAAGAAAAGAAATGCCAGTTAGTGGGACAAGTAAAAGAAATCATATCATTCAAGAAGATGTCTGAGGCGAATATCTAAATCAGAAGCCATGGAAAAGACAACAAAACCACCCCCAACTAAAGAGACGAAGATAGATTAACTTTTAAGTACATTCAGTGCATTCTCTTCAACAAGAGTGACAGACATCAATTGCCAAATTGAATGGTACTTTTTGAACAATTGTTAGATTATACATAGCCAGTTGGCTACCAGTGCAGTTCACTGGATAGGGATATATTAGTAAAGCAATCTAACATATAATAGCAAGAAAAAATAAGTAATACAAAGACAAAGTTTATCCCATTTAGAATATGGTGAACAAATATGCATCAATTCGTACATCCGGGGAGAATAAATTCTAATCGGCTTTTAAGTTTCTGATTCAAATATATAGGATAAAGCCAAGGTGCACATTAAATTTTTTGAGGAGGGTTTACCATTCCTAAGGCATTTCTCCATGGATTCATACTGTCATTGTTCTATCAGATTTTGAGTTGCGATATGATCCAACTACGTTGTTACAATACCTGTGTCCCAATACAATAACGATGCATGCAAAAACTACCCCAAAACTCTGTCAAACGAAGTAGTACAAAACTATGCATTTACGTGCATGTGTACGTAAAATAGGATATAAAAAAAATATAATAAAAGAGAAAAAGGAAAGGAACTGAACAAAGGTACCATACATAAAAAGCGGACTAGTCTTTGATAAAACTCCGGAAAGAATCAGAAGGGCATTGATTCCGCATGAGAGGGTCACCAATACAGTTTTACAACTACAATCCCTTCAAGAGTAACATCTGCAACAATGATAAGTCTTTGCTCTATCCAAATTTTCTTTGATCTCCTCTTGAAAAAAAAAGTGCACATATAGATTCGATACACCAAAAACAATTTTCTAATTTCTTCTTGGATTAATACAATAGTACTGAAAAGAAAACAGTGTGGCACAGTACCATTACATCATTAATATATTACATGTCAAGGGTTCACAATCATAAGGTAGTTGCCACATCATGAAATTATATTTATATTTATCTGAATAAACTTGAGGTAAGTATGATAACAAATCAAAAGATACGTAAAGTCATGATAAGAATTTGAAATGAAAAACTTGATTCTGTAATGAAAAACTAACCTTATCTCTAGCCAGTGGATGAGAAAGGAAGCACATCATTAATTTGTGCAAATATGCATTGTACATGTAAACCATGTCCTCATCATCATTCTGTTAGAAAAAGATGCAAAGATCGTATTTTAAGCAACTATCAAGGAAAATAGTAAAGCATATAAGATCACAGTGATAAGAAATATTTCAAATGCATTCGGAATCTATTCTCCCAAATATGCACTGATCTTCCACTGGAAATTTATGTGTATTGGAAGTGCAAAACTTTTGCTTCTTGGGGATACCATGGCACAAACACAATAAAGACATGAACAACAGATGACAGTGCTATAACGTTTCTCATGGAAATTGTAAACTACACTAGCAGAAAACTACTAGGAAAAATAAATCAATGAAAAATATAATGTAAAAACAGTTCTAGATAAACTTCAAAAAGTTCTAAAACCGTCATATAGTAAACACCATAAAATACCAAAGATAAAACCGATTGTAGAAAGTGCAAAAATAAAAATCCAACTCCATTCCATCATCCATCAATATTTCAACCGTCTTAGATAAAACTTCTGACCTGATATGCCGCTGACTGCAGAACATTAACCAGCAAGAACTGGAAAACGTTATTCGAACAAATAAGTTCCAGACATGCAAAGATGTTTGCCAGGTTCTGAGACGAAGATCTTGATATGGCATCAGTAGAAGAATTTCTGTCTTGAGTGAGCATCAAATGTGCGATCCATGCAAGTCTTACACCATCACAGAATCCAAGAATAGTGGAACTACCATTGGCCACAACCTAAAAATAAAGATTGAAATGAAAAAAACAATCAACCTTTTGAGCTTATCAGCGCAAAAGCTTGCTGAGCATAACTAAAGAATGGATCATGAGCTTACAAGTTCTTGAAATTCACGTCTGAAAGCTGTGTCGTCAGACAAGACTGAGGCTTTATCAGGAGCACTACTTAGGGCGTCTGACATGAAAGCAATTACAAGAGAAAAAAGAAGGCTGAAAGTAATCTGCATTCGATTTACAGTGTGGATAGGTTCAGAAATAGTAGATGTATTCCAACATATTTTTACTTTCAATCAGGATCATAATAGTTGGATTTGATTAAGAGAAAAAAACGGTCATAGTGTATTGTTTAGTCATATTAAGGGAATGAACATAACCTGAAGTTTTAGAATGGGATCACTATCATCAACATCAACAGCAAAATCTTTCAGAACAGAAAAGATATCTTTCGCATCCTTTGAGCCTGAAATAAAGAAAAATGAGGTAAAAAAACTGTTTGGGGAATGTAACTCAACAGCTGCGGAAAAAACAGAATGATGCATTCACGAACAAGGGTGAAACATCCAAAAATATTTTTCTGAAGTGAAATAAGTCAGCTTTTTTTCTCAACAGCATTCTGAGATGATGCTGCAAAGTCAAATAAACTCCAAAAAAACCCTCTCTCAGAACAAGCTCAATAATGAATATCATTTATGAGAAATTTATGAAAACATAGATGCAATACCAGTGTAACAAGAAATGATATTTTATCACAAGAACAAAGATCCCAAAACAATTAATGAAGCACACTCAGCTGGCAAACTTCTCGCTCAGTGAGCATTCAATCAATTGTAACCATCAAACGCATGCTTGTCAAACTGATATATGTCATAGTATCTATGAACAGAAGATTTGTGGGAGGAAAAAAGAAATCAACGATTCGGTGTTCATGAATTTCAAAAATAATAACTCAGAAATTCTAAAATTTTCATCATTTTTACTTAATTTATTGTCCTATTTTTCGTGAATTTTTTCGATGTTTTATCCCAAATTTGAACATAGAATCTTCTCCAAATTTACTGTGTTAACAACAATCTGGGCATTTAACATCATACAACGTTTTTTTTTTTGTCATTTCACGGAAACTGACTTCATGACGCCTTAGATTCAATATTTACAAGATGTTAGGTAAACTACACTAAAGAGGTACACATCGAAAGCAGGTATGGACGAGGAAACTATGACTGATGTTTTCTCTTCAGATGGAACTTATGGAAACCAACTTACTTATCCTTACGATAAGAACAGATAGGACAAGACAGTGACCAAGTGTCAGCCTTTCCCGACTAACCACAGCTCGTCGTTCCACTAATGCACCCCTAGCGTCAAGCACATAACGCTCAGAACTTGGGCCACCAACACCACCAGGTTCTTCCCGATTGAGTTCCTGCAAAAGATGGCAAAAAAACAAAGTTAGCACCCTCGTACTGATCAAGGAACAAAGTAAACGTAAAATCAAGTTAAAATGATGTGCAAACATATCTGGCGCACAAACTCCTATCACAGGTATACGCACAAATACATATTAATCGAAGTGCCATCATGACTACGTTTATGACGATGAGACCATCTACATGACCGAGTTGTTATCTACTATCTCCTATTTCGAGGATTCTGTAGGATTCATGCATAGAGACCGAGAGGAATTATATTCAAGAGCATGACTAGAAACGCTTGTGAATAGATGAAAAGATATTGGCTCTGGCTGGAATGCATTGTCATAATTAGAAACACAATGATGGGATTTCTGGAATCCGAACCTTAATAAGAGTGATAAGATGTTGCCGAAGCCCAGAAGCAAATAAATCTTCCAACATACTTTGAATTTCATTGACGAGATTTGCTTCGAGCCCTTGATCAAGCACGACAGCCTGAATCAAAAGGGAAATGACAAAATAGTAGCCATGAAATTAGAACAATAGAAGATGGAGACAAAAGTCATGGAAGATAAATCTTGTTTTCTTCCTGAAGTATCAGAATATAGTGGTTACCCGCAAAAGGGTGTACAGAGATGTCAACACATCTCTCCTCTCGGTGTACCAAAGACCAGCAGCAAGACGGTAGATCTCCAGGGGTTCTCGCCCAAATAAGACCCACTAGATTAGGAGATGCAGCAGAAACAGTAAACTGCGAGGTACCAACATACCACCAAGGATATAACTATGAGACAACAGAGCAAAACCAAAACAAATTACCTCTTGATTGGCCAAACATAGCAATCTTATGCATTCAATTTCATTGAGATTGAGGTCACCACTCAATTTTATTGCCTGATTATCCAACAATAAAATATTATCAAGCAAGGAAAAACGAATGGTAAGCATAAAGAGCATGAAAACAGCAATGAATCATATTTCACTTGTAAAAGTGACGATTTTTGGGCAGAAAACAAAATCCTAGTCAGTTCAGCAAAGTGAGAGATAAAGGAAGAATGATACGGTAGAAAAAAGTACTAGGTTTCTTTGGTTAATCTGCTCATTCAAGTTCTTCCCCTCACTTTACAAGGAACCCGGAAGAGATACCGAGAAACTTTTAATCTGGATAGTCAGCCAGACGCAAAGGCGTCGGTCCGAGGGAGAATAAATACTTACGATTTGGACATCCAAGTCGTCGAGAGAGATGAGGGAAGAATCCGGGAGCCTGACTTCCTTGGACTTGACTTGAGCCCTGTCCGACGCTGTCGGCCCCTGCAGAGACCAAGTTCGTGATAATTGATGATCTAAGGTGAAGTAATGAAAATGCGGACACTATGTAAGACACAGAAAGAAGGAAAAAGAGTAGGAAAAAAAAAAAAAACTAACCGGGTAAGAAATGAGTGAGCGAAGGGACGGAAGTGACGATCGGATTGCGTGCATCAGCTCCATCCTCAGGCCCGGGGACGGCGGTGTCGGACCGAGCAGCGCCGACTCGATGGTGGTGCGGAGCTGCTTCGGGGAAACCATCTCCTATCCCTTTCCTCTCTTTCCAGCCTCACCACACTCTGGCTGAACTCAAGGCCCCCCCCGGTATGCGCCTCCTCACGTTGCCGGGTGCCGCGAAAGCAGCGACGACCCAGGAAGGCGCCCACCGTAGAGTGGTGGGGCGATGAAGGGCCGAGAGCGGTCTGGAGCGAAGGTTTTGGGGTTTTCAATGGACAAGAGGAGCAAGAGCTATAATAACTTTCTGTGAAGAAACCCTACGACACTCTCGTCTCTCCGCCAAACGGCCGTCTCTCCATCTATTTTCTTTCCAGCTCCGACTTCCCGCCCAGAGTTTTTTGGGGGGGGGGGAGACACAGCACGTGACGGTGCGCCCACCCCACTCCCCGGCTCACGTAATCCCAGCGTCGCTGACCTCTGAACCAATTTGACTCTCGTGAAATCGGCGTCAAAATTCAAGTAGAAACCAACAGCATGTTCGATGAAGATGGGAGTTGACTCTAAGTTCGGGTCAAAAGGCTTTTGGTCCATCGGCAGCGGGTGGAGCTCGAAATGCGGCGAGGTGGACCGCCGGTGGACGGCCGATGCGGGCGGAAGGCCGTTGGTGGTCGCCTCCGAGCCGATTCGCGCACGAGAAAAAGGGCCTCCCCTCGCTTGGAAGAGCAGAAGAAGGAAATAGACTCTCCCCCTCCCTTCTTTCTCTCCCTTCCTCGGTCAGCCTCTCCTCGGAGCCCTTTGCGGTGGAAGCAGCCGGTGGAGGTAGCAGGGCGGCGCCGTTCAGGCGATGGGAAAGAGGGCGCTCTCCGGCAATGCCGGCGGCTCAGCGGACGTGGAGGCCGGCGCGCGAGCGCAGCAGCACCATCCCCACCACCTGCAGGCGGCGCCGCTGGGGCCCCCAGAAACGGCATGGGTGGCCTGGCTTGTGCCGGCGTTCGTGTTGGCCAACTTCGTGGCGTTCGCGTACACCATGTACGTGAATGACTGCCCCGGCTCGTCCCCGGCCGATCGCGGCGGAGAGCGATGTATCCTCCAGGACACCCTCGGCCGCTTCGCCTTCGAGCCTCTCGTCGTCAACCCTCTGTTTGGCCCTACCACCCAGACGTCAGTCTTCTCCCTTTTTCGCCTTCTCATCATTTACGCCGCCTTCATTCTTCTTTTCGGGGAAGAAAACGCCTTCGATGAATTTATTGTGAAGGTCCTTTGCGACGGCTTGTCGCTGCATACCTGGTGACTGATCTCGTTGTTGCTGCGCATCATTCATGGTTCCCTTGCTGTGGCTGTAAAAACGCGAAGAGAATGGAGAGCTTTCCAGAGTGGAGGAGGTACTCCGTCTCTGTCGCGCAGTGTGAGGGTTAAAGGAATCTGTCCTTGTGAAAGGCACTTGGTGATCGAGACCTATAATCCTAAAGAACTGGACATAGGATTCAAGTTTTGTGGATTATTATTCCTTCTACGAGAGGAATTGTGCGTGCGCAGACGTTTTGGGGAAGACGAACAGCGAGGGTATGCTTCCCTCCCTTGCAACACCTAGAGGAATGCTTTTGGCCTGACGAAGAGCGCTCACTTGGATCTTCTAGTCCCGGTGCAAGACACCATTCTTTTAATTCGTAATTCTGAGTTTTCTGCTGAGAAGGATGATACATAAGTGTTTAGTCCCGATATCCAAGTGCCCTTCGCCTGATTGTGTGAGAAATATCTCAGTGCCCGTATTGGCTGAGGAAACGAGTTGCGTCTTAGGAAGCTGCAATTAAAGGAGCATGAGTAGAAAATAATTTCGTGAAGGGGGTTTGAAATTTTTTCCTGTGGGTTAACGATGATGGAGTTCAATGGTATTTCTCCGCATCCTATAAGAAATTCAACAATACTAGGTGACTATCCCATATTTGGGTACCCTTTTTTTCTTTTTCAATGACAGAATCCTCTGCATCCTTCGGATCATCCACACAAAATCCTTCGAATGATGTATTTTTCTTCCTTTTGGCTGTCCTCTTGTCAATATTCAATGAGAACGCTGCATTGACCACGGTCCCCAAAGCCAGCATTATTTAGTAAGTATATTTAACATCCTCTTTTTCCTTCTGTTGCCTGCAGATTGGATTCGCTCGGGGCCCTTGATTACAAGAAAGTTGTTGAAGAAGGAGAGGAATGGAGACTGTTCACTTGTGTCTGGTTGCATGCCGGGGTTGTGCACCTGCTAGCTAATATGCTGAGCTTTTTGTTCATTGGCGTTCGTCTCGAACAAGAGTTTGGATTTGGTAAGAAATCAAGAGTAAATGGTATTCAATCAAAAAGTTATTTTGTGATCGCTTTGTGTGCTCCTCGAGCCTTCACTAACATCGTAATTTTGTAATTGGAGGAACTAGGAATTAATAGTCCATTCTCTCTGAGATGACATGTTATGGCCTTTTTTATTCTCCTATTGTTCATCATCTAGATACCTAAAATCAGAACTAGACTAAGATGCATTTGTTCATTCTGTATTCCTGACGCTTACTGAAAAGGGGTTTCCTCCGATTGAGAGCCTGCTTCAGTCCATGAATCGTCTGCTTTCACATTGTTTAGGGCGTATGCTAAACACGCATGCAGAGTGTTTAGTTTTTTATGGGTTCACCCGTGCAGTGAAAATTGGGATGTTATACGTGATTTCTGGCTTTGGTGGGAGTTTGCTGTCTTCTCTATCCATTCAATCCAAGATATCAGTAGGCGCTTCGGGTGCACTTTTTGGACTACTGGGAGCCATGCTTTCTGAGCTCATCACAAATTGGACCATCTATGCGAATAAGGTCGCACGTCTTTCTCTAACATCTTTTCCATTTATCAAAACACTAGCGGCGAGTGGACTGACAAAGAGCTTTTTCTTCAGTTTGCAGCACTTCTGACTCTGTTAGTCATAATAGCCATCAACTTGGCGGTTGGGATAATTCCCCATGTGGACAGCTCCGCCCATATTGGAGGATTTGTGTCGGGCTTCCTCCTCGGGTTTGTTCTTCTGATCCGCCCTCAGTTTGGGTGGATCAGCCGTAACCACATCCCTGCCGGTTATGACATGGATCTTGTGAAACCAAAGCACAAAGTATATCAGTATCTTTTGTGGATCATAGCCCTCGTTCTTCTAGTCATCGGGTAAGACAGCGGGTGTTTGTTTCCTTAAGGTGTAATTATTTTCTTCTTCTTCTTCTTCTTCTTTCCTTAGGTGAATGCTTTGCTCTCGTACTATGTCTGGGTGCTATTCGTTTTATTAAAGGGCAACGAAGGCTTGCTGTGGGATAATGGATATAATTAGTGCTTCTTTGCATGAGAGTTGTCCCATTTCTCTTTGAAAACATCTCCAACACCCACAAAAGGATTATCTTGGTTTCCTTTTAAATTGTTTCTATTTATAATCGACATACATAAATCGACATCTTGGTTTTTGGAGAAAATAGGACGAGCATAAATGGAAACAGAATTTGGTTTTAATAGAATTTGGGAAAGAATATAGAACATATGCAGTGAATGTATTTAGGTTGGTGGGTGGGACTTACCAGGTGTGTGCATGTTGAAATCCTTTGCTTTTGGGGGATAAAACACTTTATTTAAAATTTCAATCAAAGTTCAATATTTTTTATAGGCAGAGGGTTGTGGCCTACCGTGTCAAGGTATTGCAGAAAACTGCTATAACACTTGTGAGGTTCTTGCATAATGGGTAATCATATCGCTGCTTGGTTCTATGAATTCGCAGATTTATCGGGTGCTTGGCGAAGCTCTTCTTCAAAGGAGTCGCCGAATCCCCTTAAGCAAGTGGGTCACGCCAAATGGGTATGGGTTTCTCCCACGCGGTTGAATGGCGAGCCATCGTCCGCCCTCATCTTTGTCTGCCCCAACGCCGGCTTGGCATTTTTGCAGGAGGTTCTGCCGCCCCCATCTCGGGGTCATTTTGACGACGACAGCGTCCCTGACTCGCCTTCCGACGCATGGCATCATAGCTAGGTTTGAACCCGTCTTGATAGGTTGAGCACCTCCATGTCCAGCCCTTCTGCATGGTCAAGCTCCTCATTGTAAATGGACTCTGCAAATTCGTAGTGGCCACATATTCTGTCCGTCTCTGTCATTGTCTGTCTGTCTGTCTCTCTCTCTCTCTCTCTCTCTCTCTCTCTCTCTCTCTCTCTCTCTCTCTCGCTCACTCTCGGCAGGGTATTGTCAAAAATTTAGTGCAAGAGAAGCCCGGGTAGCGTTACACTCGAATTCATGGGGGCTTCATTTTCTTGAAGCAAGGGACGGAAGTCTCGATGGGCCGGCCGTCTGCTTCACTCTCCCTCTCTCTCTCTCTCTCTCTCCCTGAAGGCTGTTGTCAAAAAAAGAGCCCAGGAGAAGGCCGCCGGGAAGCCTGTAGTGGACAGGTGAGGGGTGGTGGGCCTCGTCTGAGACTCGCCCGTACGGGTTACTCTCGAATTCATGGGGGCTTCAATTTTCTTGAAGCAGTGGACGGAGGTCTCGGCGGGCCGACCGTCGTCTTGACTCCAGCTTCAGGCATGATAGTCAAACGCATTTATGGTGCAGCGGTTGTCAGTTGGATTGAATAATCCAATTGGCGGCGCCAGTTGAATGATATTGGTTGACTGGGGCCCGCCTGGCATGAACGCGTGTCCTCTCCTCGTTCACTGCTGCCGTGCCCTACGCAACCAGTGCAAATCCCTTTCTCACTGCCGAAAGAGACATGTCTCCATCGCCGACGTCATCGTCACGATACCTTGAACTGCCGGCGGCCGGTCGCCCCGGACAAACAGGGGCTGAAGCTGCTCATCTTCAGACGAGTACTAGTGTCTCTAGAGAGCGCGAGAGAGAGAGAGAGAGAGAGAGAGAGAGACTATTACCATCACTAACGCGGGCTAGTGCCCATCGCTGGTTGAGTGGAGAGAGGGAAAGCGGAGTGGGGAGGGCGATCGAAGTGGTGGATTGCGCCATGCCGTCTCTGTGGCCGTCGGCCCTCGCCTTAGCTTCTGCCCTCTTGCTGGCTGCTCAAGCTCAACCCCATCCCAGCTCTCCTCCGGTTATATCCTTCACATCCTTCCCGTCCAATAGCTGCGACACCGGCGGCTTGCTCAACTGCATGCAAGACAGCAGCGTGCGCGACGGCTGCATCGCCATGGTCCGCGAGGACGGGAGCAACGGCGACACGTTGCTGCTGATAAACAACATGGGCCGGGTGCTGTACGGGAGTCCCGTCATAACGTGGCCGGCGAGCTTCGACACCAACTTCACCGTCCTCTTCCGCAGACGTGCCAAATCTTTCGGGTACGGCGAGGGGATGGCGTTCGTGATGACTGCAGACATGCGCCAGAGCCCTTCGGGAAGTTCCGGCGGTTTCCTGGGCCTGTTTAACCACTCCACCTCAGGTTAGCCAGTCACTCCTCCATCTGCTCTCCATGTGGGTGAAAGATTGAGACTCCCTTTCCTAGGCCTGCCGCGAGGCTCGACACATTCGTTTGCTTGAACGATTCCGTTGACAAAACCAAGATCAAATACGTATTTCTTCAATGATTCAGAAATGAGCTGTGGGATCTGAAAATATTAGATTAGTTTTCGGGAAGATGATGATAATCAGGCATTAAAGAAAAAGGCGATAATTGATAACTGTGGACAGGCCAGCGTCCAGCATTAAAACCTGCAGCGACCTATCGTCATTACCACCGTGCTCACCGAAGGGAGTTGACCGTCAACTGATTATGAGTTCCCCCTCCCGCCCGAAGATTCTCCAACTAATTACTCCAAGGATTATGTGGGTAAGGTGGGTACGGTGGATATAGAGAGGCCATGAAGAAAAATAGAAAAGAAAGATGAGAAGAGAATGGAAAATGAATCGTGTGATTTCAGTCACCATTCATTAAAATTAGTCTCCTATATATAGGAGATGGAATGTTAGAAATAGAAAAGACAAGAAAGGCAGTTACAACAGAAATCTATTGTCATGGTGTAAACTGGGTTGAAAGAACTAGACCAAGTTGACTCAGTCACGTTGACTCGGTCAGGTTCGGAAGAGGTTCGACGTGAAGCTTGGAACGAAGATGCAGGAATCTATGTTTCAACAGAGGCTTGGTGAGGAGATCAGTCGTTTGATCATGGCTGGAGATGAAACCTACCAGGAGTTGTTTGGCAGCCACTAATTTTCATATGAAGTGGAAATCCACTTCAACATGCTTCATGCGAGCGTGGAATATTAGGTTTGCAGATAGGTATGTAGCTCTAATATTGTCACACCACAGTATGGGTGGAGGAGTAACAATATGAAGTTCCTGAAGAAGAGATTCGCTCGATTTCACCTCTGTTGTGGCATCGACAAGAGCTTTATACTCTGCCTTAGTGTTGGACCATGAAACTCGCTGCTGCTTTTTAGATCTCTAGGAGATCAGATTTTGTCCAAGATATATGAGATACCTCTCAGTAGATCGACGATCAATGGATGATCTAGCCCAATCAACAACATTGACGGTAGTAAGAGACAAATCAAGTCAATTGAAAAGAAGTAGACCATGGCTGACTGTGCCTTTGAGATACTGTAGTAGATGGTTGAGCGAGGTCCAATCCTTGGATTGTGGGTTGTGCACAGATTGACACGTCCAACTTACAGGAAAGGAGATGTTTGGATGTGTAATGTTGAGGTATTGCAAGGCACCCACAATACATCAATAGATTGGGATAGTACCCAAAAAGTGATGAGCAACTGTGTGAGCAAGTGATGAGCAAAATATACCCATCACGGTGTGGTATAAATTCAACACCGAGAAAGTGATGAGCAACTCTAAGATCCTTGATTGTGAATTGGGACCATAGTGACTTGACAAGTCGATTAATTAAGTGGGGTTGTGGACTGAGGACGAGTATATCGTCGACGTAGATGAGTATGTACAGAGGAGGTGTGAGCTGGAAGCACAAGGACGTATCTATTTTGGAGTCACTGAATTCAAGATGAAGTAGATACTGTGTGAGTTTGTGAAATCACTCACGAGGAGCTTGTTTGAGACCATATAAGGATTTTTGAAGAAGGCATACATGACTGGGATAGTACGGATCCTCAAAGCCTTTAGGTTGTTCCATGTAGAACAATTCATGAAGATCACCATGTAGGAACGTATTAGAGACATCTAGTTGATGGATGCTCCAATGTTGGCTGACAACAATAGAGAGGTGAAGCCGAATGGTTGTCACCTTAATGATGGGACTGAATGTCTCATGAAAGTCAATACCTTCCTATTAATGAAAACCTTTAGCAATTAATCGAGCTTTGTATTGGTCAATTTTCCCATCAAGTGTGTGCTTCACTCAATAGATCCACTTGTAGCCGATAATTGGTCAAGTAGTGGGTCAAGGAACTAATCTCCATGTGTGATTATGGAGGATCTGATGATGGCAATTTGGAAGATAAGGTTGAATTAGGAGAAATGGGTTATAACAAGGAAGTGGTAGATGAAAGTGGAGGTGAGTGTGGAATAGGGGAAGACATAGGGTTATTGTTGAGTGAGAGGGGTGCTTTTGGCAAAGACATGTCAGTGGAGGCAACAATGGGAATGGATGTAGTGGATAATTCTATTTCAGACGGATGTTTTTCCAACACACCATGAGTTTCTTGAGAAGGTATGAAAGAGTTAGTTCTAATTTCTTTATAAGGAAAGATTGTCTCATTGAACACAACATCTCAAGAAATGTGAATCCTGCCTGAAAGAAGTGAGAGGCACCTATAGCCATGATGGAATGCACTATAACCCAGAAAAACACACCTTTCAAACCTCGTGTCCAGTTTAGTAGATGCATATGGTCGCAAACAAGGATAAGTCAGACAACCAAAGGTTTTCAGAAATTGATAGTTTGAGAATCTGTGATGTATCATCTGAAATGGGGTCTTGTAGTGCAATAAAGGTGTAAGAATTCGATTGATAAAGATTGATGCTGTAGATACCGCTTCATCTCAAAACTTATGAGGCATAGAGGCATGTTTGAGCAGAGAGAGGACTATTTCGACCAAATGTCGATGTTTTCTCTCAACTGTTCTATTTTGATCAGGAGTATGGGGACATGAAGCGCGATGAGTAATGCCTTGACTAGTGAGATATTTATGCAATGACTGATACTCACCTCCCTAATCAGACTAGAAGTACTTGATGTTCAGATCAAGTTGTCGTTCCACTGTCTTTGAAGTTGATGAAAGTCTGCAATAGATCACTTTTGCTTTTGAGAGGATAAAGCCATGTGTACATAGAGCAGTCGTCCACAAATATCACATAGTAGCGGTAGCCGAGATGAGACATGGCTGGTGAAGATCCCCACATGTCTGAGTGAATCAACTCCAGAGGATGTTTAGAATGGTGTACCAAATTTGCATAGGGGAGCCTGTGTGTTTTGGATGACATACAAGCATTACAAGTGTATGTTTTATTGAAATCAACAGTAGGAATTCCATATGTGGCTATTACATGATGAAGTGTCTTGAAATTGGGATGTCCAAGTCTCTCATGCCATGTCTTCAATGTGACCTTCTACCCAAGGAAAGTTTTGAGATTATTTGATTTTTGAAGTTGGTAGAGCCCATCTCTAATAGTTCCCCGAAGTAGTGGTCTCCCTATTGTTTCGTCCTTCACAAGATAGTATGTGACAGGAAAATTAACAAATATGTCGTTATCATTAGTCAATCTATGGACTGATAGAAGATTTTTTGTGATTGTAGAGACATGTAGTACATTCAACAATCTCAACAGTATCTTTGAATATAGAACATAGGATCTGGTTGAGTGAATGGACAAACCTGAACTGTTCTCAATTTGAAGTTGATCATTTCCATGATAGACTATAGGATCAATCAGAGTTTGCTGATCATGTGTGACATGGTGCATGGCACCACTATCTGGGTACCATGAGGTATCTTGAGTAGGTTCTGATTGAGTCATAACAGATTGAGTCGATAGATTGTAGGCTTGAGGCTGTATTGTACCACTTGAAGAGGGATTAGACTAGTTGCAATAATAGCCTTTATTGTACCTTTCTATGCAGTCTTGAGCTCGATGCCCAAATTGTCCACAGATTTAATATCGAGGTGAGTATCTTTCTCCATTCCTCCCTCATTCTCTTTTTGATCTGTTTCCAGACCTACATCTGTGTCTTTCGACGACATTCGACTGAACTTGATTTGCTGCTGGTGGAAATTCAATGTGATTGAAGTCTTTGGAGATAGTAAAAAGATTAGTCAACTCTTCATGGGAGTTGATTTGTGCAACGACATCTTCAAAGTAAAGATTTGCAGATGTGATGAAACTCTTGCATTAAATGTAGCATAGTAAGGTCCAAGACCTCGGAGCAGATCATATATCGGGACTGTCTCTTGTACTGGATGACTTGCCACTGCCAATTCATCACAGTTATGCTGAATCTCTTGAACATAATCTAAGATTGACCGTATACCTTTGGTTGTATTGTGAAGCCAATTGTGAAGATGCATAATTCGTGAGAGAGCTGTGGAGGAGAAATGCTTGCTTAATACTTCCCAAGCTTCCTTGGCTGTGCTTTTCCCTAAAACGCACAGTAACACTGTCTCAAAAAGAGACAAAACAATCAACGAGAGGACCTGTTGATCCTAACACCACCAGATTTGATATGCAGGATTCACGATAAGAGTTCCATTAGCTCTTGGTTGCGTGGAACTCAATGGATCTTGGTGAAGAATGTGTGCCAGATCGTAGTAGTTCAAGAGAGGAAACAACTGCATTTTCCAGAAAAGAAAGTGCACACCTATGAGAGTTGCAGTACTCGGAGTAGTGACTGCGATCAGCTGATTGCTTCCTCTATTCTCCTCTAGTAGGTCGGCGGTCGCCATGGATTAGGAAGTGCGGTTAAGCTTTGGTTCTGAGACCATGAAGAGAAATAGAAAAGAAGGATGAGAGAGAAAGATAAGAAGAGAATGAAGAGCGAATCGTGTGATTCTAGAAATCAGAGTCACCGTTCATTACAATTGGTGTCCTTTATATAGGAGATGAAATGTTGGAAATAGAAAAGACAAGAAAGATAGTTACAACAGAAATCTGTTGTCACGGTGTGAATTGGGTTGAGAGAACCAGACCGATTTGACTCAGTCACGTTGACTCGATCAGGTTCGGAAGAGGTGACTGAGTGCGGTCTTCAACAGGCCATTCATTTGTATGATTTTTCGTTCTCGATGTTGTTCCTCTGGGAATCAAACTTGGCCTTGTCAATCGGGGCTCCTCCTGGGGATGGATCCTTACCAGGGAAGCTTTCTGTTATGCATGTAGATATATCTGTAGCTTTATATATCTATAAATCTTCCATTTTTAAGGGCACAAGGAAATGGGGAAGGCGCGAAGTGCATCAACCGTTGATCTGAACGGCTGAAGATCTTTATTGATGCATGCATGGACCTGTGAATCTCAGACTGGGGGACTTGCCTGCTGCGTTTCAGGTAGCACCACTGGGCAGCTGGCGGTGGAGATCGACTTGTGGTCGAATGAGGTCGACCCTGAGAACGAACACGTTGGCGTGGACACCACCGCTATCTACTCCGACGCCACCGCCCCACTGTCTGCTGCCAACGTCAGCCTGTCGGAGGAGAAGCCGATGACCTTCAGGGTCAACTACGACGGATGGACGAAGAACCTCCAGGTCTCGGCGGGATACGCCTATGAGGGGCCCCTGAAGAACATCCTCAACTACAGCATCGTTATCGCGAAGATCGCCCCTGTGTACGTGGGTTTCGCCGCTGCCTCCGGGCCCGCCACACTCAACAGCGCAAGCCTTCGGGTTCTCAGCTGGAACTTCTCGTCCACCACTTTGCCGCCGGAGTCCCTCGACAACGGCAGCAGCAAGGGGAACAAGAATATAAGAACCATTCTCACCATCGTCCTCTCGACAGTGATCGGGGTTCCACTGGTGGGGATGCTGTTGCTGCTTGGGATGAGGGAGGCTAGGGAGTGGAAGAGATGGAGAGCTCTGGAGGGCCTGTCGAAGAATGCTATGGGTGCACCCAAGATGTTTACATATGCTAAGCTCTCCAGAGCCACTAGGCGTTTTAGCAGCGCCAACTTACTTGGCAAGGGAGGCTTCGGCAGCGTCTACAAGGGCCACCTCTCCAATCCTCCTTCAATGGTTGCTGTCAAAAAGATCTCCGCCAACTCCAAGCAAGGTTTGACCAACTTCTCCGTCTCTTCCCCGCTCTGTCTTTCTCTCTCTCTCTCTCTCTCTCCCTCCCTCCCTTCCTCCCTCCCCCCCCCCCCTGCCCGCCCCTCTTCCCTCTCTCTCTCTCTCGCTTGCTGGCTGGCTGGTTCGCTGGTTCTCTTGCTCTCCCGCTTGCTCACTCTCTCCAAGTAATTATTCGGCAAGCTGGTGTCGGGAGCTTTTTGTTAACTCATTTGCTTATGTATTAGGTTCTCTTAACCTTTTCGATGACTTCTCTGTCCTTTATCCCCCTTAACTCTTGGTATCGATCAGGCGAAAGGGAGTACTTTGCGGAGATATGCACCATCGGCCGTCTCCGTCACAAGAACATCGTGCAGCTGCAGGGCTGGTGCCACCGCGCCAAGAGCCTCCTCCTCGTCTACGAGTTCATGCCCAACGGAAGCCTCGACCGCCACATCGCCGCTGGAACCCTCGACTGGCCCACTCGCCACCGCATCCTCCTCGGCCTCGCCTCCGCCCTCCTCTACCTCCACGAGGAGTGCGGTGGCACCGTCGTCCACCGCGACGTCAAGCCCAACAACGTCCTTCTCGATGCCGACTTCGAGGCCCACCTCGGCGACTTCGGCTTGGCCCGGCTTGCTCAGGGAACAGGCCGGACTACTTCCACCACGGTCCTCGCCGGCACCATCGGGTATCTCGCCCCTGAATTCGGCTACACCGGCAAGGCCACCCCCGAGTCTGACGTTTTCAGCTACGGCGTCGTGGTGCTGGAAGTGGTGTGCGGGAGAATGTCCTTGCTGGGACTGGACGATAATAACCTGTTGGATCACGTCTGGGACTTCTACACCTCCGGGAAGCTGCTCCAGGCGGTGGATTCGAGACTGGAGAGTCAGTTCGACAAGGAGGAGGTAAGGAGAGCTCTTTTGGTGGGGCTCATGTGCTCCCACCCGAACCCCGCGAGTCGGCCGAGGAGCAGGCAGGTGGTGCAGATCCTCGGGAACCCGAACGAGCCGCTGATGGAGATGCCGGAGAAACGGCCAGACATCATCATACCCTCCTACTCTATGAGGGAGACCGGGTTCGATGGGGTCATGATCATTTCCACGAGCATGACGACACCGATGGGGGCGTCACTCTACAGCTCTAGGTCGAACCTGGACCTTGCTCGCTGAAAAGTGCAATTGGGGATCGAGGATGATGTACAAGCTATTGATCTATAGGTGGCTTTTCAAAGGGAGATTTTTTTTATTAATTTTCAACCTATTTTGAATCGTTGCCAGAGTTTATCGGTTCTCCATTTACTTTTATACATTAAAACTCTAGCTTTGTATAAGATTATTTGTTTCCTCAACAAGTTGACTGATGAACTCTTTAGATTGCCCAGTATTGGTGGAGAAGAGTGTCATCTTGATACCGGCTGTTGTGTTGGTGTTAGTTGGTAGCAAAGGGTCTTTGTTATGGTGTCACCCAAACATCGGCTTTGAAGCCTCCTCAAATTTCTACATAACTTCTTCGCTTGGTGCTTGATAAGTTTTCATTATCATGAGTTAATAATTAGTAAATAATATAATTTTAGCCTTAACTCATGATAAATAGAATTATATTTATATTAAAGTATGAAAAATAGTTTTTAATTAATTAATATGATTTTTTTGGCTAATTATGTGATTTTCTACAAATTTATATAAATTTTATAATCTTATTTTTGAGATAAATAAAAATAAAAATCTAACAAAATGAGGAGGGCCTGCCAGTCAATCGGGCCCACAAGTGGGTTAAAAGTGCAGTCAAGGATGAGTTGAGAGTAGGGGCTTGAGCAGCTAGAACCGATGGGGGCATGTGTGTGCCACTTCCCTTCCACGTCACTAGTAGCCAACTGACTATGAGGCAATCTATGAAAATTAGGGAGCATTTGAAAAAATTCTTGGATTTATTTTGAATTTAACAATGGGTGCTAATGGATCTTTAATATTGGATGCTCTTTGAATTGAATTATAAATATAATGATTTTTCATGATTATAAGATTGTTCTAAATTTGACTTGTACTTCCTTCAAGATCCATCAAAATTAATTTTTCTTTTGAATTTTTTGTTTTGAATGAATAGTGAAAGAATTTTCTAGCCTTAGATGAAAGAGTCTTCTACCATGCATAAAAATTAATAAATTTGAGAAAAAAGTTGAATAATTATTACCCTCCTTTAGTATGCTCCAATTCTTGTCTTGTTTCTCTTTTTTTCTTTTTTTTTTGGCAAGAAGAAAATAAAACAAGAGTTAATTTTTTTTGTGTATTCTAAGAGAAAAATAAAAAAATACTAAATATTATGTAATACATCTCCAACAACGATGTCAAAATTTAATGTGACTTAGTCCTTGTATAGTAAATCACATAAATTTAAAATTTATAAAACTAGAAAATAATAATTTTTAGATACTTAGAAGTATTTCCAAACAACTATATCAATTATAATTCAATAAAATTTCCAAAATAGTGGTAATTTTCCAAGTCGATCACAAGAATGTAATATAATATCAAGTAATTATTTAAAATTTTCTTCAAAGAAAACTATTTTCTATTAGTTTTATATTAGAAAATAAAAATAAAATATATTTAAAATTTACAAAAAAAAGAAAATAAGGGTGCGGACGTCAAGATGACGTTAGTGCTCGGAGAATGCGAATTGGGTAGAAATAGAGTTTTGCATGGTAATTCTTACGTAAGTGATTATAGATAATTTAATTGATTAAATTAAGATCTATAAAAGTTGAAAGAATTATAATTGAATAAAGTATAGCTTGGTAAATTTTAATCACATAAATTATCACTAAATGAAGCAAAAGTTAAGTTGAAAGTAGAAAAATAAAGTTTTGGCGTCGTGATGGCGATTCGTTGGCGATGCACTATAATCTTGAGTGTTCAGGAGGATCATTGTGTAGTGTCCACGTCATGCATCGTGTAGTGTTATTAAAATTATTGAACGATTTGTGATAAAAGGATTGTAAATTCATTGAGTAAATCATCTTTGATTAATTGACGAATAAGCCGTCGTCAGAAAGAGGATGATCCTTTGAGAGATGAGTCACCACCTCTTGAGAGCATATCGGATGCGATGAAGAGCCTCCTTTTATTATGCAGACATGAGAATGAAGCTCTCTAACACGTGCCTCACCTCCATCCAGCTCCTCTCTGTTAGGTGACAACCGTTAGAGAGCTGCAAAGTCATTATTTTTTTGTTCTACCAAGTGACAGTCGTTGAAGATGATGACCTATTTTATTGATTTCTAAACTTTGTAAGGAGATCTAAAGATTACCCACATTGTTCTTGTCCAAAGAGAGTTTTTAAAGTCGTAGACACTACACGACGTTCCTCCTGAACACTTAAGATTTTAGTGTATTGTCGACACATCGCTGTCGTGACGCCATCGTGACGTCGAAACTCTATTTTCATGTTTTCAACTTAATTCTACTTCATTTAGTGATAATTTGTGTGATTTAAATTTACTATATTATATTACATCCTTATGATCGACTTAGAAAATTACTACTATTTTTAAAAGTTTTATTAAATTCTAATTGATATATTTATTCAAAAATATTTATATTTGAAAATTAATATTTTTTAGTTTTATAAATTTTAAATTTACATAATTTACTATACAACAACTAAGTCACGTCAGTACTACATATCATTGATTTTGAAAAGATAGATGGGTAATTAATTGTGAGGCCTCCTTACACTTTTCTAGTGAAAGTTTTGTGACAAATAGTTTCAAAATAGTTTTGTGACAATAACAGATGTGATTATAAAAATACACTTTCTTCGTTAGTGAGGAAAATTCAAACAATACTACATGCATCATAAACTGTTTGGTCTTGCCTTGACTTTTGCAGGTATAAGGTAAGATTGACCCACGGAAAATGATTCAGATTGTTGCTGTGTTCATAGTATTCTTTTTGTTGACTAGGCAAAAGAGTATAGTGTCGTCGCTTTGAAGCGGGACATTGGGACCCAAACTAATAGATGGAGTAAAAGTATCATGACTTACTGATATATGGGAGATCCAAGGGTCAGTTGTATCATACACTTACTGATCAGAAGCTCAACTAATATCAAGCAAAAACAGGCCGATTTTGAAAACCTCGGATAATTTTGATCCTCCTGACCCTTCTAGATCCTCCAGCAGAAAGAGCATGTAAATGCCAGCAAAGCTCGTTTTAGCCAAGATTTCCAGTTGTATGTGACGCTCCAATGTGACTGTGGTCAACACGGGTATTCTCAAATAGAGCCATTCAGCTTTTCTCCCATTTGTTCTCACTATAGTCGGGCGGCGGGTCGGCCTCCGCGCCTAAGCGCCGACGGTGCAAGATGGCGTGCTGTTGCCGGAGGGTTCCTGGACGACGATGGGATGGATAAGTAGGAAAGAGACTGAAGGCTAGGGAGGCGTACTTCTCCCCCAGTTTAACGAAAAATGCTGGCTTCTTGTTGCATTTATTCCCTTACTAAGGACAACAACGCATCGCGAGAATAATGAGGGCCCGGACTGCAGTCAATCAATGCTCCTCAGCCTGAATCCTTCTCCACATTCACGGCAAGTAGTGAAGGGCTTGATCCAGCCCCATCGTAGCTGTCGTGGATTGCCATCTTCGGCAAATTCTCTAGCGAGACTGATTTGGGTGTTTTCCTTCTTCCAAGTGGTTATTTTCTATTTGCAGGATTGATCGGGGCCGTCCATCATCGGGAGTTATAACGGCGAGGATGGTGCCACCTCGAACACTAAGCCAGCTCAGCGAGGAGTTAGTTGCATGCTCTCTCTCTCCTAAGACAATTGGCTCCCCCATATAAGGGGCTATGTGTTCGACGTATTAACATGCAGAACATTCTTTTGATCAATTTCATTGTTTCATTTTCTCCTTCTTGATTCTTTTTTTATTTGGAAGTTCTTGGAGCGGATCTAGCTTTGCAAAGCCAACAAGTGGTATTAGAGCCACTTGACTCTACGAGATCAAGAAGATGGCCAAGAAGACGGGCGAGGCAAGCACCTCTGGCAAGCGTGGGGGAGAGATGGTGGCGCCAGCACCATTCCTCAAGCTCTTGAAGACCAACTACAGAGTGTGGTCGATGTCTATGGAGGTATATTTGGATTCTCATGACCTTTGGTAGGCAATCGTCGGGGAGAATGTCTCAAAGAAGAAAGATCGCTTGGCATTATCGGCAATCATCAGTGCAGTTCCAGAAGATTTGCTGATGGTTCTTGACGCCAAGAAGACAGCGAAAGAAAATTGGGAGATTCTACGGCAATGGAACCTCGACGTGGACTGAGTGATTCAGTCCTATATTCAAGGATTGAAACGAGAATTTGAGATGCTCCATATGGCCAAGACTGACTCAATTGTGGATTTCACGATGAAGTTCACAAAAATCGTCTTCGAATTGTGGAGTTTGGGAGAGGTGATGGAAGAGCGAGAGACTGTGCGGCATTTTCTGAGGGCGACGCCTTCAAAATTCGACGCACTTACCTTGACACTGGAGCAGTATAGTGATCTGGACAAGGTGAACCTTGATGAGGTAATTGACTCTCTTACCATTCATGAGTTGTGGCTCAAGGAACTGGAATCTCGTGAAGAGGAGTAGGCATTATTGGCCAAGGCGATGGGCAAAGCGAAACTGACGAGTGAGGAGGAGTCCTCATCTCGTGGAAGAGGCCGCCATTGCAGCCGTGACAGAGGTAGAGGTAGAGGCAGAGACCGAGGACGGAATCAGCCTCCAAAAGAAGATAAGAAGACTTTTGACAAGTCAACAATTCAGTGTTATAATTGCTAGAAGTTTGGTCACTTTGCATATGAATGCAGAAGTGCTAAGAAAGAGAGGGAAGACCAAGCTTATGTGGCGGACTCAGCCTCAGCAGTGGCAAGCACTTGCTCTGCCCTTGCTGCTACGTCATCTCTTCTGATGGCAATTGAAGATGCACAGAGTGACTTCCTCCTTCAAGGCTCTGAGGGTGATCTCAGCAATCCAGACCTATGGTACCTTGACACTGGGGCCACAAACCACATGACCGGGAGGAGCAGTTTCTTCACGAATCTAGATGAAACAACATTTGGCTTTGTCAAATTTGGGGACAATTCTCGTGTGGAAATCCATGGCAGAGGCAATGTGGTGGTTCCTCGGCAGGATGGAGAGTAAATTTACTTCGGTAATGTTCTCTTTGTTCCTAAATTATGTGCTAATATTCTTAGTCTGAGTAAACTTGATGAAGAAGGATGCAAGATGATCATGCACAGGGGACGCTTAACCATTTATGACTAGGATGGAGCACCCCTAGCAGAAGTCTATCGCATGGAAGAGCGGTTCTATTTACTCAAGCTCAAAGTGGAAGAAGAGTGTCTACTCACTAAAGAGGATGAGAATTTAAGTCGGTTATGGCACTGAAGGTTTGGCCATTTAAATTTTCGTTCATGAAGGGAAATGTCGAGTAGAGCACTAGTGGAGGGACTTCCACTGATCAGGGTACTTGATCACATCTGCCAAAGTTGTCTAGCAGGCAAGCAATCTCGCACTCCATTCCCTAAAGTATCTGCTTACAGAGCTACTGCCCCTCTTGAGTTGGTGTTTATAGACATCTGTGGCCCAATTAGCCCACTCACGTTAGGGGGAAGCTAGTATTTCCTCCTCATTGTTGATGACTACTTGAGGCTAATGTGGGTGGCTATGCTCAAGCATAAATCTGAACCATTTAGTCAATTCAAGAAGTTTAAAATACTGGCTGAAGCTAAGAAGGGGACAAAGCTCGGGTGTCTTTGGTCAGACATAGGTGGAGAATTTAATTCTGATGAATTTAATTCTTTTTGTGCTTCTCAGGGCATTCAACAACATTTGACTGCCCCCTACTCCCTGCAGCAAAATAGAGTTGTGGGAAGAAAGAATCGAACAATTATTTCCTTAGTCCGGATCATGTTGAAGGAAAAAGCACTACCTCAAGAATTATGGGGAGAGGCTGTAAGTACAGCAATTTATCTTCTTAATTGGTCGTCTACTCACAATTTGCAGATGTTGACTCCTTATGAGAAGTGGATAGGCAAAAAGCCCTCAATTGAGCATTTGCGAGTGTTTGGCTCAATTGTGCATGTGAAATGCACCAAAACTCCATAGAAAAAACTTGAAGTTCGCAGCACCCCTATGGTGTTCAAAGGCTATGAAGTTGGCTCAAAGGCCTACCGCTGCTTTGACCCAATTAATGGCACAGTCCATATCAGCTGAGATGTTGTTTTTGAAGAAGATGCTTGATGGAATTGGGAAAAAAGAGGTGAGAATGTTCCTAAGCTTAAATTTTTTCCTAATTTTTCTGCTGACCAAGGAATGGATGAGCCAATTGTCCCCGAGGAAGAAGATGAAGAGAGTCACTCTGAGACTCAAGAGCCATTCTGGTTGCACACTTGAATTCTGAAGAAAGTCAACCTGCAAGATTCAAGTCCTTAGCTAAATTGTATAGTGAGATCAGTCCAATACCCTCTAAGATGGAAGATTGCTTACTTTCTAGTGATGAGCTTGTGACCTATGCTGAAGCTTCATGAGAGGAAGCATGGAGGAAGGCTATGAGAGAAGAGATGGAAGCTATAGATCAAAGTCAAACTTGGGAGTTAATCACAACCTCAGTTGGTTGCAGGCAATTGGGCTTAAGTTGATCTTTAAGCTCAAGAAGAATGCTCAAGGAGAGGTTTTGAGACACAAGGCAAGACTTGTTGTGAAGGGTTACTCTTAGAAGCAAGGCATAGACTATGATGAGGTATTTGCTCTTGTGGTTATATTTGAGTCAATTCTTGTGCTGATTGCCATTGCAGCCCAAAATAGATGGACATTGCATCATCTAGATGTGAAATCTGTCTTTCTAAATGGAGATGTGGAGGAAGAACTATATGTCAAGCAATCTAAGGGATTTATCATGAAGGATAAAGAGGGTTGTGTTCTGAAGCTGAAGAAAGTGCTATATGGGCTCAAGCAAGCCCCATGCACATGGTATTTCAAATTTCATAATTCCTTAGTTTCACTCGGTTTCAAGAAAAGCAACCATGAGCAAGCTATCTACTTGAAGCATTCAAATAGAGTTCACTTGATCATCAGAGTCTATGTGGATGATCTTATTGTCATAGGTGAGAATGACATTGACATCAGTGAATTCAAAGGTCAAATGAAGCATTTCTTTGAGATGAGTGACCTCAGGCACCTTTGCTCTTATTTGGGCATCAAAGTGGTTCAAAAAGAAGCTTGAATTACTCTATTTTAGAGAACTTATGCACTAAGAATACTGAATTTTGCAAAGATGGGCGATTGTAATCTAGTGCAAGCTCCACTTTAAGCCAGAGTCAAATTTAGTTAACCAAATTTAGGCCCATCAGTTGACTCTACCTACTTTCGAAGCCTCATCGAAAGCTTAAGGTATTTGACTCACACCCATCTTGATTTGACATATTATGTGGGATTTTTGAGTAGGTTTATGGAGCACCCTACTTCAAAACATCACATAGTGATCAAGCGAGTTCTAAGGTACCTAAAAGGTATAATTCACTATGGTTTAGTCTATGAAAAAGGATAGACATGAGCATAATTAATTGACTACAATTATAGCGATTTTGTTGGTGATGTGTAAGATAGAAAAAGTATCTTAGGGCAAGTCTTTTTCCTTGGTAAAATGGTGATTAGTTGGGATTTTTAGAAGCAGAAGTCAGTAACCTTATCTTTGTGTGAAGTAAAGTATACTCCACTACTATTGCCACATGTCAGGTGATGTGACTTAGTCGTTGTATAGTAAATCATGCAAATTTAAAATTTATAAAATTAGAAAATATGATTTTTTAGATATGTAGAAGTATTTATAAACAAATATATCAATTATAATTCAATAAAACTTCCAAAAATAGTGATAATTTTTTAAGTCAATCACAAGGATGTAATATAATATCTGATAATTATTTAGAATTTTCCTCAAAGAATACTATTTTTTATGAATTTTATATTAAAAAATAAAAATAAAATATATTTAAAATTCACAGAAAAAGAAAATAAAGGTGTGGACGTCAAGATGACGTTAGCGCTCAGCGAGACATTTAAGGATGACACAACATTCATGGAATCATCATAGATTGGTGTCTGGCTAAAGATGTTAAACTTTGTACTAATTGAGAGGCTACCTAATTATTTTAGTGTTGCAGAATTTAATTTGTGTTTTGTAGTTAATAAACTTAGAATTTCATTGCTTCTTATTTTATTTCAGTAGTAACTCATACATTTATATTTTATCATGTTATACTTGCTGAGTTATGAGTATATATCTTTTGCTTTGCAGTTTAATTTGATAATATATTTCATGTCATTGAGGACAATTCTGATTTTAAGTGAGGGGAGCAAAGAAAATTCAGTTAGATTTATTTCATGAATAATTAGCATAGAAGGAAAATTTTATACTAGTATTGATGAATTCATGGATTTCTACATTTTTCCTATACGATGGTAAATTCATTTAAGTATGAATGTTAAAGTGTGTTAGATTTAGTGACTTCAAGTGATAAAAAAAAATGTAACACATTGAAGGATGAAATATTTCAGAATATATCTTGATGATCATGATCTATATGTTATGAATTCACATTTTGAATTAGTAGAAATCATGAAGTTGTATGTGATGAGGTTGAAATTGTATAAAAATTATTGGAAGCTAGATATTCTTAGTATGAAGAATCCTAAGTAGTTGACCATTTGTCTTATATATATAGATAAAAAAAAATCATCATATGGTAGAGTGTAAGACTCAACTCACGAAAAAAATATATATGAGGATTTTCCACTTGTCCTATAGAGACTTTTCTATATGTGAGACTAGGACAAGATTAGTGCAAATGCTTCTATGGATATTTCCCACTTGTCTCATGGAGGCTTTCCACATGTGAGATTTAGACATGAAAAAGAAGCTATATGAGGAAAGCTACCCACTTATGATGTTTATAATAAAAAAAGAAGAAGAAGAAGAGACAAATGGAATATGCTACTTTGAAAATTTGAGTAAACTTCTGATCATTTAATTAGTGATTTCTGAAAATGAAAGATATTGAATTTCGTGCATTGAAGAGAATGACAATTAAGATGAATATTTTTTGAAATAGTTCATTTTGACGTGGAAACATTTTTTATTTTTGATCTTGTAGGAAATTATTTTGCATCACATGAACATGTGAATATTTATTTGAGTGCCATCTCTAGTGGAAAAATGAGAAAATAAATGGTTCATGTAAAATAATTAATAAATAGCTTTAACTTTGTAAGTATTTTTCTTATTACTAGGGACTAGCAAATTTTAAAGTTGGGGGTATTTATTAAAGCTAGATTTATATGTTTTAATTATTTTTATTATTTGATTTATTTTTTTAACTTGCAGAATAAATATGAGATATATTTTTAATTTTAAAAGTTTGAAGTTAAAATACTTAGCATAATTTTTTATTATTAAAATAAAAATAATAAAATTCTTCTACCTACTAGTAAGTCGTCACTCGACAATTGACCCAAAGGGGAGGGGGGGACAACAGTCAAGTAGGTAGACCCAGACCAGGGGAGCCACAAGCTGGGCTCGAGTGGCAAAGGCCTTGCTTTGCGCACGTGTGTGTCGCTCCCTTTCCATGTCTTGGTGGCCAACCAGTCGTGGGGCAAGGAGTGCCCGTACACACGTGCACATGCAAGGGTGGACCACCTTATTGCCTTCTCCCAAGATGGTTTTGGGCATTATTTTATTTCAAAAAAAGGGATCTTTGCTAAGAGATTGTAGCTTTAGTTTATATTCGACATATGTTTCAAAATATTTCTAATGTGGGACTAAATGTTTTCATCTATTTCAACGTAGCCATCTGGAGTGTGGTGTGATTCAGTGGTATGTAGAAAGCCACGTCATCTGATTAGCCTAATCTTGTGGCTGGCAAACTACCATGATACCAAATGCGTAAAGTGATATGTTGACGATTCACAAATCCGATGCCGCTTAGCACACACGTGGCCTTAAAGGCTCATCCGATGGCTATAGAGGTGCCATGGTACCAAAACTTAAGTTCCTGATTGACAATAGTTTGCAGCAAGTTGATCCTACATCGCTCAGAGCATCATGTGACCAAGCTCATTTGATCTAGTGGGTTGTGGAGTGCCATGATACCAAAACTTAAGTTCTCACATGTATCATTATTAGGGATATAAAGATAATAATCAATTATTTTTTGATAAAACATACATTATTGATTATCTTTAAAATCCCAATGGTAATTATAAATATAGAATTCAATCTTCCCTCCTCTTGCGTGATCGACATCTTCGGCGATCGGGAAACTTGTTCCTTCCTCCTCCACTACACTCAAGGCCTTTAGTGAGTGGTCAACTCTTCCCTTCTCCCCCTAAACAATGGTGACAACGTGGTCGATCCCTCTTTTAGTGGATCTCTCTAGCAAGTGGCGTAGTACTTCTAGACAATACTTCTGTGACTTCTAGCATGGTGTGTATGTCTAGACAAAATCAAACTGTCACACCGGTGTCTCTTGTTGCCCAAGAGGCAGACTAAACTTGGATAACAGTTTATTTCTTGTTTTCAGCATTTACTTACCTACTTTTGTCATTTATTTACATTTTATAGTAAGTTCTTTTCATTTCATGCACGTTTCGATTGAAATGAGTAGAATTAATTTAAAACTTGTTGAATGATCTTCATTCCTCTTTTGAATCCTCCAAAACTCGTTTGAGATCAAGTTAAGATTGTTTCTAACTTGTTTTCCATTAATTTTTACAGTCAAATCTTGATGTATTCACATTCTCGACATTTAGTGAATAAGTAGTATTTTTCTATTTACCAAACGTAAAATCGCCGAGATTAAAGGTTGATTAACAAGCGTTCAATAGTTAAAACAAGCTAGAGACATTCATGGCTGACCTCATGTCATGTGTGAATCTTTGAGCACACATTCATTTGAGAAAATGGGTTGACCATATTTCTCTCTTTCTTCATTTCTCATCTTATTTCTCTCTCTCCCTCTCTCGTGAGACCTCTCTTCTCTCTCCATCTTTTGTGAGATCTCTTCCTTTCTCTCCCTTTGTCTCTATCAATCCCTTCTATTTCTCTCCCTTTCACGAGAGATCTCATCCCTTCTCTCTCTCGTGAGAGCTCTCTCTTCTCTCTTGTTTCTCTCTCTTTTCTTCCTTCCTTTTCTCCACTTTTCTTTATTTCTCACCTCACCATTCTACTTTATTATTGCTGTTAAATATTAATAAAATATTAAAATCATTTTATATATAAACTAAATTAGTTTTCATGATGGATTAATCAATCTCCTTGTTTTCAACCTAAGACTTACTTCTATACTAATATTTTATTGAGTCTTAGTTATAAATATTATTAGATAGTGTGCATTTAAACACAACGACAAGTGCACACTAGTCATCAACGAGCAAATATTTACAAACTTGAAGGGAGCACTCTTATAAGTGAGTTTGTGTTACAACATTAGATGATTCTATGACTAATGACACTTTTTTATGATATTTGTGATTGGGCTATATGAGTAAAATAGGTCTGCAAAAATTACATGCATGAAGATTGCTAAATAATGTAAAAATTTGTAAGTTAGATTTTTTTAAGTACTATTTTATAGAAAAATAGTACAAGGTAACATTCAAGGTTGTGAAGCATGAGACAATTGATGTGCTGGATTATATTTATTTAGATGTGTATGATTTAGCTGATGTGATGTCGATTGGTGATGCTCATTATATTTTGATTTTGTTGATGATATTTCTAGAAACATTTATGTATTCTTCTTGAAACATAAGCTAGAAATATTTGTGAAGTTTAAGATTTGATGTATGAAGGTAGATCAAAATCTTGCAGATTGACAAAGGTACAAAATTTAAGAATTTTAAATTTAATTAATTTTGTGATGAGTATAACATTCAACTTCATTATATAATGAAGAAGACTCCACAACAAAATTATGTTGTTAAGTAGATGAACCACACAATTGATGAGATATGTTAGTGTTTGTAGCATAATGCTAACTTGTTCAAGGTGTTTTGAGCATAAACTATGAGTATGACGATTTATTTAGTAAACAGATCACTAAAGTCTAGTTTTGATGAAATGGTGACTAAAGAGGTATGGATTGAGAATCCTATTGACTATTCAAACTTATATATATTTGTAGATATTTAGATGTCCAATATATGTTTTTATTCTTGTTGATGATAGATTGAAGTTGGATCAAAAGTTGAGGAAATATATCTTCTTAAACTATAATATTAGTGTGAAAGGGTATCGATTTTGAGATTTAGAGATGAAGAAGATTATTTTTAATAAGAATGTGATCTTTGATGAAGATCACATGCTGAAGTCTTTATCTACATAGCATATAGTTTAGGAATTTCATGATACATGTGTTAAAGACAAAATAAGATTAGAAGTGGAGACCATGCATGGTCCTCTTTGTTTTATTGACAGTATAGATCTAGTTGAAGAATCATTATATATTTTTTATTATATTATAGCTAGAGGGTGTATGTGTGAAGTAAGGCCTCCTACTTGTCTTGATGATTATGTTATCTTAATGTTGTTTAGAAGAAATAATAAGCTTACGACTTTTCAAGAAGTAGTTCATTGTCTTGTAAAGGAGAAGTGACTATAGGTGATGTATGAGGAATGAGCATCCTTGAATAAAAATCACACAGGAGAATTGATAAATCTTCCTATAGGAAAATAAATTATGGGTGTAAATAATTGTATAAGAAAAAGTCACTAATAATTGATGGTGACCAACCATAATATAATGCAAGGCTTGTTGTAAAAGGTTTTACACCGAAATAGAGAATTGATTACACATAGAGCTTTTCACCTGATGTGAAGCATATGTCTATTTGCTTAGTGCTAGCCATAGAGATATAAATTTAAGCAGCTAGATGTGAAAATGATATTTCTTCATGAAGATTTAAAAGAAATAATTTACATGTTGTAGTTACAGAGTTTGTTGTGCAAAGGTCAAAACATCTTGTCTATCAACTGAAGAAGTATTTTATAAGTTGAAGTAGACATTGAGGTAATGATACAATTTTTTTGACTCTTACATGTTGAAGAGTAGCTACATCAAGTACAATTTTGACTATTGTATTTATATGAGGACATGTGGTGATGATTTTTAAATTATTTTGATGCTCAATGTTGATAATATGTTCATTGCTTCAAAAAATTAATTTGAGATTACTAGATTAAAGTTATTATTGATCAAAAAATTTGACATGAAGAATCTAGATGTGACAAAGAAGATTTTTGATATGAAGATCTATAGAGACTAAGAATTAGGTTAGAAGAGTTATCTCTTGAAGGTGATGGATCTATTTGGCATGGGTAATATTAAAGTAGTGGGCACTTTCTTAACTAGTAATTTCAGGTTATCTACTATTCCGTGTCCAACATCTGATGAAGATATTACTAAGATGAATAAATTTCTTATGTTAGTATAATTGAGTTTCTTATGTATGCTATGGTCTATATAAGACCAAATATTACTCATATAGTTAAGTTTGTGAGCAGGTTTATAAACAATTCAGAAAAAGAGCATTAGAGCATAATGAAATAGATTATTTGATATCTAAAGGGTTTTTTTAGATTTTATAATCTATTTTGACTGCTAAAATTATCTTTTTCCTATTTATTTTGTTGATATAGATTTTTTAGGGGATTTAAATCATTGAAGATCTATGACGGGGTCTATTTTCACCATACTTCAAAATACTTTTGTATTTTCTACGGTTAAGGTGTAGTACATGACAACTACTAAAGCAGTCAATGAAGCCTTGTGGTTGTAGAGGTTATTAAGTGAACTTAGGATCTAATAAGGTGAAGCATATTAATATGTAATATCATAAAATCTGTGAGTTGGTGAATTCTAGAGATATCTCTCTATAGAAGGTTTGTACAAAAAAGAATGCCACAGATATGTTGACAAAGGTTGTCAATGTAGAGAAATTTAAATATTATTTAGATTGTTTTAGGTACCTTGCTGATCGTGGAGAATTTACAATATAAATGGATTTAGACTCTAAGTGTAGCAATGATGACTATCAAGGTGAAGTTTGTTAGTGGTGTCAATACATCATGTTTGACCCATTTGGGAGATGTGTGAGGAGTCTTCTCCCATCTAACCCATTAAGAGGATATGTAAGGAATGGTGGGTGGTGTCACTTCATCCCTATTGACCCATTTTGGGGTCGTGTAAGGAGAGAGATTGAGAAACAAGGGTGGTTGAAATGATCACCTCTATGATGTGTGGGCCTGCCCACGCATAAGTCGAGAATGTCTCCTTTTAGGGGGGTGGTTATCTTTTTCATTTTTTGTAAATATGATATGTATTTATCATTTTGTGATGATGAGGACAAGGATGAATGAAAAGTAGATTATTCTTCTTGAGATCTTTCTTCTCTCCTGCTCTCTTAGTACCTTAGTTTCTCTATTATATCTTCTTACTTTTCTTACTTTCTCTTCTTATTTCTATTATAAGTGAAGTCATTATAGAAGAAGAAAAGAGTCTATTACTGACCCAATAATATGTTGACTGTCTCAAAGGTGTTGAGACATGAATTATAAGTGTTTTGGTGGAAGACTTGTTCTCATTATAATTCTTCATAGTTTGGTAATTTCTTTTCTATTTGTTCTCATTGATATCTAAAAATTGAGTTTTTGTTATTATTATGATCTTATGCTTGCATATTTTTCTTACAATCTTGATAAGTTGAGCACCTCTATGTTCAACCCTTCAGTAGATTTAAGCTCCTTATTGTAAATGAACTTTACAAATTCGTAACAGCCTAGCATTCTATCTTTGACTCTATATCTCTCTGTCTCTCTCTCTCTCTTGGCAGGCTATTGTCAAAAATTCAAAAAAGCCATGAACCCGGCGACGGATGGAGGTCTCGATGGGCCGGCCGTCTGCATCAGTATCTCTCTCTCTCTCTCTCTCTCTCTCTCTCTCTCTCTCTCGGAAGGCTAAAGTCAAAAAATGAGCCAGTTAGAAGGCCGGGAAGCCTTTGTTGGAGAGGCGAGGGGTGGTGGGCATCGTTTGAGACTCGCCCGTCGGGGTTACTCTCGAATTCATGGGGGCATCAATTTTCTTGAAGCAGTGGACCTCTCGACGGGCCGGACGTCTGCCTGACTCCACCTTCAGGCCTCGACAGTCAAACGCGTTTATGGCGCAGCGGTTGTCGGTTGGATTGAATAACCCGGTTGGCGGCGCCAGTTGACATGACGTTGGTTGACATGGCAAACCGCCCGCCATGAACCCGGGGCCGCGTATCCCCTTGCTGTGACGTCCGACGGAATTAACTGCTCCCGTGCCTTGCGCAACCAGTGCAAATTCCTTTCTCGCTGCTGAAAGAGACACGTCGCCGTCGCCGTCGTCATCGTCCCGATACCATGAACAGCCGGCGGCCGGTCGCCCCGGACCAACAGGGGGCTGAAGCTGCTCATCCATCAGACTACTAGTACTGTCTCTAGAGAGAGAGAGAGAGTACCTGTTATCTATCTATCACTACCGAGGGCTAGCGCCCATCGCTGGTTGAGGGGAGAGAGAGGGAGAGGGGAGTGATGGATTGCACCATGCCGACTCTGTGGACGTTGGCCCTCGCCTTGGCTTCTGCCTTTCTGCTGGCTGCTCAAGCTCAACCCCAGCCGAGCTCTCCTCCGGTTATATCCTTCACATCCTTCCCGTCGAATAGCTGTGACACCGGCGGCCCGCTCAACTGCATGCAAGACAGCAGTGTGCACGACGGCTGCATCGCCATGGTCCGCGAGGACGGGAACAATGGCGACACGATGTTACTGATAAACAACAAGGGCCGTGTGCTGTTCGGGAGGCCCGTCATAACGTGGCCGGCTAGCTTCGACACCAACTTCACCGTCCTCTTCCGCAGACGTGCCAAATCGATCGGGTACGGCGAGGGGATGGCGTTCGTGATGACCGCTGACATGCGCCAGAGCCCTTCGGGAAGCTCCGGCGGTTTCCTGGGCCTGTTCAATCACTCCACCTCAGGTTAGCCACTCACTCCTCCATCTGCTCTCCATGTGGGTGAAAGATTGAGACTCCCTTTCCTAGGCCTGCCGCGAGGCTCGACACATTCGTTTGCTTGAACGATTCCGTTGACAAAACCAAGATCAAATACGTATTTCTTCAATGATTCAGAAATGAGCTGTGGGATCTGAAAATACTGGAAGTCATCTGATATGTTGCGTAAAGAGTTTACGAAATGAGCTGAATTCGCGAAAAAAGGTCTCCCGCTCTTTTGGATGTCATCTGTAGTACGTCGTCGCAAACTGAATTTTAAATTAGTTTTCGGAAAGATGATGTTGGCCATGCATTTAAGAAAAGGCCGAATACTTGATAACTGCGGACACGCCAGCGTCCAGCATTAAAACCTGCAGCACCCTAACGTCATGAACACCAAGCTCACCGGAGGGAGTTCACGGTCAACTGATTATGAGTTCCCCCTCCCGCCCGAAGATTCTCCAACTAATTTTTCTGAGGATTATGTGGGTACGGTGAATAGAGTGAAACCATTCATTTGTATGATTTATCGTTCTCAATGTTGTTCCTCTGGGAATCAGACTTCGCCTTGTCAATCGGGACTCCTCCTCGGGATGAATCCTTGCGAGGGTCCATGGCATAACACAGGCGAAAGCTCCTAAGGAAGCTTTCTGTTAAGCATGTAGATAGATCTGTAGCTTTATATATCTATAAATCTGCCATTTTTAACGACACAAGGAAATGGGGGAGGCGCGAAGTGCATCAACCGTTGATCTGAACGACTGAAGATTCGGATTGGTGCATGCATGGACCTGTGAATCTCAGACTGGGGGACTTGCCTGCCGCATTTCAGGCAGCACCACGGGGCAGCTGGCGGTGGAGATCGACTTGTGGTCGAATGAGGTCGACCCTGAGAACGGACACGTCGGCGTGGACACCACCGCTATCTACTCCGACGCCACCGCCCCACTGTCTGCTGCCAACGTCAGCCTGTCGGAGGAGAAGCCGATGACCTTCAGGGTCAACTACGACGGATGGACGAAGAACCTCCAGGTCTCGGCGGGATACGCCTATGAGGGGCCCCTGAAGAACATCCTCAACTACAGCATCGTTATCGCGAAGATCGCCCCTGTGTACGTGGGTTTCGCCGCTGCCTCCGGGCCCGCCACACTCAACAGCGCAAGCCTTCGGGTTCTCAGCTGGAACTTCTCGTCCACCATTTTGCCGCCGGAGTCCCTCGACAACGGCAGCAGCAAGAGGGATAAGAAGATAGGCAGCATTCTCACCATCGTCCTCTCGACAGTGATCGGGGTTCCACTGGTGGGGATGCTGTTGCTGCTTGGGATGAGGGAGGCCAGGGAGTGGAAGAGGTGGAGAGCTCTGGAGGCCCTGTCGAAGAAGGCTATCAGTGCACCCAAGATGTATACATATGCTACGCTCTCCAGAGCCACTAGGCGTTTCAGCAGCGCCAACTTATTGGGCAAGGGAGGCTTCGGCAGCGTCTACAAGGGTCACCTCTCCAATCCTCCTTCAATGGTCGCTGTCAAAAAAATCTCTTCCAACTCCAAGCAAGGTTAACCACCGTCTGCTGCGTCTCTTCCCAGCTCTCTCTCTCTCTCTCTCTCTCTCTCTCTCTCTCTCTCTCTTTCTCTCTCTCTTTCTCTCTCCCTTTCCCACTCCCTCTCCCTCTCCCTCCTTTCCTCCCGCCTTCCTCCCCCCTGTTCTCTCTCTTTCTCCCACTCCCTCCCCCTCCTTTCCTTCCTCCCTTCCCCCTACCCCTCCCCTCTCTCTTCACTCTCTCGCTGGCTGGCTGGCTCGCTTTCTGACTCTCTCGTAGTAATTATTCGGCAAGCTCGTGTCTGGACCTTTTTGTCAACCCATTTGCTCCTTTATCTGAGATATATTACGTTCTCCTTAACCTTTTCGATGACGCTACTGTCGTTGATCCTCCTACTCATGGTATCGATCAGGCGAAAGGGAGTACTTTGCGGAGATATGCACCATCGGCCGTCTCCGTCACAAGAACATCGTGCAGCTGCAGGGCTGGTGCCACCGCGCCAAGAGCCTCCTCCTCGTCTACGAGTTCATGCCCAACGGAAGCCTCGACCGCCACATCGCCGCTGGAACCCTCGACTGGCCCACTCGCCATCGAATCCTCCTCGGCCTCGCCTCCGCCCTCCTCTATCTCCACGAGGAGTGCGGCGGCACCGTCGTCCACCGCGACGTCAAGCCCAACAACGTCCTCCTCGATGCCGACTTTGAGGCCCACCTCGGTGACTTCGGCTTGGCCCGGCTTGCTCAGGGAACGGGCCGGACCACCTCCACCACCGTCCTCGCCGGCACCATCGGGTATCTCGCCCCTGAATTCGGCTACACCGGTAAGGCCACCCCCGAGTCCGATGTCTTCAGCTACGGCGTTGTTGTGCTGGAAGTGGTGTGCGGGAGAATGTCCTTGCTGGGACTGGACGATAACAACCTGTTGGATCACGTCTGGGACCTCTACACCTCCGGTAGGCTGCTCCAGGTGGTGGATTCGAGACTGGAGAGTCAGTTCGACGAGGAGGAGGTAAGGAGAACCCTTTTGGTGGGGCTCATGTGCTCGCACCCGAACCCCGCGAGTCGGCCGAGGAGCAGGCAGGTGGTGCAGATCCTCGGGAACTCGAACGAGCCGCTGATGGAGATTCCGGAAAACCGGCCAGACATCATCATTCCCTCCTCCTCGATGACCACGACCGGGTTCGATGGGGTCATGATCGTTTCCACGAGCATGAAGACGCCGATGCCGGCCTCACCCTAGAGCTTTAGGTCGAGCCTGGATCCTGCAGGCTGAAAAGTGCGATTAGGGATCAAGGATGATACACACGCTATTGATGCATGGGTGGTTGTAAAAAGTGAGATTTTATTTTGAAGTACGTTCTGAATCACTGAGAGAGTTTATCAGTTCTCTTGTTCTCCGTTTACACGCGCTCATGTTCTACATTTACTATTACACATCATAACTTTAGCTGTGTAGTTGACTGATGAACTCTTTCAATTGCCCAGCATTGGTGGGTAAGGGTGTCATTTTAATATTGGCTGCTGTGTTGGTGTCAGTCAGTGGTGAATCATTTCTGCTATGATGCCACCCAAATGTATGTCTCAAAGCCTTGTCAGATTTCTACACTACTTCTTGTCGAAAAAAATATACATGCATAGGATTACAATAACAACAAAAACTCAATTTTTGAACATCAATGAGAACAAATAGAAGATAAATCACAAAATTATCAGTAATTGTGATGAGAGAAAGACTTTCACCAAACACCTCTAATCCATGTCTCAATACCCTCGAGATCACTCACACACTAGAGAGTTAACAATAGACTCTTATCTCCTTCTATAAGAACTTCACCTCTAATAAAAAAGAGGGAAGATACAAAGAGAAAAGAATAGAGTTGATGAATAAAGAGAATAGAATCAAGAGAGATAGAGAGAATTTGTCATCCGTGTACTAAAAATAAGAGAATTACATACTTTATTTATAGCGAATAGGAAAATATAACTACTCCTCAAAAGGAAGCATCTCGGTTTATGTGTAATTGAGCCCACACATCTCAAAGGTGATGGCTACAACTACCCTCATTTCTTACACCTCTCTCTGCACGACCCCCAAAGGGGTCAAAAAGTTTGATGTGACTACTATGTCACTTCCCCTTACTCTTCGCATACCTTTTGAGTAAGTCAGATGGAAGAGGTTCTCTCTCACGTCTCTCAAATGATTCAATCATGATAGACTAACATTGTCAACAAACTCTACTTTGACAAGCATCATTATTTCACCTAGAGTTGACATTCATTCATCTTGCAAGTTCTCCACCTTCTATAAGGTACCCACAATATGAATCAAATAATGTTTGAACTTCTCCAATATGATGACTTTCATCAATATATTTATGACATTCTCCTCTGTGAGAACTTTTTATGAAGAGATATTGATGTGACTTAGTCATTGTATAGTAAATAATACAAAATTTAAAATTTATAAAACTAGAAAATATGAATTTTTAGATATTTAGAAGTATTTCTAAATAAATATATCAATTATAATTTAATAAAACTTTCAAAAATAATAGTAATTTTTCAAGTTGATCACAGGGATGTAATATAATATATGGTAATTATTCAGAATTTTGGTCAAAGAATACTATTTTTTATGAATTTTATACTAGGAAATGAAAAGAAAATATATTTAAAATTCATAAAAAAGAGAAATAAGGGTGCAGACATCAAGATGACATCAGCGCCCGGCAAACACAAATAAGATGAAAATAGAGTTCCGCCTAATGATTCTTAGGTAAGCGATTATAGAAGATTTAATTAATCAAATTAAGATCTATAAAAGTTAGAAGAATCGTAATTGAATGAAGTATATTTTGGTAAATTAAAATCACATAAATGATCACTAAATGAAGCATAAAGTAAGTTGAAAGTAGGAAAATAGAGTTTTGGTGTCATGGCGGCGATGCGTCAATAATGCACCAAAATCCTGAATATTGGGAAGGATAGTCATGTAGTGTCTACGGCCTCGAAGACTCTCTTTGGACAAAGATGATGTGGGCAATCTCTAGATCTCCTTACGAAGTCTAGAGATCAATGAAATGGGTCGTCGAATCGTCTTTAGAGGCTATCATTCGGCAGAGCAGAAAAATGGTGACTTTTCGGCTCTCTAGCAGTTGTCACCTGACGGAGAAGAGTTAGATGGAGGTGGGGAGCATGTTAGGGAGTTTCATCCTCATTTTCGTGCAGCAATAGGAGGCTCTTCATCGCAACTAGTACGCTCTCAAGAGGTGGTAACTCGTCTCCCAGTGGATCGTCCTCTTCTTGACGACAACTTGTTCATTGATTAGTCGGAGATGCTTTACTTGTTGGGTTCATGATCCTTTTATCACAAATCATTTAACAATTTTAGTAACAATGCTTCGTGAATTGCATTGACGAGATTTTCGCCGATGATCTAACGATTTTGGTTGCTTAATTCTTCATCGGCGATATGCAGGAAAATCACAATAATCAGATAAAAAATATGAATTTTGGCTCTAGGAGAATTCAAATCTGCGCCGATTGCCTCCCCCACCTTTTTTGGGGAAGGTGATGTGGAAGGAGAGTGGTGACATGTGCCCCATCGGTTCAAGCTGCTTGAGCCCTTATTCATGGCTCCTACCCAACTACACTTTTGACCTATTTGTGGACTCGGCTGGCCGGCAGGTCCCCCTTATTTTATTTTATTTTTATTTTTATTTCTTTTTCTTCATTTATCTCAAAGGTAAGATTGTAAAAATCATATAAAATCATATAAAATCATATAAAATCACATAATTACCTAAAAAATCATGTTAATCAATTAAAAACCAATTTTCACACTTTAACACAAATATAAGTCTTTTTATCATGAGTTAAAGCTAAAACTATATTATTTACTAATTATTAACTCATGATAATGAAGACTTATCAGATATCTCTAAAATTTATCAACTCACGGATCTTGTGATATCACACATCAATAAGCTCCAATCATGTATGATAGACTTATTCTTTACTAAGCAAATGACACTTAGATTGTTACAATATAGAAGAACTTCACCCTATCGGATCCCAAGTTTGCTTAATAATCCTTTCAACCACAAGGCCTCTTTGACTACTTCAATAGCTACCATGTACCCTACCTTAGTCGTATATAATGTAATAGTAATTTGAAGTGAAGACTTCTAACTAGCAAGTCCACCAGCCATGGTAAAAACATGTCATGTCATAGATCTTCAATGATATAAATTTTTGTCAAAATCTACATCAACAAAGCCAATAGTAGAAAGACAACTTTTCTGGTCAAAATAGATTCCAAAATCTAAAGAATTTTGTAGATATCGGAGAATTCACTTTATTGCACTCTAATACTCCTTTCTTGGATTGCTCATAAACCTGCTTATAAGTCCAACAACATGAGTAATATCTAGTTTAGTATAGATCATAGCATACATGAGAGAGTAAATCGTACTAATATAAGAGATTTACTTCATCTCAATAATATCTTCCTCAAATGTCAAATATTGAGTAGTAGATACTTTGAAATCACTAGCCAGAAGAGTGCTCACTATTTTAACATTACTCAAGCCAAATAGATTTATCACCTTCAAAAGATAACTCTTCTGAGTCAACCATAATTGACCTAACTTTTGGTCTCTATGGATCTCTATACCAAAAATCTTTTTTGCCACACTAAGATTCTTCATGTCAAATTTTCTGCTCAATAGTGCCTTTAATCTAGCAAGTTTTTGTTAATTCTTTGAAGTAATGAACATATCATCAACATAAAACATCAAAATAATAAGAGAATCATCATCATAAGTCCTCATATAAACATAATAGTCAAAATCGCACCTTGTATAGTCAATTGTCAATATATAAGAGTCAAACTTATTGTACCACTACCTTGATGCCTGCTCCAACCCATTAAAGGACTTCTTCGATTGACAAATAAGATGTTTTGACCCCTACATAATGAAACCCTTTGATTGTTGTATATAAATAGTCTCCTCTAAATTGTCATGAAGAAATATTGTCTTCACATTTAGTTGCTTAAGTTTCATATCTTCATGTGTGACAATGACTAACAACAAGTAAATAGTTGTGTACTTCACAACATGTAAAAATATCTTATGTGTAAAGTTTTTTGCAACAAGCCTTGTCTTGTATTGTGACTGATCACCATCAATCATTGATGACTTCTTCTTGTACACTCATTTGCACTCATTAACTTGCTTCCATACATGAAGATCCATCAATTCTCAAGTGTGGTTTTTGTCTAAAGATGTTTGCTCTTTAGACATCGTTTGCATCCACTTCTTCTTTTCATGATAATTAATTGCTTCCTAAAAAGTTGTGAGCTTGTTATCTCTTGTAAATACTATAAAGGCAACATAATCATCAACAGGCCTTACTTCACGCTTACTCCATATAGTAGCAATATAATTAGGAACATCTGATGATTCTACAACTCAATCTTTACTCACAATAGAACTAAGAGGACTCTACATAGCCTCCACCTCTAATCTTGTTCTGTCCACAACTCAAGTATCATAAGATTCATGAATCTTGTGTTTTATAGAAAAAGACTTCAACATGTGATATTCATAAAAAAATCACATCCTTACTGAAAAATAACTTTCTTCCCCTCTGAATCCCAAAGTCAATATTTCTTCATGCTAGTGATATAGCCTAAGAAGGTATATTTATTTGACTTTAGATCTAATTGATCTCTCATCAATAGATATCTTGGACATCCAAATATATACAAATTCGAATAGTCAATAAGATGTTCAGTCCATCCCTCTTCAACAACCTTTTTATCAAGAGTAAAACTTGGTGATTTATCATACTTAGTAATTCCTTAGGCAAAATTTTGAATTCTTAGTAATTGTGCCATACCAAATAAGCTACCATACTCACAACTTCAACCCAAAATTCTCTAGACAAGTCGGCATTCAACCATAAACACCATGCTCTATTAGTAATCATATGATTCATCTACTTAGCAATATCATTCTATTGAGGAGTCTTCTTCACCGTATAGTAATGTTGAATACTATGTTCATCACAAAATTGATCAAATTCAAAATTCTTAAATTTTGTACCACTATCAGTCTGTAAGACTTTGATCTATCTCCTTGTTTGATTTTCCACCTTCGTACACACCGTCTTGAACTTTGTAAGTACTTCTAACTTGTGCTTCAAGAAGAATACTCAGACTTTCCTTGAAATATCATCAATAAATATTATAAAATATCGAGCACCACTCATTGACATCACATCAACCAGATCACATGCATTTAAATGAATATAATATAGCACACTACTCGTATCATGCTTTGCTGCTTTGAATGTCATCTTGTATTTTTCTCATGATATAATATTTGTAAAAATTTAATTTGTAAGTTCTCACACCAGGCACTAGTCATTATACATGTAGCTTTTTCATACATGTCTCACTCATATGGCCTAATCGTAAGTGTCATAAAAGTACATCATCAATCATAGAATCATCTAGTGTCATAACACAAGGTCCACCTATAACAATACTCTTCTCAAGTTTATAAATATTCACTCATTGATGTCTTCCCTTCATCACAATAACTAATCCCTTGATAATCTTGAGGTTCTTATTATCTCATTTGAAGCAACATTTATTTGCCTTCAATACTCTTAAGTAAAATTAAATTTTAGTGTAATATTGGAATATGACAAACATTTCTAAGCTCTCGAACCACTATGTCAAACATCCAAACCTTCACCGAACTAATGCCTACAACTTCACAAGTTACATTGTTTTCCAAAATAAACAACTCTTGTTGCACTTTTATATGAGCTAAACTAGTCAGCATTAAGACACATATGATAAGAATAACTAGTATTAAGAATCTATGTTTTTGACAACTCTTTAGTTGTAACAAGTCTAAAATAAACTTCACTATCTTCTCTATCCTCAACCTTCGTAACATTAGTCAAATTAGATTCACCTTTTGTTGTCCTATCACTCTGATTTTTCAGACAATCTCTTTGCAAGTGTCTCTTCTCATAACACGTGACAAATTTGGTTTTTGAACCAATTTGTCCATGACTTGGACCATCTCTTGATAATCATTTCTCCTTCTATCTTCTATGTTATCTTTCACCCTTCACATATAAACCTTCACCATGAGTCTCACCAACATCTTTTTTTCGATAATAATACTCCATCAATGAGTCAATAAGATCTTCAAAAATTTAATTTCATACGAAGCAAGTCATTCAATAATTGATTAAAATAATCAATATTAGATGTCAAATCATCTCCATCTAACATACGTAACTAAAATAACTTTATCTTGAATGTCTATTTACTCATCATCAACTTTGGTGTATATTGTTTCTCCAATTTCTTTTAGAGTTCTTTTAGATTGTATTCATCTATGACCTGCTGAAGAGCCCAATCAGATAGATATGTATGAATAAAATCTCTAGTCTTATTCTCCATTATCTCTCAATCATTAATACTGATCTTGTTTGATTTTGGACTATCCAAAGTCTTATACAAATCAATCTACAATAATGCATCATGCACATGATACTTTTAGATATTAAAGTTAGAAGATTTATCCAACTTTTGTTAGTATACACCTTAGAAGTCATAATTAATCTACAAATAATCAAACTAATGTTCTAAGACCACTTGTCGAAAGAAATATGTATGCATAAGAGCACAATAACAACAGAAACTCAATTTCTAGATATCAATTAGAACTAATAGAAAAAAAATCACCAAGTTATCAAGAATCTTGATGAGAACAAGATTTCTACCAAACACCTCTAATTCACATCTCAATGCTCTCGAGATGACTAACACACTAGAGAGTTAACAATTGACTCTTATTTCCTTCTATAAAGACTTCACCTCTGATAAAAGAGAGAGAAGATACTAAGAGAAAGAAATAGAGTTAATGGAGAGAGAGAATAGGATCAAGAGAGATAGAGAATTCATCGTTCACCATACTCAAAAAGAGAAAATACATATCTTATTTATAGTGAATAGGAAAAGATAACCACTCCTTAAAAAGAAACATCTCGATCTACAAGTAGCCGAACCCACACATCTTGGAGGTGACAACTACAACCACCTTTGTTTCTTGCTCCTCTCTCTACTAGACTCCCAAAATGGGTCAAAAGGTTTGATGTGACCACTATGTCACTGCCCCCTTGCATGCCTCCTAAGCAAGTTAGATAGCATAAATTCTCTCTCATGTCTCTCAAATAGTTCAATTGTGATGGACTGACACTGTCAACATTTCTTCACTTGGTTTTGCATGTCATTGATGTTGAAATGATAGAAGAGTAATTAATCGTGAGGCCTCTCAACACTTCTTCTAGTGAAAGTTTTGTGGGGAAGAGTTCCAAACTAGTGTTGTGACGGAAACAACGTGATTATAAATATGCTTGCTTCATTGATGATGAACAAGATGAAATGAAAATTCAGACAATACTAGATGTATCATAAACTGTTTGGTCTTGCCTAGACTTTTGTTGGTAGAAGAGCCATGTTAGTAGCATTCCTTTTGTTGACTAGGAAAACGAGTATAGTGACATTGCTTTGAAGTGGGACATTGGGACCTAGACTAATAGAGTGAGTAAAAATTGATGGCATTAAGCCCAATTAAACAACGGGTGCATGAAGATCACCAGAGGTGACACTCTAACAGATTCTCTAACAAAAACTATTTCAAGTTGTTTACCATTTCTTCCAAGGTATAATGGCTGAGATGAAAGCTACATGAAAATGTGGGCCCCACGAATCATAACTCTCTTTAATAACCATTACTCTCTCTCTCCTAAAAATTGTACTCAACGTGTTTGTTGAAATGCAAGAAGAGAGAAGTGTTTGTTTTTTTCTTTGATTCTTCTTCACTCTCTCCTATTTCTCGATTCCAACATTTGGTAGCAGAGTCAAGTTGTCGGAGATTAGACAGAAGATGCTGTGCCATGGAGATGCTATAGAAGGTGAGAGCTCGCTCGCCACAAGTGGAGCTGTGAAAGGACCTAGAGATGTCGGATATCCAAGTATGTTCCCAGTCTTGAATAAGACCAACTATCCATTGTGGGCGATGCGTATGCAACTCCACTTGGAGGCTCACAGCTTATGGGATGCTATTGAGTTGGAGACAATAGCAAGAAAGAAGGATTGACAAGCCCTCTTTGTGATGTTCAGAGCTGTGTCTAAAGGCATCTAGACACAACTACTTGGGAGCTTTTCAAAGTGACGTATGTGGGAGTGACTTGTCTCATGAAATCAAGACTTCAAGGTCTCAGGTGAGAATTTGAGATGTTTCAAAATGGGGGATGATGAAATTGTGATTGACTTTTCCGAAAAACTGTCACGAGTTGTCACTCAAATCAGAAATTTGGGTGAAAAGTTATAAGAAGGTGCTGTTGTTGCCAAGCTTCTTCGAGCAACACCAGGGAGATTTGATCCAATTACAGCATCTCTCAAGCAATTTGGCAACATCGACTCCATGCCATTTGAAGGAGTTACATCTCTTAAGATCTACAAAGAAAAACTCAAAATCCATCAAGAAAGGAAGGAAGAACAAGTCCTCTCCTCTAGCATGAGAAAATCAAAAGGTGGAGAAACACGTGGCAGAGGACGTGGATGAAGTTGAGGCCACGGAAATGGCAAAGGTAGAAGAGGTGGACAAAGCTCCGAAGAAGGCTGGAAAAATCATGATAAATCAAAGGTAAAATGCTACAATTGTGATAAAATGGGACATTATGCGTCTGAGTGTTACGTAGAAAAAAGGAAAGAAAAGGCTCACCTTGCAAGTTTGGAAGAGAAGGTTGAATCTACACTACTTATGGTCACAATAGACTAACTTCTCTTGTTAGGTGCGCTAGAAACTCAAGTTGGAAAAGACATGTGGTACCTAGACACTGGCACCACGAATCACATGATCGAAAGACGAGAATTCTTCTCTGAATTCAATAACTCATCTAGAGGAGTAGTGAAATTTGGAGACGGATCTAGCATTGATATATTAGACAGAGGAAGTTTGTTGGTCAATTGTCAAGATGATAGTCAACTAACTCTGGATAATGTCTTATATGCACCTGAACTGAGGACAAACATACGAAGCCTCAGACGCCTTGATAATCAAGGATACAAGAAGGTAATGAAATCAGGGTCACTCACTATCTATGATGAGAATAATTGTCTTCTTGCTAAGGTATAGAAAACGCAGGGCAAACTTTACAAGCTTAACTAAAAATTAGAGGAAAGTGCTTTCTCTCAAAAGAAAATTTCGAGACCGACTGAAAATGGCACTGAAGGTATAGACATTTGAATTTTCATACTTTAAAAACTCTTTCTTCACAAAGCCTTGTACAGAGTTTGCCGATAATCAGCATCCTTGAGAACCTTTGTCGATACTATGTTGCAAGCAAGCAACACAAACAAGTGTTCCCTGCTTCATTGAAATACAGAGTAAGTAGGGTTTTAGAACTTGTCCGTGGTGATCTTTGTGGTCCGATTTCACCTACTACGTATGGAGGAAACATGTATTTCTTCCTAATCATTGATGACTTCTCCAGACTAATGTGGGTCTCAATCTTGAAGCACAAGGATGAAGCTCTTCAGGCCTTTGTAGAATTCAAAATGATGGCAGAGGCAGAGAAAGGAGTAAAGATTGGAGCTCTAAGAACTGATCAAGGAGGTGAATTTAATTTCACAGATTTCAATTCATTGTGCTCATAGCATGAAATTAAGCATCAACTCACAACACCCTACTCACCTCAACAAAATGGAGTGGTGGAGAAAAAAAAAATAGAACCATTATGGAAATGATCTAGAGCATGTTAAAAGAAAAGAACCTGCCCCCCTGAATTATGGGGAGAAGCTGTGAATACAAGCATCTACAACTTCAATCGATGGCCTACAAAGAGCTTAGAAGGAGTCACTCCTTATGAAGCTTGGACAGGCTCAAAGCCGAGTGTAGCTCATTTCAGAGTTTTTGGCTCACTCGCTCAGGTGTTGTTGTTTATTAACAACAAATCGGCAATTGCACTATCAAAAAAATTCAGTACGCCACAGCAGATTCTTAGCACATTGATACTTGATATCATTTCATTCGTTCTTGCCTCGAAGACAAGTCAATTGATGTGGAGCACATCAACTCTGCTGATCAATTAGCTGAGCTACTCACGAAGCTATTAAGAAAAACTGATTTAATGAGCTTCGTCAGAGACTAAGTATGGTTGAAGACAGCGGGAATACTAGGCTTAGAGGGGAGACTGATGGTGTTAAGCCTAGTCAAACAACAGGAGTGTGAAGATCGCCAAAAACGGCGACACTCCGGCAGATTCTCCGGCGAAGATTATTTCAAGTTGTTTATTGTTTCTTCTAAGTTATAACAGCTGAGATGAAAGCTACGTGGAAATGTGGACCCCAAAAATCGTAACTGTCTTTAATGACCGTTACTCTCTTTCTCCTATAAATTGTACTCAACATGTTCGATGAAATGCAAGAAGGAGAGGCATGTATTTTTTTCCTTTGATTCTTCTTCACTCTCTCCTATTTCTCAATTCCAACAAAAGTATCATGACTGACTGATACATGGGAGATCCAAGGGTCAGTCGTAGGATACATTTACTGATCAGAAGCTCAACTACTACCTAGAAAAAACAAGCCAATTTTGAAAACCTCGAAGAATTCTGATCCTGCCTCCCCTTGTAGATCCTTCAACAGAAAGAGCATGAAAATGTCAGCAAAGCTCGTTTCAGCCGAGATTTCCAGTTGCATGCGCCGCTCCAATGCTACTGCAGTCAACGCGGGTATTCTCGGACAGAGTCATTCAGCTTTTCTCCCATTTGTTCTCACTACAGTCAGGCGGCAGGTCGGCCTACAGGCCTGAGCACCGACGGCGCAAGATGGCGTGCTGTTGCCGGTGGGTTCTTGGACGACGATGCGATGGATAAGCAGGAAAGCAACCGAAGGCCAGGGAGGCGTACTCCCCCTCCCCCCCGGTTTAGTGAAAAATGCTGGCTTATTGCTGCATTTATTCCCTTACTCAGGACAGCGACACATCGCGAGAATAGTGAGGGTCCGGACTGCAGTCAATCAATGCCCCTCAGCTCCGACAGGGGAGGCCCGCTCAAGTGCATGCGAACCTGCTGCTTGCGCGATGGCTATGTCGCACTGTCGGGTGACGGAAACAGCACCGACTCGATTCTGCTTGTCAACAACCTCGGCCGGGTGCTGTACCGGTGGCCGGCGAGCTTCCACACCAAGTTCATCGTCCTCTTCTACGAGCATGCCAAATCATTTCTGTTCGGCGATCGGAAGGCGTTCACGATGACCACCGACAAGCGTTCGAGCGCCACGGGAAGCTTCGGCGCTTGATATTTTATTTTATTTTTTTCCCTCTCATACAGTTCGACCACTATTTTATATGTTTCAATAAATTTTTTACCTATTTACGTAAGAGGGGAGGTTAAAATCTGCATTCAATATTATATAACCTTGATACTCAACAGTCGTCTTGTATTAACCAAAAAAAACTGTAAATGAATCAACCCTGATAAAGTAAAAGGGGACATAGACCAAGGTAACTTAATATTTAATGATTTTTCTCGATTTTTATTTGGGATTGATATATTATATAATATTCACATTCTGATTGAATATTTATGATATATTCTTCATCAATTATTGTCTTACAAAAATAGCGAATTTTTATCTACTGTTTTACATTAATAATTTACGATTATGTGGTATTGTAGATGCTTGACGTTAGTATGAATAAGTTTTATGCTTGCAATGACATAGTAAGTGATGTTAATGTAAATGCATCAAAAGGTACTATACTAGAATTTTATGCAGATAAAATTGTATGTTTTATATTTATTTTAAGAAGTGTCTTCTTAACCTTATCTTGCCATCTTAGACTAATGTAAGAGGGACTAGACATCCGAGTTTGTTTATCTAGAATGATGGGTTTTGAGAAGTTGTACTTAAATGCTTATTTGATATTGTGATAGTTTTTTGATATTGTACTTAATTGCTTATTTGTAATATTTTCTATTGACCATGTAATGTAAACTTAGATGGTATTGTCACAATGGTAATGTCACCAAGCTATGATTGAGTGGGCCAAAAGGTGTTGTGGGTCGTGACATGGTCACTTGTACCCTCAGCCATTTTCCATCCTAGTGAAAGACTAAGACTTCTTTCCTTAGACTACCCATAAGTCTCCACTCCTGCATAAGCTTCAATGGATTCGATCATAAAAACAAATATGAAATTTTGTATTTCTTTACTAAATGAATAAATTCAATGGATTTTCTTTCTTTTGAAATGTGTTTTGTTTTTTATAAATGTAAACATAAATTTCTAGATGGTTTTTACCAATCATAGATTAAATGTTTTACTTTCTCTATTTTTACACTTTTATTTTTTCATATATGATCTGTGCATTTCATGTTAAATATAAAAAATCAAATGATTTTTAAGATACTTATATTATGAAGACATGAATTGTGTAATGGTCGTGCTTCAAAGTTTGAGTGAAAAATCTAACATGCAATCAATTAGACCAGCTTTAGACATTAAAGCTTGTTAATAGTGTAGGGATATGTTCTTTAAATGTCTTTCAAAGACAAAGACAATGCAATAAATGGGAAAAAAATTAATCCTACAATTTGAGTTATATTTTTCATTATTTAAATGTGTTTTATTTAAATAACATTGTAGGTATTGATGTGATACCTAATCATCTCAATTCTAATTATTAATACATATTGTAGGCAATAGACATATATAAGGCCCTAGATGTTCCTTAAAAGCCTAGTAGAGAAGAAAAATCAATAATGTTCAACACATTGAAAAAAAACCTAGTGGCAACATTTTGAGCAGCTAAGTGTAGTAATTATGATAACCAGCTGGACAAGTAAGAGTTTACTACAACATATGCATTGCAATAGTTGTTAGAGGATTATAATTATGTTTTATAAGTAATGATCAAAACTATTTATTTTTTATGTTTTAATACACTAATCATTTTATTTATACTTTAGTTTTATAATAGTTTTAATATCTTGTGGGCAGAGCAATAATGCCATTTGACAAATTGTTGGTTATAAGGAGATTATAAGAGGAGATAAGAGAGGGAGTGAATTAACCTTTTGTAATACTTATTTGAATTGAATTCATGTCAATTTTTTAAAACAAGAATTAGAGTAGTTTTTTTAAAACATATATAAGGACATTTTCAAAGGGTTTTAGTAGTTCATGTTGGTATGATCATTAAAAATACTCTTGAAACAACTTTCATTGAATTTCATATATCTATCAATATATCAAGTTCAAGTTTCCAAAATAATTTCTCTAGATTCACAAAACTAGGAGGCTAAGTAGATTACAACCATTTAATGTCATTTACATTAATGACTCTAGAAGTACTCAAATAAAATAAATAAAAGAAAAAATATATATTGGGATGCTACTTCTCTAGCGTAGAATTGAAGAAGATTTTTAAGAGATGTCTCACTTGAACATTTGAAAAAAAAAGTGAAAATATTGTTAGATGAGTTGATTCCTCACTTGGAGGAATGGGAGTAGG